TGCGTCGAGGCTACGGCTCGCCGCCAATCGCAGTACGCACAGGACTTATGTCAACGGCTCTTATGCCTGTGATTATCGCGCTGTCCGGGAAGGTCAACGTGATCACATGGCTGACTGGAATCAGCCATGAGAAACTTAACGTCTTCCATCGATGGGCATCTTATCTCTGTTTGTTCCTTGCGGTTGTTCATACTGTCCCATTCATTGTCACTCCACTTCAAACATGTGGAACTGCGGGACTTCACGCTCAGTTCTATAAACATGGAGCATTCGAGGTCAGTTCATTATCAGTGATATGTGATCAACAAACGCACATGAGAACTTCGCTGATCCAGTGATCCAGTATACTGGAATTCCGCCCCTAGGCATGCTTGTCGGGCTTTGCGTGTTATCGTTGCCAATTATTCGACAACGGTTCTACAACTTTTTCTATCGCCTCCATATTCCACTTTATATAGCCTTCCTGGGGCTGATGTTCTGGCATGCAGATGATCAAATGGACTCGTGGGCATACCTCTGGGCTACATTGGCAGTTTGGCTGTTCCAGGTCATTGGGCGCCTCTTTATAAAGTGGCAGACCTTCCATGTCCATCGACGTTGGTTCTCGGGCTTCTCAGCGACACTGCAGCAGCTTCCTGGAGACATGATATATGTCACTCTTCTAGTCCCATCAGATCTTCACTGGAAACCAGGTCAGCATTGCTGGCTCCGAATGCCTCATCTATCCACCCTACAGAACCACCCGTTCACGATTGCGAATCTCCCCAGCCAAGAGGTTGGCGACAAGACCGACACCCAGGTCATGGAGTTTTACATCCGAGCTTACAACGGCTTGACACGAGACCTACACCAGTCTGTGCTAGAGTACAGCGACCGGTCTGTACCGATGCATGTTGATGGGCCCTATGGTGGGCTTCATGAGGACTTGGCCGGGAACTACGACTCGCTTGTTTTTGTCTGTGGCGGCAGTGGAGTATCCGCTTGCTTGCCTCACATCTTGAACGAATTGAGGGTCAGTCGGCAAGGATCCGCTGTATTGAAGAGTATTCATCTTGTGTGGATGGTACGAGATCGGAGCCACGCAGACTGGGTATCGAAAACACTTAGTGAAGCTTCAACCGTTCCCGGCCTTCTACACGCTCATTTGTATATTACAGGATCTGCAAAAAGTGCAGCAGGACTTTCTGACATCGAGCTTGGGGCTATGGAAGCGAAGAACATCACACCTCAGACCCAGGACTTGACGCACGAAGACGATGTACAGCCAGAGAAGTCGCAAGGAATTTGGACTGTACGGAACGGACGACCTTTCCTCCTGGAATCTCTGCCGCCTTTATTGACCGAGCGTAGAACTTTTGTGTTTGGTGAGTGAAGTCTGCTTGAGTAACGAAGTACTTGCAGGCTTTTGACTGATTTGATATCTTAGGATGTGGCCCAGAGAGTCTTAGACTAGATCTTGGAAATGTAGTTTCGCGTTCTCAGACCAGAGTTCTGAGAGGTGAAGCAGATGTCCTTTCCCTTCACATGGAGGCTTTTGGATGGTGAGAATTGACTCGGAGTTGAAGGTTATCAAAAGTTCGATCTGCCTTTCTGTTTTTTGTTTTTGTGGTTTCTCCATGCTATTTTGGCATCCTTTTCTTTCCAAATGTGTACATAGAGATAGATGTATAGAGATAGATGTATACTCGTTGAATCCACACGTTGCCCTTAAGAAGCCACTATGTATTCTCAGGACCCCTTCAGGATGATCCTCCACTACCATTAACGTGCCTGGAGTTCGATGGGGATGCGATCCTGGGAAATATTTCTATGTCTATTTTCCTGCATTGAATCCTCTACGGCCGTGGGAAAATCATCCATTCTCGGTTGTACCATCGGCTCTGATACCGCCACCGTCTTCAGATGATGCCGACTCCGAATTCAGACTTCACCAGTGGTGAAATTGATGATCCAGCGAAGCTTGGGAAAAGTGATCTGGTGACCCCAGTGTGACAAGCGTTCGTGGCTGTGGTCTCTCTGTTGGAATTGCACTTTACGTCCGAAAGTCTGCTGGCGTGACCAAGGGCCTTTGTCCACAAAACAACCTGCTTACTTTCATTGAAGGACCTTATCCCAACAATTCGATACGACAAGTTCTTTCATGTGAACGTTTGCTACTCATTGGAGGAGGGATTGGTATCACCAGCATTCTTCCGATTGCAGCTCATCATAGGAATGTCAAGCTTGCCTGGAGTGTGAAAGAGTCTGCCAAGTGCATAGTCGACGATTTAAGAGAGGCTTTAGATCAAATGAAGGAAAAGGATGTGCGTATTGGTAGCAGGTATGACATTGAGGACCTGCTCAGTCAGGAGATGGAAGCTGGATGGGACAATGTCGGCGTTGTTGTCTCTGGTCCCGGAGGTTTATGTGACGATGCAAGAGTTGCTGTTGTTGCGGCGGCAAAACTTGGAAAGACTAAATTCGAGCTTGAAGCCGGGGCATATTCCTGGTAGTCTGCGAATTTCAAGAATTCTTCAACTGCATAGCTCAATGGTTGAGTGACCCACCTGGGCGGCAAAGAAGCTAGCAGGGCTGTTGATACTATTTTGTATATGGTATTCCATTGTTACCTAAATAATTACTAGACATAATCTCAAGGCAGAAAAGCAAAAGAACACTTGGTCCCAGCATACTGTCGTACCTGAAATCGTGCATCATACCTATGTATGTAGGGACGTTAGACGTAAGTTATCTTCAACATGCCGCCTTTGACATATGACACAGGCCCACCGTGAAACCCCTGTTTCAGTTCATTTTCTTTCGAGTCTTTGTGATGTATAGATAGAAACATGTATAAAGAGGGATCTCGTCTCCCTTGCTAAAATAGAGACTCGAACAAAGAAAGAAAAGGAGAGCAAAGAAACAAAAAAAAAAGAGTCAAGTGGAGGAGAGTGTTTTGCGTGGATCACCCGCGGGGACTGCGGGGCTGAATCCCATCACACTCGACACCCTTTTTCTTCTTCATCTCGACTCTGCTCTTCAGCTCGTTTTCTCTCTCTTTCCCTCTCACTGCGCGATCTCATCATGGCTGATTTACAGGGCCGCAAGGTCTTCAAGGTTTTCAACCAGGACTTCATCGTGAACGAGCAATACAATGTGACCAAGGAGCTGGGTCAGGGTGCCTACGGTATCGTGTGGTAGGTGTCGATCTTTTCGTTTCTCGACACGTGCTGACAGATGAAGCGCGGCCACCAACATTCAGACTGGCGAGGGTGTTGCTGTGAAGAAAGTGACCAATGTCTTCAGTAAGAAGATCTTGGCTAAGCGCGCCCTCCGCGAGATCAAGCTGCTCCAGCACTTCCGCGGCCACCGCAACGTGAGAACTACAGCCCGACCAATGCCTGCAACCGCTAAAGCTCCCTAGATCACATGCCTTTACGATATGGATATTCCCCGACCGGACAACTTCAACGAAACATATCTCTATGAGGGTACGTGCTCTGAACGGATTTGGAAGACCAGAAACTGATCGCCCCCGCAGAGTTGATGGAATGTGATTTGGCTGCCATCATTCGCTCCGGTCAACCTTTGACCGACGCTCACTTCCAGTCCTTCATCTACCAGATCCTCTGTGGTCTCAAATACATCCATTCCGCCAATGTTCTGCACCGTGATCTGAAGCCCGGTAACCTGCTGGTCAATGCCGACTGCGAGCTGAAGATTTGCGATTTCGGTCTGGCCCGTGGGTTCTCCATTGACCCAGAGGAGAACGCAGGATACATGACCGAGTATGTCGCGACACGGTGGTACCGTGCGCCCGAGATCATGTTGAGCTTCCAAAGCTACACCAAAGCCAGTAAGTCTCACCACCGTATGCCACCACCTAAGCTCCCCACTAACCCCCACCACAGTTGACGTCTGGTCCGTCGGCTGCATTCTCGCCGAGCTTCTCGGCGGCCGTCCGTTCTTCAAGGGCCGCGACTACGTCGACCAACTGAACCAGATCCTTCACTACCTGGGCACTCCCAACGAAGAAACCCTGGCACGCATCGGATCCCCTCGCGCACAAGACTACGTGCGCAACCTTCCCTTCATGCCCAAGGTTCCCTTCAAGCAGCTCTTCCCCCAGGCCAACCCCGACGCCCTCGACCTGCTCGACCGCATGCTAGCCTTCGACCCGTCGTCCCGTATCTCCGTCGAGGAGGCCCTCGAGCACCCCTACCTTCACATTTGGCACGATGCCTCGGACGAGCCCAACTGCCCCACCACCTTCGACTTCCACTTCGAGGTCGTCGACGAAGTCCACGATATGCGGAAGATGATCCTCGACGAGGTCGTGCGCTTCCGCGCTACCGTCCGCCAACAATCCCAGGCCCATGCTGCGGGACAGCAGGCGGCCGCTCAGCAGACCAATGTCCCCATTCCTGATCAGCAGGGCTCGTGGAAGACTGAAGATCCCAGACCTCAGGAGGCTACCGCTGGCGGTGGCTACAACCCCAATGATCTGGAGTCATCGCTGCAGCGCGGTATGGATGTGCACCACCGCTGATTTTGTGCTTGGATCTGCTTCCGTCGTTCTCATTCGGGGGATTTTCCGGCGTGTCAAAATCAGTTCTCACGCCCTGCATGTTGATCTAATTTAGCCAAGAGATACCAGAGAAACAAAAAGACTGGGACGATTTACATGGTTTTCTATTGTTCTTGCCCATCATCTCAACTTCATTCCGCGCTTTTCTTTCTCCACATAGCTGGGGTGTGTTTATTCGTGCTGTGTACTTTGGATTTAGATATTTCATCTAGGATCAATAGATCGATTTTTCTGCAAGAGCTGAAATATATCGCAATTACATAAATCCAGGATTGCCATACTACTTTCATTTAGTCCAGATTCCAGAAAATGTACGGAGTACCCAAGTAACAAAAAGAAAGTCATGAATTCATTTCAGCGCTATAATCCACCAAGTTCGCTCAAGATAGATAACAAAAAAAGTCCAGTGCATGGGACATCCAAGTCCCCAGACTCAGTAATAGTACCCTCTCCACCAAACAGCCATACAAGCCGCAACAACCAAATCCAGCATCTTCAGGCCCTCATCCTCAATAACCAATTTCCCAAGCTTAGCACTCTTTCCCCGTAACCCGCCTCCAGCAGGCTCTCTCGCAAGCGAGAGATCGAGTCGGTCCTCGTCGGATTCTGCATCGCAGTCCAGCCCGCCACTACTGGTGCTTGTACTGCGGTGCGCGTACGGTTGAGTAGGGGAGTGGAATTGGCTCTGGCGCGCGAAGCGTTGCGCGCGCTGAGAGGTTCGGCGGAGGAGGGCGGAGGGGTTGAAAGGGGGTCGGGGCTCTGATGGGGTGGAGATGTCCCTGTCCCTGCTTGGGGCGGAGCCTGGGCCTGAGTGGGCCCGTGGGCGGGAGTAGGTGTTTGGGTTGAGGAGTTGGGAGAAGGAGCCCCGTTTGGAAGAGTGGTAGGGAGGGGGGGAGTCGGGGCTAGGGTTTTCGGAGTCGTAGCTTGGTCGAGGGAGGTGTTGGGTTTGGAGTTGGCTTTGGTTGAATGGGGAGACGTGGTTGGGGTGTGGTTTGTGGGCTGCGTGGTGGGCGTGGGAGTGGAGGTTGGCTGCTTGGAAGGGGGTGTTGAAGCGGAGCTCGGCGACTGTCACGGCTGGGGGTGGTTCGTTCTCGCCGGTGGGTGAGATGAAGCCGCCGGGTGTTGGGATCATGTGCTTGCATTTGAGGCTTCGGCCGTTGACGCTGCTGGCGAATGTGCAGGTGCCGTTCCAGGGTGAGGTGAAGACGTAGTAGCCGCTTTTCAGCCTTGAGTTTTCAGAGGCCTGGTTAGTGGAATCGCCCATGGAGTCATCGAAAGGCTTTGACACGCAGAGTTGGCGGTGGAATTTGCGAGGCCCGTTGGATTGTCCTGTTGGTTGGTCCTTTGGTTGGTCCTTTGGTTGCTCGGCGGCTAGGGATTGTTGGAATCCAGCACGACCGATCCCTGTTGGCAGATTGACTGAGAGGCTGGATAGCGAGGGTAGATCATTGGAGCCTGCAAATCTGTTATACCCGGGTGTGGAGATCTCAATATCAACGGAATTGCAGTCCATGCGCGGAGTTGATATGGTCGCCACGTTCCACTGTGTACCAGACGTTGGATCACGTCTGATCAATGTGATGTGGAAACCGGCATTGCTGGAAGCTGTACCATGCGCATTCCTTTGCCTGGAGGGAGATTGCCCCGGACTTCTCAATGGAGATCCAGGGCGATCATGAGATGACCGAGGCCGCAAATGCGGCCTAGGGGAGTCAAGACTATGACGACCGGCTGATAGCGCATCGTACCTTTCCCTCAAAATCTCACTTTTGCTCTGTATGTGCCCAGCAAATGCACTCCACCGAGTCGCCCGTTTTTGGGGATCCTCAGCGGTAGATGAAACGCCCCAGGATTCCTCCCCAGGTGGCAGGGGAGGAAGGGGCCGCGATTGCAAGGCGCTCTGGGGGCCAATCTCACCCGTTGCGCCTTCAGACACGGCATAAGCCGGGGGAGGCTGCGAATTGGCTACCGGGGTTCCAGGAAATGACACATTTTCCGCGGTCACCTGCGGCATGGGTTGGCGCGGCGGCAAAGTTGGAGGAACAGTGCCGTGTTGGGGTGGTGTTGGTGGGAGGTCAGATGTCGCATCCCCTCCCACTGGCTTGCGCCGCACATTGTTCAGTCGTGCAAACTCGCGCCTCGCTGGGTCGTCGATGGGTGCTTTCTCGAGCTGTTCTCTGTGCAACTGAGCCTCCTCCTCGCGCTCTTCCTCCACCTCTTGGAGCAGGGTGTCGTCTTCGGGGGTTGATACATGAAGATAGTATAGAGATGCGTTAATTGCCTCCGCGGAAACGCTTGATTTGGTTGGTGGCTTCAAAGGTGAAAGAAAAATGTCTGTAAGGCAGCAGTTAGTTAGGCTTATTGTTTGGTAATTTTGGTGGTTTGGGCCGATAAGGCTGGATGGAGGGAATTGGAGAGCTCGAGAACCTGGGGAAACGATCTAGCAATTTGATTGACATACATTTGCTACCTGGGACGCGTACAATGTACAGCGAAAGCGGATCGTGCTTCTCGTGGGTGGGATTGCGTGGGTAGGCGGGGGGATTTGATGCGATAGCGGTCACAGAGGACAGTGAACGTGCCTCGACAGGACCCTGAGGGACAGCAGACATCGCGGACGAGGCCGCGTTCTACCGGACCCAAGAAATATAACCAAATTGCAGCTGTTGAAAAGTTGAAGTTCGTGCAGACACAGAAACAATGGGCCTCTCGGCAGTAGGCGGAGATCGTTCGCCGCCTTGATCTATTTCAGGGCTGGTATTCGCTGTCGGGCCGATGTTGAATCAAAGTCGCACATGGGACTGAGGGACGCAAGGGCTATTGAGAAAAAAAAGGATGCTGCCTATCGTGGCGCAGTACGTGGCCCGTTTGCGCGGGTATATACTTGCCCTCGATTATAGGCGTGATCTACAGTGGTATGTTGCGTATAAATACTGTTGGTATCTTCAAAATAGCTACATGACCAGAAGTAAACTGTATCTGTAGAAAACAGTAAGGAAAAGATTCAAGGAATGCAGTCTGGAGTAGATTCTCCAAGGGGTGTCAATACAAATGGACTCCATGCTGTAACGCCGCGAACCCTGTCCATGTCCATGTCCCGAAAAAACAATAAGAGAAAAAGAAACCAAGTAGGAAAACTGTGTGTATCAACATTAGACGACGGTCTCGGACCGTTCGCCTTCCGCGATCACTGGTACACCAAGACCACGATCAGGGCTCTGCAACACAAGCTGTTCGTGACGCCGTGCTCGCAGGAAATCGCTGACGGCTCGAATCAGAATGAACCACCCAACGATCATGAGGATATATGAGATCCATTCACTGGTCGTGATGCCAGAGATGGCGCCATTTCCACCATCGCCGCTGCTCTCACCGACGGAGTTGGGATCGAAGCTGTGGCTGTTCGGGTCTGGTGGGGGAACATATTGATCTGAACCACCTTCCGACCCCGAACCGTCACTGCCACCCTTCATGTAGAAGCCATATTGAACAAGAGTAAGACCGAGACCGGCTCGGCTGCCATTCTTTGCGGCATGTGTGGTATGAAGAAGATAGGTTAATAGGAAACCGACCAGCTGGAAGGACATCGAGATCATAGCGTTCCAAACAAACGAGAACACTGATCCAACTGGTAGTCCGTCGACATAGACCTCGTCCGAGGAGATACCGGGGGCCACGATGGTAGTCTCCCAGTACGGGGGTGTGGCATCAGCGGCTGCTTCCTCATATGACTATACGAACGAAACATCAGTAATCGGGCCCTGATAAGTCTACAAAGCATAGACAGCAAACTTACAGGAGGAAGATCTTCGCTTTTCTCTCCCCGTTCAGGCTTGGCGTTAAGATTGGCAAAGACTCCATCATTAGATGGGGCAATTTGTCGACTGCCCGGCGTTGAGAAACTGGGCAACATCGTGGGCCTCCGTATAATCCCCGATCGGCTCTGGTCCTGCGATTCCCTTCTAGATGCTGATGACGACGAACTGGCACTCTGGGCGTTGTCCACGGGACGGGAATCGAGGTCGGCTCGCATCAGGCGTTGCCTGTCATCTGGTTCATTATCATCGTCGGAATCGTCCTCGTCGCCAAATGCATCTGCCAAGGTTTGTTCTTCATTATTATCCAGCGGATCGTTGTGCAATAGCCTCCTCGTGGACGGCGAAGAGGATCGGGATCTAGAGCGGAAGGACGGTGGCGGAGACGAGTTGGGGTCGGATCGCGCGTTCAGCGGATAAGAATGTGGCCCTTCCTCTTCATCATGGGCGTTCACCTGGAAATGTATAAGTCAGTATCTGGTCGAGGAGTCACATCCGGGCTGTTCGATACGATCAGCGGGGGGAGGCGCACCCGTGAATAGCGCTGCGAGCTCATGGCGAGCTGAGCGGGAAGTGACCGTTGAGAAACACAAAGGGAAGAAAGAGACGAGACACAACTTAGGTTGGAATGTAGAAAGGATAACGAGAGTAAAGGGGGGTGTGGAAGGTGTCGGGGTTAGACGGCAACAAGAATGGATGTGGCTGATGATGCCTGATGACCCAGGCCGAAATAGACTGTTCCCGGACTGTCGAGTATTTCCTTGTCTTTGCCGCCATCAACCTCATTATTCGTTGACATTGCCATTCACCATGTCTAAAACTGTGAGTTTTCCTCGGGCTGTCTACATCTCTCCCCCGGGTTGAATAGGAGCCCTCTATCAATCCAGCATCAAACCTCCTGACAAGCCAATTCAGACAATCAACCCGCGCTCGATCCAAAGTCGCCTCACGCACATCCTTAATCACTGGCCCTCCGATGCTGTTCGCCCAGCTTCGGTCTCCGTCCAAACATACATTCAATCCCGTCTCCAATCAGCCAGCAAGTCCAGCCCAGAGATCTCCGAAACCTCCACCAAGGCCCTAGAAGCCTTACTGGGCAATCGTTTCGCGGCCAAATATCCTCTCCCGCAGAAGCTGCGCCGGCCAGCCAGCAATCCAGAGCACTACGATAATGTTGTCCGCGAGTTTGCAGAGGCCCCGAACCGCGACTGGTTCGGACGTTTAAAGAAGAGAATGGCTGGTATCATCCGCTTGACCTAGTCTTCTTTTTTTTACTGCATAATCTCCGACTAAGATATACTTGATTTTAACATGCTCTCGCTGGAACGGAGTGACCACCAGAGCATGGGGCTTTGATATTATGGGTTGCATGCTGTGTACCAATACCTTTTTTTTGTCTTCATTTGTTCAAGTTTGTATTTCTAATATTCCACGCCAGTGTACTAAATATATCCCAAAAGCAATATTTTCGATGCATGCCCAGGATATGTCCATGGGGATGAAAATTGAAATTGAAACAATCTAACTCCTGCAAAACGACCAATTGCTATGTACAAAACGCTTTAACAGAAACGTACAGGATGCATGCAAATTTACATCATTTACAGCATGGGCTTGATCTCATCGGCGACCTTGAAGGGAGCCTCGGTCTTGGCCTTGACTTCCTCGACAGTGACACCGTCGGCAAGCTCGACAAGAGTCAGGCCGTGGGAGAAGTCGACGTCGAAGACGCAAAGTTCAGTGATGATGCGGCTGACACAGGCAGGGCCGGTCAGGGGGAATTCGCAGTTCTTGACAATCTTGGGGTTACCCTTCTTGTCGGTGTGTTCCATGGTCACAACGACCTTGGTGGCAGCGGGGTTGGAGACGAGATCCATAGCACCACCGAAGCCCTTGATCTTACCGGGGAGCATCCCTGGGAGATATGTTAGCGAGAAGTTTCAAATCAGAGCTCCAAAGAAAACTTACAGTTGGCCAAGTCACCCTTGGCGCTGACCTGCATGGCACCGAGGATAGTGAGGTCGATACGGCCGGAGCGAATCATGCCGAAGGACTCGTCGCTGCCGAAGCAGCTAGCACCGGGCTTGAGAGTGACGGTCTCCTTGCCGGCGTTGATGAGGTCGGCATCCTCCTGGCCCTGCTTGGGGTAGGGGCCGAGACCGAGAATACCGTTCTCGGACTGCAGGGTCACTTCGACGGAGGGGTCGACGAAGTTGGGAGCAAGCATGGGCATACCGATACCGAGGTTGGCGTACATGCCGTTCTTGAACTCCTTAGCGGCGCGGCGAACAATGCGCTCGCGCTTGTTGGCGGTCTCACCCTGGCCGAGGGCAGAGGTGTCGGCACCCTCCTCCTTGGCGAAGGTGAACTTCTCAATTCCCTTGGGGGTGGTGCTCTGGATGACGCGCTTGACGTAGATACCGGGCAGGTGGATAGCAGCGGGGTCGATCTCGCCGGGCTCGACGATGTTCTCAGCCTCGACGATGGTCATCTTGGCGTTACGGCCCATGGCACCGTTGAAGTTGGCGGCGGCGTAGCGGAACTGGCAGTTACCGAGCTTGTCGGCCTTCCAGGCCTTGACGAAGGCGTAGTCACCCTTGATGGCCTCCTCCATGACGTAGCTCTTGCCGTCGAAGACCTTGACATCGCGGGCCTCGCTGAACTTCGCGACAGTGCCGTCGGCGTTGTGGCGCAGGGGAACGGCACCGGTTTGAACAACGGTACCGAAGGCAGCGGGTGTGTAGAAGGCGGGAATACCGGCACCACCAGAGCGGCAACGCTCAGCCAGAGTTCCCTGGGGGGTGAGCTCGAGGTCGATCTCACCAGTCAGGTACATGCGCTCGAAAGTCTTGTTCTCGCCGACGTAAGAAGCAATCATCTTCTTGATCTGCTTGGACTTGAGGAGCAAACCGAGACCGGCTCCATCGACACCGGCGTTGTTACTGGCCACAGTGAGGCCAGTGATGGAGGGGTTGGCGAGAACGGCGTTGATCAGAGAGTCAGGCACACCGGACAGACCGAATCCACCGGCCAGAACGGTGCTGTTGGACTTCATGTCCTTGATCGCAACCTCGGCGGAAGGGTACACCTTGTTGATCTCACTGCGGCGGACACTGCTGGAGAATGCACGGGCCATAAAACGTTGGTGCTACAGCACACGAGCTGTCAGTCTCCGCTACCGCAAACCCAATATTCAGAGAGCAGCAAAAGACTTACCTGGGCAGGATTGGCCGAGAACTGGCGCGCGAGGCGCAAGCATGTTGCGACTTGAGAAGGCATGGTGTAGATTTCCAATTGAAGAATTGGACTCAAGCTCGAGGATGTGCAAGGACCAAAATTTCCAGCAGATCCAGAATATAAAGATCTGGAGAACCCTCTGGGGTTGTGACAACGGCAATCAAGTACCACTTATAATCCCGGGCGGCAGTGAGAGCGGAAAGAGTCCCGACTGATATACACTTCCCCGGAATTGTGGATTACCGGTAGCTTCCGCCCACCAGGAATGATTCTTATTCCAGTCTCTTTCGCTTCTGGACTAGGAAATCTGTACTTAAAAATAGGCTAGCTCAACCAGCGTAGAGTTCTACACAATCCTACCTTTTTTTTGCATCTCATTACCTTCACAATCCCCATACTGGCACACTCACTCTCCACGTGCCGCTGCCGAAACTCTTAGCCGATCCGCATCCGATCCCGCGGCGCTTTTCGGCGTTCGGGGCTGACTAAGGGCATTTTCGTTCATCCGGGGTTCCTGAACCGTGGATCAGGGCGTTGGCGGTCCATGGACTTACGGCACGAATATGACGGGCAATGTTAAAAAGTATGAATTTGAATATCCATAATTCTACACGGACTCCTGGTATCTTCACAATATGTACCGGAATCGGATCGCTTCGCAATGCAGTAAAGTCCATCAAAACCCAGAAAAGACATTCGTGCAATCATGCGTCACGTAACTTATTACAAGTCGGTCGGTTTGCCATCAGCGTCAACACTCTTCCGCTTCAGAGGGTTGATACCGTCGATGGCAGGGGTGGAACTGTCAATGGAGACATTGCTGGTGTAAGCTATGAGTATTGATTAGAGTCAGCAAATGAAAGACAGGGCCAACTGATGTCAATATCACCGGAGAAGCTGGGGGGACCCATACCTGAGGTGCTCTGGGGAGATGGCCCGCTCACATCTCCACCGAGGCTTGTAGTATTGTCGTCTCCCGAAGTGGATGCTGGCCCATCGGGCACAGTATCGAGCACGCGATACACAGGGCTCACCAGACGCTCTTTCATGTCACTGTTGACATAGACCAGGAAGTAAGGGGTAGGGGGATTGTTGGTGGAATCATCCTTGAAAATTTCATCGAGATTCTGAACCTCGGTGACATACTCGTCATTGTACTTCCGCCAGATATCTTTCTCAAAATCGTAAATGTAGATGTAATAGTGCCCAAAGGAGACGGACCCATGATGCACGAAGACGGCATACAGGCGATAGGGAAGGTTGTGGTAATCAGCAAACTGGCTGTAAATCATGGCCTTTGCGTCCTTGATCTCTTGGTCAATGTCTAATGAAGTGTCAGCCTGTACATCGAAAGCAAACCGCCGGTTCGAAGTCATACCTTCTAGGTCAGACGAAGACCCCTTGGATTGGCATTCAACATCCTTTACCAGATGCGAATAATCAATTTCAATAGGGTTTGAGTTAGACTCGACCCTCTCAGGCTGCTGCCCAGAATCCAAGCCCGACAGCGCAATTTGGGATTGGCCCAGAAGTGCCGTCAGGGGCATTCCGTCATTTTGCTACAGGCGATGTTAGCGAAAGAAACGAAAAGTGAAGATGAGTAAATATGTACCTTGTTTCGAAGGAGCTGCTCACGTCGCTCCTCGAGCCTTTTAACGGATGCCTTCCATTCCCAACACTGTTCGCGTCGGCTCACTACCTCGGGATTCCTGGTATCCATGTAGCGATCCATGTAAATAGTCTCAAACAACTCGAGGTGGTTTGTCGATTTGAAGGAGGACTTTCTCACGGGATCAAACTGAACACGCTGAACTTGAATCTGTAGCACAGGGGGAAGACGGCTGATCGATCCGAATTGCTCGGCCACTGTGTCGTCAACGCTGATCGTCTGGACATCGAAGGCACCATCAATCGCTTCGTAGATGTTGCGAGATCCATGGGCAACATCGACTTTGATGTCACACCAACGCTCATTCTTAGATCGCGTACCCTTCTCGGTGGAGATGTAGGAGCGAGTTGTTCCGTAGAACAGACTAATCGAGAGGTCAGTAAACACGACAGCGAACAATTGTGATTACTTACTCTTTGATCTGATCGATCTGTTCGCCATCTTCATCGATATCACGAGCCTTGATGGCGCACTGGCTCTGGAACAGAACGTTGTTGATGACTTCCGTGACATCCTGCTGGGCACCGTATTCCAGCTCTTCTCTAAGCTGTTTCTCGTGGTCAACTTCGGGGATAGGACGAGGTGGAACAGGAGGTGGCAGGTTGGCATTGTCGGGGTTAGTCGTAATCACTTCGCCTGGCCCAATGTCTCCGACCTTTTCGGACTGGATTGATCCTATCTCTGCTTGATCTGACGCCATGTCATCCGATCCTGGAGTTTCAATCTCTTTGGTGCTGCTAAAGAGCCCAGGGGCACTGTTGTTAGTGTCATCGGAAGGCGTTGTAGTGGCATCGGCAGAAACAACGGTGTCCGAAGCATGGACGGGCGCAGGGTTGACGGTATTGGAATCCTTTTGATCCAGAGGCCCGTCAGGGATTGGCGGAGGGCCAAGGGGACCCAGAACTGGAGCGCCGTTGATTTCACCTAGGGTCTGGGCTCCTGGGGCAGTGATAGTTGAGCGACGACGAATTGCCGCCTCGTTCCCGGGGCTGATCAATGTCAACCGCGCAAGCTCTTGCCCAGGAGTAACCGAACTCTGGCGTGACCCGATCATGCCATGGTACAAAGTTCGAAGTTCCCCCAAGACTGCAAGTAGACGGGTTAGTATTGGGAGGATAAATGCATAGTCGCATATACTAGAGGAAACTTACATCGGATGGAACGCTCGACCTCTTTTTTGGTCACTTTGCGGGATCCCACTTGCTTTTTGGCTAGACTCTCCATATCACCAAGATCCATCTGGAAGCTCTCGAAGTCCAGAACCATCTCGCGGAAGGGTCGGACTGAGAAGTAGAACTGAAGCAAGCTGTTGAGATAACAGGTGTTTCCAATGTTTTGTAAGCCAACGGGCCAATCTTGCATGTTGTGTTGAGGCTCGGTGCTGATTCCTGCCATTACTTTCAACGAATTGCTGTTAATGTGATCGGCGATGACGATCAATGCCTGGTTGTATCTGTCCACATCGCCCGGGTTATCATCGGTACAGATCGTGTAAGCAGCTATGATAGCCCCATCATCCGCAGTCCGATCGGGAATCTGGAGTAGACGATAGGCATCGCCAATGTCCATTTCACCATCTAGAGTCTCTCCAGTCTGGTGGAAATGTTTAAGGGCGGCCGAGTTGCGAGATTCGGCGATAAGCCCCAGGGCACGAAGTGCTAAGTCTCTGGCTTCTGGATGATCACCGACCTATCCATTTTTGACAGGTAAGTTTGCGTCACTTCTCACGGTTGGAGAGACAAAGTTGAAACAAACCTTGGTCGTGTACATGGTCGTGACGAAATCATCCGGGGTATCATGCTCAACCCCCAAGTAAATGTTCGCTTGTTCAACGGTGGTAACGCCTGCTTCGATGTTAGTTTGGGCGTTTGAAGCCAAGACCGAGAAGGGGGGGACAACGAACGTTCTTCAGAAGCAGCTATGAGGCGATCGCTTGCTCGATCCTTGCCGATTCGCCACAGCTGGCGACGCGCGAGTTCTTCTTGTGTGGGTGAGTTTATGTATGCGTAGAAGCATTGGAGAATCAGATTGTCGTCGACGTTGTAATCCTCGGGATCGAGGCCAAAGAACGTGTATGCCCGGTCAACATCCACCGAGGCGAAATTTCCTGCTGCATAAGCCTCATCAACAGCCTTAGCCAGGCGCCGGTCATCTTTCCCTCGAGAACGACGCAGCCCGGCAATCTGCTTGAGGCAATCCAGAAAGTGAGGAGCCATCGAAGGGTCCGCGCAAACCTGCTGTTTGTATGCGTAGGCGATCGTGTCAGAGGACATGTCCTCTGTCACGCCAAGGTCTTCATAACAGCTTCAGATCGTTTGGTTAGCGTGAATTCTGCGAAGGGGGATGAATATACATACGAATCAGGGGCTAGTTGGAACTCTTCTGTGTCTTCAGCTTTGGGATCTGGAACCGAGGTCAGCGGCAGGACAGTGTGACAGGGATGACCATATACGGACAATCGCTGGCTTCCAAAGCATGAAGTATGTCTGGGATGGCAGATGAGGGGAGAACGGGGAAGTTTTGAGCTCTCTTTTCCGAGGCAGGGCGCTGGTGCGTCAAGATCAGGAGCTCAAGGATTACATCGTCAAGAAACACGCAAAGCGGGTCTTGGTAGGGCTTCTCGGCGCCAGCGACCGGTTTAGGCGGGTGCCACACGCCAGTATCCTAATTCATCAGCGACACTCTTCACTTGAGCGGTCCAAGGTTTTCTACTCACCTCCCTATAGGAGAACTCCAGGAACTCCAGCAAGTCTTTGCACGGATCACCTTCCACGCCGAAAACATGCACGAACCTCTTGTTCCCCGAGGCAATTGGCTTACTGCGCTGGGGGTTCCGAAGAGAGTTCGTGATATAGAGACGCAGATTCTCCAGCAGATTGATTGGTTCTGGATTTGGCATGCCTTCCATGGTCTCCCGGTATGTTGCAAAGGCATGTTCAGCTCGTTGCTGCAACAAGTCTTTATCGATCATTAACTGAACGAAGTCGTCACTCATCACAGGCGAAAGAATCCGCAACGAAACCATAGCCGCACATGAAGTGTATGAGCACTGGTAGTGGTATGTCTCTGCAATCTGGCCCCGGTGGGTCATCTCGGGCATTGAGACGCCATTCTTCTGTCGTCCCGACTTATAGACTAAGTGGTGAATATGTTCCCCCTTCAGGGCTTGGCTTTGCATCTGAACATTGGAGCTGTAGTTGACCACCACTTGCAGATGACACCGGCACTTTGAGCAGATTGCTGCCACTTTCGATGATGTGCCTGGTCTTCTCCGGTGCTCTGCCTGTGCCAGGAAAGTTTGATCCGGTTTCAGGACATAGTCATGGTGGCAAGCTCTTGGCGAAATCCATGATCGCGGACCGTCGTACTTCAGTGGATACAGAAGTGGCGTCTGCGAGAGCAAGTTGCGACCTGTGTCTGGTTCGTGGGCTGGATCATAGAGCTGGATATCTTGGACGAGGCGAGGCACAGTCTTGCCTATGGATGGCATTGTGTGTCAGTTTCATATCCAAGTTTTCCACGATTTGTCTGGCCGGGTTGATCGGGGACCTACCAGCCAACTGTGCAGGCGCCATGATATCCTCTCCGAGCCGTTGCGGCCTTCTGCTGTGAGCTTTTTTCTTGTTGCCCTGGATGTCTTATCGGCAGCTCAGTGAAAGATTTGCACAAATCTGGACAGGCACATCTAGGAATCAACTTGATGTGATGGCCTTGTGGCGTGGTGATGGAAGCGCGTTGTTGTATGCGGAGAGACAGCGGGGAGCCTACCTACTGCACTTGGCAGCAAACCGTCATGAGCTTGGGGGCTCTCCCAGGTCGTTCGGTGGTTGATATTGGGACCAAATGGTGATTATTTTAAGGAAATTTGGTCCAGATCCTGCACATCAAGCTGGCCAAATGAATGAAGCATAACGAGAGTGCCGAGAGCCTGACAACCTCCATATCGAGCTCCATTCAATGGTGGGCGGTATAGATTTGGCGGTCGGGAACGGCAGAACTCGATCCCAAAATCCTATCGCCAACCACATCCCATTGACCCGCAAGCAGACCCATCCCTGCGAACACATCATGGCGCACCACGAGGACGATCACAGCTACCATGCCAAGGATGCCATCTCGGCAGCCATGAAGGCGACCATGCTCACTGGTGGAGTTGGTCTGTTCGCATCGGCCGTGCAAAACACCCTCACCCGACAGAACGTCGGACCTCTGGGCATCTTCATCCGTGGTGGAGGTACCATTGGTGTCTTCGGTATGCAATCCTATGAATACAATTCTGTTCTACTGCTAAATTGACCCCCTAAAGCCGCCATGGGTGGTACCTACGAGTTCGTTAAGACCGCCTCCGCCAACCTGCGCGAGAAGGAGGACCACTACAACACCGCCCTCGGTGGCTTCTTCTCTGGCGCTATCCTTGGACTGCGTGGTAAGTCAAAAAAGAAATATCAATCGACGTTCATTTCGCGGATTGAAAGCTAAATATGGATTGTTCCCACAGTCCGCACATTCCCCGCTCTGCTCGGATACGGCCTTGCTCTGTCCACCGCCATGACTGCCTTCGAGTACACCGGTGGCAGCCTCTTCGGATACCAGAAGGACACATCTGTCGATGAGTTCGACCGCCGCACAGCCCTGCGCAAGGCATTCCAGACCCCCGGCGAGCAGACCATCGCCGAATTGGGCGAGGGACGCGGTATGTTTCGCCTGGCTCCCCATCCTCTCGACTGACGCTAATTTCCCCAGGTATCTACGGCCCCGGCTACGAGGAGAGACGCCGCGAGCGCATCAAGGATGCTTACGGCATTGAGGTTCCCACATCCCCAGTTCCTGCATCATAAGCCAGCATTCCTTTCGCGCCTTTTCCCGTTGTTTTGTGTAAATTATCCCCCCATATTACGCTGCCTATCGCATGCCGGACACGTCTATCCGATCAGGTTTTCTTTAGTTCCTAGGAAATTAAAACACTACACATTCCAGCTTGGGCGCAGCAGGGGTTCTGGAGTCGGATTTGTAAGATGTAGATCTTCCAGGGACCAACCTTGGAAGGTAGTACTGGAATTGTCGCTGCACATATAAGTGTCGAACGCATTGAATCAGCTTCAATCGACAGAGACACGGAGTGCAGATAATTGAGTCGACGTTCACAGATTCGAAAATGCGAAAATGAGGGGACAACCCCGGAGGGCGGGCCAATGACAACACCGGCATATCAAACGAGCTGTGCTCCGTACTCCGTGCATGGGAGTTGGACACTGCCAAGGTTGAAATGTCATTATGTCGCCATCAAAGTCTCATAGATAGACCTGAGTCATGAAAAGGGAGCCTTGAATCAGATCTTGCAAGGAGTGCGGAGTGCGGAGTATATAACCATCAAAGCCCGAACTGCCCACGACCATGGGATGCAGGTACTGGATTTTCTGATTTGGAGTCGATCGATCGAATCATGTTCCCGCACAGTTCTTCATGTGAACTCATTGGCCCATATAATACCTAAGTACGGAGTCGTCGAGAATATGCAACCCTACATCCAGGATATGGGAATTTGGGTCAGTACCTTGGTACCAGACGAGACCGAGAGAGAATACGGTGTGAAGATATTCCCAGTCCTGCGACGTCATGGACTGTTCATCAGGGCCGAATCCCCTTAAAGCCACATGTAGTAGTGGGTTGCGCTAATGGCACTGGGAATCCGATTTGGGCTCAATAGTGCAGCTCAGGCACAGCCACTCCTAGGCAGCTAGATTGATCGTCGAGATAGTCTACTCCCTATGAAGACAGAAGTACAAGATGGGATATATGTAGTCCGTATCTACTCCGTAGTTCTCAATACTAGGTAATCCGTGTAGACCAAAACTTGAAACGGTGGCAGATTCCGATGCAGTACGTCAAAGACGAACGCCAACACCTCGGGTGCCCCGGCCCAGTGCCTCCGTAGACGTCATCGTGAGAGACCATCTCTGCTGAACAGTATATCGAGGCCCAATGCCCCCCTCCTTTTTTTGTGTTCTCTACGGTGTGGGTCATTGGAATCATTCTCCCCGCAATCAATTCCTCGTTCGCCTGGTAACCAGCGCCACGCCTATCCTTGATTTTTCCTAGCTCCATCCTTCTTCCCATATCCCCTGTCGAGAAAAATAACCCTCGTATCCTGCGATTCACGTCTGGACCTCCGAGCACCAACTCGTTGAATTTACGATCCCGCAGAAATGGCCATGGCCGCGCGGCCACAGACGCCCTCCCAGGATGCATACAACGATCCCGGGACTCTAAGTCGCGGGTACGGTCCGCGCTCTACCCTCTCCCGACCGAGCTCCTTCGCTGGCAGCACTTCCTACAATTACGGCTCGGGCGCTCTCGACCCGCAGATCCACAACCCCCGATTCAGGGAGGACTTCGACGCCGCTAGCCACCGCGGCTCGATGGCCTACGACGGCCCCGTTGGGGTGCAGCGGTCAGCCTCCACCATGTCCCATGTGCGATCCCAAACCCCCACCCGCGCCGGCACTCTACAGAAAAAGGCCTCCCTGAGCAAAAAGGGGAGCTTGCGCCGGAATGGAAGTCGCAGGAGTATGCGCGCGGGCAGCGTGCGAAGTCTCAGCCTGGGCGATCGGGAAAAGTATCACACTGAGGGTTCCGACGATGTGAATAGCGCTTTCATGCTCCCGATCCCTACGACTGGAAACCCGACCGAGGTCCTGGCGAACCGGTTTGGAGGTGGGCTTCCCCTTGCAGTGAGATGTGACTTTGGACTAACCGCGATCGATATTTAGCGTGGCGCAAGGTCCTCAAGGACTTGATTCTGTTCTTCAAGGAGGTCCAGAAATCCTACGAAACCAGAGCGAAATTGTTCATGTCCGCCTCGAATGTTGTCAACAACCAGACCCTCCCTTCGGCCTTCCTGCAGTCTGGCGGTCTGGCCGATGCGACAGAGATCCTCCGGGACTTCCACCGACAAGGGTACACAGAAGCCAACAAGGCTATTGAAGTGGAGGTCGAGGTGATCAGTCAATTGACGGGTCTTCGCAGCGATCTGCAGAAGAAGACCAAGGAGATCAAGAGCCTATCGGGTGATTTCAAGAACACCGTCGACAAGGAAATCGATGGTACCCGCAAATCCGTGCGAAACCTTCATGAGGCTCTTGGCCTGGTCGACACCGATCCGTCTGCGACATCGGGCAAAGGCGACCCATTCATCATGCGCTTGAATGTGGAGAAGCAGGTGGAGAAGCAGATTGAGGAGGAGAATTATCTCCATCGGGTTCGTACTACACCCCTAACTAAGCGCTTGATCATCTGGCTAATTCGTTCACTAGGCATACTTGAACCTGGAGAACTCCGGTCGCGAACTGGAGGGGATCGTGGTCAGCGAGATCCAAAAGGCATACAATGCCTACGCGAGCATCCTTCGACGTGAGGCCAACGAGGCTCTCGACACCGTAGAGAAGCTGCAGGCCGGTCCCATCTCCATGCCCCAGGACCATGAGTGGAACTCGTTCGTCGCTGACACCGACGAGCTCGTGGATCCCCGAATCCCGCTTCGCAATGTGGAGAACATCACCTACCCTGGTAAAGATCATCCGGCTGCTGCCGAGGTCAGAGCTGGGATGTTGGAACGAAAGAGCAAGTACCTCAAGAGTTACACTCCTGGATGGTAAGCCGAGTCTCCCCCCGCGAAAGAAGCATTGTCTAACCAATCCCAGGTATGTTCTGTCGCCGACACATCTCCACGAATTCAAGTCGGCCGATCGGGTGGCATGGCAAACACCGGTCATGTCCTTGTACTTGCCAGAACAAAAGCTTGGCTCCCACTCGCAAGAAGACTCGAGCTCACACAAGTTCATGCTCAAGGGTCGTCAGACTGGTGCGATGCATCGAGGCCACTCGTGGGTCTTCCGCGCCGAGTCCCACGAGACTATGATGTCATGGTATGAAGATATCGAGGGACTGATTAGCACGACGGGCGAAGCGCGCAACGCCTTCGTTCGCAAACATGTCCGGAGCGTGAGCGGAAGATCAATGAACAGCGAAGTGATGGAGGACGATGAAGCCGATCGCACACCCTACTCTGCGGGCTCCGTAATCCTCTCTCAAGACCGACCCACATCCTCGCGCCAGGCCGGAGGTGCATTCCCAAGCGATGTCCAAATCGATCGTCACCTTCAAGCACCGCTATCGCCATCAAGCGGTGACAGCTCCGCCGGCCGAGGTGACATGCTAGCCGCGGCTGGGTCTTACCCGGATGGCTCAAGTCCTTTCGATGACAACACCCGACGGGCAGCCAACCATGAGAGCGACCACGACTCGTACCACGCTTACCAATCCGGCGAAGGGACCATCCGTAGGTCCTCGCGACCCAGAGTGACGCAGCATGATAGCTACTACGGAGATTGGATGGGACCAAGTGCCATTGTTGCTCAGCAGCAGAAGACCCAACATCTGGAACCCACCCCGGACGATCGTGAGGTTCGGTCCGAGGGTGACCAAGCCTCTCTTGCCGCCATTGCAGGCGTGGGTTTCGCCGGTCGTCGCGATCACTCGGCCCCTCCGCAGGTGGCTCGTCGGGAGAGTGTTTCAACCGCACCTACCAATACCAATGCGACGGAATACACGAACAACACCAACGCTACTTCAGTAGACGATACCATTGATCATCCTAAGATCCTCACCCCCGGTGTGCCACTTCCATCGGGCGCCGACACTTCAAGTCCACTGGAGTTGCGTGCCAAGAAAGACAGCATCACTGCCTTGGACATGAAGATTCCTGGCCGCTATCCCCCTACCAACGTGGCGGCATAAAAAAACATCGTCGATATACGATCTCCATATTGCCATTTCCTTTTCATCGCGGTGCTTTGAATGTCTTTTTTCATCCTTCAATTCTTCTCATTTTCGTCTCTGATTTATTATTGTACATTTATCTCTCGTTAGTCCTCTACCTACCGTCCTACAGGCGTTCAGGTCCCCTCGCTGGAGCTTCCACCCGGTTTTTTTACAGCTCCAAGCTGCACAGGCGTTCGTTTTCAGGCAGGGTGTGGCGCATTTGATTTATTAGTGAACCTTGATTCCCAGTGCTGGATTTCTGGCACCCCATTTCCTTCGTTTGTGGATGGCGGTTTTTGTGAGAGCCTTAGTTGCCAATAAATGTTGTTTGCACGCTGTAACTTGCCGGCCGTGTACCGGCCGTGGCATTTGGCATTGAGTAATTGAAATACAGCCATCCTGCAGCCAGTGATGAGTGCAGATCACGAGCACAGCTGCTTAGGTGCATACAGTTGACAACCTGGAAAATAGTTACTACCTGTCTGTAGGTCCACGGGTGGGTTGAGACGGTATCTAGGCACGATAAGTAGGCCGTAGAGATAAGAGCTTGGGGTGAGGCGCATAAGCTGGAGACTCTACGGAGCACAAGGTGTTGACTTCCTCATTTCCCATTTGGAAGCTGTAGCAATATGACCAAATGATCTCTCTTATTGTTTCCACCCCAGCCTGGGCCGTTAGTGCTGACACAAGTACGAAGTAGGCAAGAGTCCGAAGTATAGCAGCGCTATCTGCCTGAAAACGGGGCGGTGAGCGGCACCCGAGTCAAGTATCAGAATTCTGTGTCTCCTCTTCTCCAAAGCACTTCTATAATCTCCATCCATTGTCCTTCTTCCTCTCTCCTCTCTCCTCTTTGTACCACATTCAACCTCTTACAGCCACGCGCGGGCTCATAATCATGGGTGGGTTTCTGTTTCTCTTGTATCTTTTGTATTACTTGTTTGTTACTGTCGCCCTGGTACATTCTCAGGTCCCGGTCATTCCAGACCACCAATCACCGTCTCTTTCCCACCCCCAATGTTGAAACCTTGCTGGATTCTACCTTCTTTTTCCCCCGCTTCCTTTCCCTCCTCCCCTTTAACCCTCTATATATCATTTTGGCTCTTTGTGAGATTCTGACCCTCCGTCCAGCTGACGTTTATCGCCCAGACGATTCTTATCGTCCTTACCAAGTAAGTCATCCGCTCCTTTGTGTGTCTTTTTTATCTGGATCTTCCCTCATTGCGCGCATCCATCATCGTCCGTGAGAGAAAGTGTGGTCAGTGCGGGGGCGGAAACCGCCATCGCCATGCCAGTGATCTCGCGATATATGAGATTGTCCCCCAATCACCCCGTATCGCAATAGCTGGGTGCATTCGGGACTAATTGCGCCGTGTCTACAACAATGTGCGCCAGTGGCTCTAAGCTCCAACCCCGGAAGGTCCTCAGTTGAGACAAGCTGAGCCATGGGTCACCTGACCAGGCCGAAGACCCCGAGACGACCGGGGTTGCGCCGGACCACCTGCTTCCGCACCACCTATCATCTTTCTTTCATCAATTTGTCATTGCATTCGTCACGGCTATACATATTTGTTACGATGGCTGATCAATCCCAGCGCGAGAGGTCTCGTTCCCCTCGCCGCCGTCCTTCTCGCAGTCCTCCCCGTCGTGCCCGTCGCTCGTACTCCCCACGCAGTCGCTCCCGCAGCCGTGACCGCGGTGACCGTGCTGAACGCGTTGACCGCGTTGAACCCCGTGAACGCGACGAATACCGTCGCCCCGATCGCCGCTCGCGATCCCCTGTGAGTGCTTCAGGCGCCGCCGGACCTTCCGCCTCTCCCTACGGCGGACGCAGTGGATACCCCCCTGCTCGATCGGAAGAACGCACCGTTGCAAAGGAAAATATGATGCAAACCGTTCGCGATACATCTCAACAAGACCGTCGGGTCTACGTCGGCAATCTATCCTACGATGTCAAGTGGCATCACCTTAAAGACTTTATGAGACAGGGTGAGCAGGGCGCTTTGGTGGTGCGATGGATGGCGTGAATGAGAATCGTTGCTGACTGGGGTGGTATTTTCCCCTTTTACAGCTGGAGAAGTTCTCTTTGCCGATGTTTTACTTCTTCCTAACGGAATGTCGAAGGTGGGCGTCAATACGTAGAATGGCTTGTTCCTTTCTATTCCCCCGATTTGAATTGGTTTGTTTGTGGAACGTTGGGTTGACGGGATGGACATGGCTGTCCGGCTATTTGTAGGGATGCGGGTGAGTACTTGGCATGTCTTCAATCACAAATGCACGCTGCTGACATATCCCAGGATTGTGGAATACGCCACCAGAGATCAAGCACAAAACGCCGTCAACACGCTTAGCAACCAGAGCCTGATGGGTCGTCTGGTTTACGTTCGCGAGGTAGGCGCTACACGGTTGACATCTCCAGATCACACGAGCTAACTGTTACTAGGACCGTGAAGCCGAACCCCGTTTCGTCGGTGGACCTCCTCGTGGAGACTTCGGCCCTGGTGCCCGAGGCGGTTTCGGTGGTGGCTTCGGTGGCCACCCCGGTGCTGCTGGTCGCCAAATCTATGTCTCAAACGTTTGTCTCCTCTCCCAACCCCCGTTTTGCTAAGGTTTGGCAGGCTTTGTTGACCCTATGATCTAGCTTCCATTCAACGTTGGCTGGCAAGACCTGAAGGATCTGTTCCGTCAAGCTGGTAAGTGCAAACTGACGAGCCCTATGACCCTCGGTTCCGGCTTTAGAGTCTTGCCTTTGGGATCATGAATTGACTCAATTCTCTGTTACAGCCCAGCAAGGTGCCGTCATCCGCGCTGACGTGCACACCGACGCTACTGGACGCCCCAAGGGCTCTGGTATTGTTGCTTTCGAGTCGCCTGATGATGCCCGAAACGCTATTGCGCAGTTCAACGGCTATGACTGGCAGGGTCGCCCCCTGGAAGTTCGTGAGGATCGATTCGCTGGAGGTGCTGGCTTCGGCGGCGGCCGCGGTGGCTTCGGCGGTCCCATGGGAGGCCGCGGCGGTTTCGGTGGACCCATGGGAGGTCGTGGTGGCTTTGCAGGCCGTGGTGGCTTTGGCGGTGGCTTCGGCGGCCGTGGTGGATTCGGTGGTCCTGGCGGCCCTGGTGGCTACCCCGGCGGTGGATTCGACCAGGGTCCCCCCGTTCCTGCAGGCCCCCCTAACCCTTTCACCGACTATGCCACCTCCAACGGCGAGAAGAGTGCTGTGATTTACGTTCGCAACGTAAGTCGTGTTCTTCAAGACAACGATAATTTGGAGTGCTAACTATTTTATAGCTTCCCTGGTCGACATGTAACGACGACTTGGTAGATCTGTTCGCTACCATCGGCAAGGTCGAGCGTGCCGAGATCCAGTACGAGCCAAATGGCCGCTCCCGTGGCACCGGTGTCGTCCAATTCGACGCTCCCGACACTGCGGATACCGCTATTTGTAAGTTAACAACCACTCCCCGCGAAGCTCCTATTTCCACCGACTCCTTTGCTAACTTGATTGCAGCCAAGTTCAGCGGTTACCAGTACGGTGGCCGTCCTCTCGGCATTACTTTCGTCAAATACATGAACGCTGGCGCCCCTCACAACAGCGACATCATGATGGAAGGTCAAGAGCCCACCGGTCTGACCCAGGACCAGATCATGTAATATCGTTTCATCTATTCTTCTTCGGTCCGCTGTCTCTTTCAGAGGGGCGTCTGGCTGCTTTCGCTTTTCTTTTGATGATTCCCTTATTCCCATCCAGTTCTGCAGTTCTCGAACTTTGCCGGACTGAGATTTGAGTGGCCCTTTCGGGCGATCACTACTATGCTCTTTTCACGAAAATGGAGAAACTGGCTTTGTTTTGCGCTTTTTCTGGTATTTATCATGCAGTAATTATGTAGTTATATGTTCTATCTGTGTGTACCAAGCGGCGCTTTTCTCTTTATTTCCAGATGTTGTTTTGACGACCGCCTGCTCTTGTCGGGGCATTAAGCTTGTGGGTCTGCTTCCCCTATGCCTGAGCTGCAGGATCCATTCGAAGCTTTGTATAGTGACCTTGGGGAGTCAATATATCACCCTTTGAATGCTACACTATTCAAGACAAACCAAGTACTTGCACTACAAGGATAGATATACGTATGTAGGTCCCAAACATGCGGACGGAGTGCCTAAGTAGAGACCCGTGTACTGTTTTTATACTTCTGGCGCACGGACCAACTCCAATATCAATCTCCGAATTTCACTTCCTCCGACACCTCCGCAACCTCCGCAACAACATGGCTCACCTCGCCCGCACCCTGACTCGAAGAGTCACTCCCTCACTGAGCATCCTCCGCCAAACCCCAACACTAAGCACCGCCTTCCATCTCACCCGTCAACCTCGAAACCAAACCCAACAAACCCTCACTCCCCGCCGAACCTACCACTCAAACCTCCACCCCCGCCTACCGGACCACGAATACACAAACTCACAAACAGTCATCCTGACCGCCGCGCTGAACCATGTCCCAACCCACGGTTTCACAAAAGAGTCATTAGCCCTCGGCGCACGAGACACAGGCTTCCTAGACGTCTCCGTCCAGCTTCTTCCGCGCGCCGAATTCGACCTCATCCTATTCTACCTCGCCAGCCGGCGCGGGATCCTCCGCGCCAAAGTCGAAGAAGGAGGCTTATTCCGCCGTCTTGCGGCCGAGAAAGGAAAGGACGTATTCGAACTTAGCGTTGAGGAGCGGGTTCGCGGTCTCCTTCTCGAGAGACTGCGAATGAATTCCGAGGTCAAGCATGTCTGGCAAGATGTGAGTCTATCGATTGGGTATGGGGAAGGAAAATGTCCGCTAATGACTAATAGGCACTTGCGCAAATGTCTCTTCTTTCTAATATCCCGCTTTCGTTGGGCGAATTGCACGCTCTTGCTTCTGATATTCTCACTCTGGCTGGTGATGATTCCGTGGATGTGAACTGGTATACGAACCGGGTGGCGGTATCTGCTATCTATGCTAGTGCGGAGGTTGTGATGACTCGGGACCCGACGGCGGATCTTGTGGAGACGGAGGAGTTCGTGGATCGTCGGTTCGAGGATCGGAAGGCGATTGCCAATAAGCTTATTGGCATTGGGCAGTGTGCTGGGTTTGGGTGGAACACTGCTGTTGGACTTGGTCGGAGCTGGGGACTCAAAATTTGATGGGTCTTGATTACCTCCAGCCCTTAATTTCATATCTACGAGACAGGCTGTAGCAGCCTTGCCTACGAGAGATGATTTGTAATTCTATTTGATATTTTGCTTTTCGGTTGCATCATCCATGGATGTCTATTGGAACTGTACTCTACTCCTTTCCAAGGTTACTAACAGCATGAGGTCTCAGACTTGCTATTCTAGTATTTCCTGCTTCAGCATGTTCATATTATACTCTCAGTACCTGCTATTCATCTAAACAGCCACACTTTTCACAGAGAACCAACCTATATTTAGAACATACCCCGATTATTATGTGCTCATGGATGGAAAAGCAAAGGCATGCTCGAAGCAAGGCTGATTCACTGCAAGGTGACGTTCTGCACAGCTTCCTCTACACTAAGGGGTGCACCATCGCCAGTGCCGTCGGTCGAAGCATTTGCACTATCCGATGCTGGAGATACCAATAGTGTTGGAGACTTTGGCGAAAAGGGGTCCGAGGGCGTACCACTCTCCGGCGACGGTTCTTGCTGAGTCGCAACAGCAGCGCTCTCGGATGACTCGGGTTCTTTAGAAGGACCGATACTGCTGGCTGCACTTTCAACCGAGTCGCTTTGCCCGTGTGTCTTGCTACGCCCCCAACGTCGCGTCTTAGGCGGAAGTGGAGCTTGTCCATGTCGACCCGCTCCAGGGACTGCAGCCACGGGTCGGTGGTGACTTGAAGAAGGTGTAGAATGATTGGAGCGCCGAGGTGGCGGAAGAGCAGGGGGAGGATTGGATGCAGACCGTCGTGGCTGTGTACCCGGTGGTGCAAGGTTGGAGCTTGATCCAGAATTGCGACGCTCATTGGGTATCGCCTGCGATAATGAGGTGGTAGGGGGTACGGGGGTAAAAGTGGTAGTCGGGCTCACTTCCACGCCTTCGGGAATGGTGTTCCCGTCGCTGCTGGTACCAGCAGAATGGTGGTCCTCGTCTTCTGCAGCCAGGCGGCGCCCGCGCCAGCGACGGGACTTTGGCGGCTCTGGTTTAATCTTTGGTGGTCGAATGATCGGGGTGTCGTCGCTGAGAGCGGCTGGAACTCCTTCGTCTTTGCGGCTTGGTGTGATGATACCGGGCTTTTCGTGTTGCGCTGCAACCGCTTGAACGCTCAGCGAGGATGCGGATGCAGGTTCGAGCATGCCGAGGCGTTGCACCAAGCTCTGTTTCCGACTGCCCGGCGCATTGGATGAGCTCCATGAGCCCATTCTTGTTGGTGATGCGGATTCTGGTGAGCTTGCGATAGTGCTTGCTCGGGATAGTGCGCGAGGGACTTCTATTGGCTCACTCATCGGGACAGGTGACGCCGTCTGTTCAGCCTGGTCGAGAACGGTCTCAATCGTCGTTTCTGTCACTTGGATGGGCGTCCCCGGGGCCTCTGGCGGAGCGGCCGGTTCAACATTTCGAAGCCATTCCACAGTCGCACATCGAGCGACCAGTCGGCGTGTCGTCTCATCAACATCTTCGAAGTGAAGGATTTTCTCGTGTTCTGGATCATTACCATAGGAGACCTGCCCTCTGACCAGATCACTCAGTAGTCTGCGTAGCTCATGACGCTTGTAGTGAGGTGGGTTCTGTAATTGGGTGTGAGCTAGAAGCGGGTAAAGAACACGTAGATATGTATGGCGCAGTGCTGCTGCCTCTTCCGGTAGGTCCAGTAAATTTCGAATCAGGATATCGACTAAAACATGGAGGTCGTTGGTAAAGAAGTATTCATACGTGCTCGGGGTCGTGAAAATGAGATAGAGCAGCTTTAATGTGAGCAATTGGAGGGAAGTTTCGGCTGTGTTTTGGTCAGTTGTCATATACAATGGACAGAAAGGTTGTGGTGATAGATACCTTCGCGATTGATCAAGAGAATGATGTTTTCTCCAAATGTTTTGTACATGCCGCCATAGACGGAGAGGATCTTGATGACCTTGTTGGTCAAATGCCCTGAGGGTGCACCATCCACAGGATCATGAGCCGAGATCATGAACTGTTCATTCAAAACCAGCTATAGCAGAGGTCAGCGTAAGCCAGAATGACGGAATATCAAATAGAAACTCACCAGCACCCGAATGACCGGATAATGATATGGATCAGTGACATCGTACGATAGGTCTTCGATGATATCAAAGAGACAGCGAATGAAATCGTCATCCACAAGCACTACACAAGCCCAATAATCAGCCACCTGCCAAGAACAGCCACAGCCAGAAGTCCACAGAAAGAAGCCACGCACCCAAATCTTCGATCTTGACCCGTTGTATCCTCGACATCTCATAGATCAGATCCATCAGCAGGCGATGAAGACCCGCATCACCGTCCAGATCGGCCCTTCGCATAGCCTGTATGAGTTCAAGCAGACGCGCAAACGCGCCCTCCGAATTTAGCATCTGCAGCACATTCTCGTTTTGTCGGCCGTCGAAGAGGATGAACGACGCAAGGAAGTGGAGGACATTGGGGTCGTCTTCCTGCAAGAGCCCGTAGATGATCTGTCGTCGCACATAGTCCGCATGACTGGCGAATATGCTCGATGTGAAAAGTTTGTAGGAACAGCGCGAGATATCGGTTTCCGATCGAAGATATTCACCTAGACAAGGGCGGGTGTCAGCAGAGTGGAGATAGGGGTGCCATGGCGCATCTGGCTGTAGTTGGCAGAGATCAGGGCCACCGTATCGCGTCGCAATGTGTACCTTTATGTTGTGTCGTGAGACTGAGATAAGCTCGGAGGGCGTCGTCGATCAGGTCTTCGGAATCACAAGATTTGGAGACGATCGTTTGGAGTTCTGCGGGTGTCAATGATGTGTCCGGGAGGCTGGGCGATAGCGATCTTACCAGACCAGAACTCTGTCTCCGAGACCTCAGGCTCCATTTCCTGTCAATGAGCTCATGCCGTTTTGTGAAGAAGTTGGAGAGTCGGAGGCGGGGGGGAATTCGAGTCCCACTGCGGGTCAACCCTACACACCAGGCTAAATCTTCTAGAACGTGGCACTACGGAGATGTTTGGTGAAATGAATTTTTGAAAAAAACTATCTAATATGAATGCAATCATGAGACTGGACGCAAGAAGGGATGCGCTTCGGTATTCCTGGAAAAGTTAGCAACTCTGGTCGGATTGTTTACACTACGTCACTCACAGAACATATTTATCCAAATCCACAACACTCGGGTCACTGAAGAGCAGGTAGAAGTACTTCAGAGTCTCCGACAGCCAGAAGGACTCCATGGTATCCTTGTGGCTCGGCTTTTGGGCGGTGACATCGTTGATGGCTGCGTGGGCCACCTCTGTGCGGGTGTACTTGGAGATGGCCTCGAACATTTGCCATCCCTTACGGCGCCAGGTCTCATCACCGGTCAAACGGTACATGATGAACACCGATTCAATGGCTTCGGGCCGAAGATAGTAGTTCGGTTGGGGAATGCTGATCATGCCTGCGGGGAGGTGATCCTTACCCACAGCAGCAACCTGAGGCGAAGCGGGTGCCGAAGAAGAACGAGGAGCGTCGCGGTTCTCCAATTCAACCCCAACCGGTGTGGGTGTCGCAGTAGCAGCCGATGACGAAGAGTCGGCGCGTTTGCCAACTGCAAACCCATCACGCTTCGAGATCACATCGGTGTCATGAGGATTCAATGAACCCGGCATCGGGACGGGGACCATCTGGTTCCCGGACTCCTGGGGCGCCTCGTGGGCATTCAACTTCAGGCGCTGGCTGTAGGTGTCCTCGCCATTGCGGAACTGGGGTCCTGCTTCAGGATCCACCCGCGAATAGCGAGCCACGCCAGCGTCGAAACGGGCCTGATCCCATTCGCAGCCTGATCCTTTCTCGCACGGCAAAAGACGGAATCGCTCGGGCATCATGCCAGTCTGAGTCGACTCATAAGCCCACACACAGCCATCTGTGAGTTTGGCTGCGAGCTCCATGTCCCCATCAATACCAAAGGCCTTGGCACCCAGGGCGTACATGCCGCCGACAAAACATGTCAGATGGTGACCTTCGTACTCGAAGTCGGTGGGGAGCAGTTGTGAAGATTTCCCCGGGGTGATGGGCGCTGTTGAGGCCATGAAGCGGATATCACGTCCACCTTTCACCATGGGCTGGAACAAGAGATGCTTCCGGGCTGCGGTGGCTGCCTTGGTATACATATTCTGGTATTGCTCATTTGTTCCGCCCAGGAGCAGGTATTCTTTGGGGAGATACTCGTAGGTAGAATCGGCCATTCCGCCCATGGTATACTTATTACTAGCAGCCGAGAGAGGAAGCTCGAGGCCTCCGTTGCATTGTTCTGGCGACATGACCGTTTGCTTACGTGCCTGGATGTAAGACTCCTCTGGAGACTGGGTACCGTTGGCGACTTGAGCAGAGCCTGGGATCTGGTCACGTTGGATCAAGTTCGTGTAGCTTTCAATGTCTGTCGGCGCGGCGTAGGCTTTGTGGGTCTTAGTCGCACTGGCTTGAGCCGTGCTAGCAGGATCTTGCTCATCCGCAGGGCTGCCGTTCCGCTGGGACCTGTAGCGGGAGCATCCCTGTGCGTTGACTCGAATGGGCCAGAGACCGGGGATACTCGTTGAATCCTGGAACTTCTCCAATTCGTTCGTGACCCGCGCAATGGCATCATAATACTTGTCTTGTTTGGTCAACTGGGCCAAGCGAGTGAATTCCAACGAAAGCGATCCGAGCTCAGCCAGACCAGCTCGAGACGAAGCGCGGTGGCGCTTTGCGACAAACTCCCTGACAATGGATTAGATGTGAAACATCCCGAGAAATGGTATCTTATGTGACAACTTACGGCGCCCAGCGATAGAATAATTGTGGCATACGATTCGGCGTGTCGAAGGCTCCAATCAGAATCTCAGCGAGTTCCTCTGCCTTTTCCAAAAGTACCGAGTACCGGTGACCTGAGATATCGTAGGCACCCAAAAGTCCACCAATATAGCGGATGGTTGTCTCAAACACTGGGATGTCTTCTCTGAGTGAGGTTTTGAAATCGATGTGCTTGATCGCATCCACGGCTTCCGAGAACTCATCCCTCAACTCCATGATCCACAGAGTATCGAGGGAATCCACCAAAGTCGCGCCCCAGCCATTGAAGGGGTCCTCGGACTCCTTGGACAGAGGCTTGATCTCATCATGCCCCATCGCGACCTTTTTGTAACCCTGCCAAGCGTGCTTGAATTCAGCCTTGATGGAGCTCAATCGTTGGAGACGCTCCTGTTTATTGGAGCTGGACTCATCCTTAAACTTGGCCTGCAGCTTGGGGACGGCCTTCGACTGTACCTTGGGCAGCTTGATCACCTCTGCCGCAGGGACGGGGTACTGCTCAGGGAACTTCCTCCATCTAGCAGTTGGGGTGCCTGACTTTTGGCGATCCACCGGGATCCGTCCTCCGCCTCCATTATCGATCTCTTCATCTGATGCGGCTGGTGGCAACCTGCTCGTGCTCTCCACCGTGGGGGCCTTGGGGTGATCCTTGCGGTCATCCTGACTGGGCGCAATCACTGGCGGCTTATCTCCCGAGGCATCTTTGAACCGATTGGCATCTTGCTTCGATCCGCTGCTGGGACCTACGGGAGAGGTGATCTTTTCGGTGGACGGAGGGGTGACGGGGCCTCGGTACGGTTCAGGGGCGGCATTCTTGCTCTCCTCGATGGGGGCAGCAACAGATCCCGGGTTGGGGGTTGGAGGTTGATTTGGATAGGCAGGATCGGCAGGATGGATACTAATAGACTCCTCGGTCACTGCGTTATTCCAATCGCGTGACCGCGCAAAATGGAAGAATGTCAGGACTAAAGCCGCCGCGAACACGATCAGAACTCGATATCTGCGAGCTCGTAACATCGTGGCAGATAGGAAACAAAAAGCAAACAGAGACAGAGGAGCGAAAAGGGAGAGAAAGCAATCACGAGACGAGTAAATAGATCCACATGCGAGAGTTCGGTTCGCGATCTACCGCGCCTGCCTTGATCTTCAATTCCTTTGACGTCGACCAGTCAGACTTCGTATCTCATTCTACCACTACTCTACTAGTAGTGCCTCGTTGTCGCAAGCTCAACCTCTTGACGACCTGAGATGGGAGACTTGAGACCCCTGGACGCGGTTCTCGGGCCCAGACAGAGTGGGGATTGGAGACCAGACGCCAAAATCCGGGGCCAATGATCGACCACGACGAAATTGCGCCCTATGCATCGCTTGGATGCAGACCCGCAAGGGTCTCTGGACCCTCGGCGATTGACATCGGATTTTCCCGTCCAGCATGATGCGCTTGACGGTATGATACGAGTCAGAGACAGCGTGCCACCATATACTGCACTCTGGACAGGAGTCTCCCCATCTAGTTAAATCAAGTCGAAATGACTGAGGTCTTTGGGCGAAAGACTAGGTTACGCACTTGGCGAAGCGTGTATTAGCCCTCCAATTCCAAGTCTACTCCTTGATGACCTGATGTACCTGGATATGTATGTTGGTATTGTACGTGGTTGCATCGCTACGAAAAAATCACTGTCTAGGCACAACATCCATGGATATGCGATTGGGTTTACGCTAGATTCCTACTGTGGTCCGTCGACCTTCGGTGTTTGCCTTTTGGAATTGCTGGATCAGACCGAGCACCCCAGCTCCACCAGCAATGGCATCAATGTTGTCACCATCATCACCCTCTTCGTCCTCACCAGCGTGTCCATCGTCGTGCTCCAGTGGGTTCATGCGCCAGGAATCACCAAGGTTGCTCCCGCTGGTACCAGCGCCAGCACTGGACGCGCCAGTCCGGGTACCTGACAACCGTGTGGCGGAATCACGACCCTCTTGAGAGAGAGGCTCCTCATCGTCTATGATATCGGACTGAGGAGGGCGCCCGAGTCGAGAGCGTTGGTATTGCTGAGGTGTTTTCCGGATGGCAGGGCCAAACCCGGAAGCAGAGGGTTGGTGATGTGGGTCAAGTAGCATGGAGGGAGCAGGGGAGCGATGATCGATGGCTCCCATAGGTCTGAACTTAGAGGCGCCCATCACCGACTGACCGAACATTCCACCCGTAGTCGGGCTCGGGCGTGGGTGGAGAGGATCAGGCCGGTCGGGAAGAGCACCGAAATCAATCCCAGAGGCTGAACCAAGCGTAGGCAGAGTCGGTGGTGGTTGGAAGGGTCGTCGGGTAGAGGGTTGTTGATTGGCGCCGTAATTGTCCAAGAAGCCATAATACGAAGCGAGCATCTTGTCGTCCTTGGTTGAGAAGTAATCGGTGCGCAGGTCTTGCTTCCCTGGGCCCCGGTGGGTGGGAGCGGCCTGAGACATCACGTTCGAGCCCTTCTTGAAGTCGAAGACGGCGAAAGAACAGAGATAGCCTACGCCGTCAACATGCACGGTGAACTCTCGGAAGAAATCGATGATGCTATCGCTGCACTTCGGCAGGCTGAACCACAGGACGAAAGGGGTGAAAATCATGCTCAATATCTCTTCCAGGAAGATGACGATTTTCATCTGATAGAGGACTGCAAACTCTCTTCGCACGTCGTCGCTATGCAGACGGCCTTTCCACCCGGAAGGGAAATAATGGGTGAAACCAATCAGCTCGCGTAGTGCATATTCCGGGTCGAAGACGTCAGTCTCTTCGGGCGCCATGCCTCGTGCGAATGCCCAGACCGTACCGAAAATGCCAAGGTAGAATAGGACCGTTCTATCGGGGGTTATTTCAAAGCCAAGGAAGAGTTCCGGGTCTATCACTGAAGCGAGGGCAAGCACGGAGGCAAGAGCTCCAGAGATGAACGCAACGAACCGTGCCGCTTGCACTGTCTTGTCCTTGGGGAATTGGTCGATATAGCGGCTAGCAAATGGATAGGACATATTGGTTCGACGTTCAAAGAGATGCCAGAGCTCGTTGAACTCGCGGAATTTCCACTCCGCTATGGGAGTGTATTGACGGGAACCGATTTGTCCTGGGTTCTTCTTGAACTCGTTGAAGTATCGAAAGAAGTAATGCATTGTGAAGTAAACCACAATGAACGGCGCTACGAAAATGTTCATGATGCCAGCGATGGCAAAGCGCCGACGCAAAGCATCGCTAAGCGCTCTTCTATGAGTGTCTTTGAGGAACAACGTTCTCAGCTGGCCCTGTTCGTCGAAGACATAGTCCATGACACAGAGGTTGAGATTCCATTCCATGGTCCGGGAGAACAGCTGGCGGTTACCGAGGAAGGGGATTGGGAGGGTGAGGTCCAGTATGTCCTTATTTACCAACGCAATCACGTAGTTTTCTTTGCGCATCAAGCGATTAGCAATATCGTGGGCGTCCATGCGCTGCTTTGACTGACTTCCCAGGAATTTCCGATGTTTGGCAGAAACCGCCGCTGCGGTAGATGGATTCGAGTCTCTCAGTGCCATTAATCGACTGACAACTTCTTGCCAGGATATTGTCTGCACTTCCGCATCAGAGACATGGAGTAGGTATAGATAAAAGTCATGCAGGTGTTTGAGCCTGCGAATATCTAACACGTGTTGAAAGAGCTTGACAATCCAGAAAAAGCTGGCAAGCCACAATAGAAATGTGGTCGAGCCAGACATATTTGCTGTGCACTTGGGTACGAGGATGTCATCCAGAGTCTTACTCCGTCGAACCTTTGAGTAATCAATACAGTTTGTCAAGAAGGTTGAAAAGCCAACAACGAAGGCGAATGTCCTATGTCCCGTTAGCTTTGAGGGTTGAAAAATGGTTGGCCAACATACAAGAGATTCAGTACCCTCGTCAACAGGATGGACCAAATCCCGTTTCCTAGAAAGTAGACATAGACGTCTTTCAAAAAGTTGTCCAGATCTTCCACGTTCGCCCACCGCCACATTGCCTTTTTTGCCGGGTCAATATTGGCAAGGCCTGGGTGTTGGCCAGAGAACCATTTCGATATAGGATGTCCATTATCGCTGGGTGGTTGATGAGGGGGCTCACCCCAGTGAGGTCTCGTAGGCTGCGGAGGGGGATCGGGACTGGGGACCCTCTGGCGGGTTGAGCGACCATGAGGTCGAGGGGGAGGAGGTAAGCGCGACCTCACATCTTCGTGATGACCTTCCACCAACAGAGACTGAGGAACATCCTCGTCATCATTCTCTTCAAGCTCATACCCCAACGAGTCCTGTGCCATCCATCTAGGCCGGGACGCCCTGCGACGGCGTGTGCTCGAGGGCGAGGTCCGCTCAGGGGTCTTGCCCCTGTGAGCTTGATCCAAGAGTGCTCTGCTTGGACCGACTACTTCACTGTCTTGTGCATCGGCCAGAGCATCCTCCAGCTCTCGGTCACTGAAGTGTCCTTGCTGGCCATCGAACCCCAAGCCCGCCCGTTCTTCGATATCGGAGGATTCTGATTCGGCGTCATGTTGGCGGATGGTTTCGTAGACTGAAGGAGATCCCGTTGGGGGGAGGAAGCGTGATAGTAAGTTGGAGGACATCATGTTGTATGGTACTGAGGGCTATAATGGGACTACTCATGTCAACGGCACCGCGAGCCGATGGATGTAGTGACGAGCTGCCATTCAGTAGCAGATGGCAAGAGGCGTACTCGTACTTGTTGCAGTTGATAAGTATCCCCGTGGTCACAGCAGCAGTTGAATAGTCCTCGTGATAGCGGTCACCAGAGCTGTGGTGAAGCTATGATGACATAAAATGATGCCTGAGGCAGGAGATAAGATCCATGCGGGGCTGATCAACTTGGATTCTCGAGGGACTTGGCTCTTTTCCTGCAGAAGTGTTAGTACAGTACCTTTCCCCCTGATCTGAGCTCTGTGTAGCTCTGCTTTCTGTTCTCGTCTCCACACTATGGCCTGATACACAGTCCGGGAAATATCGTCCTGTAAAGTTTGTACAGTACCATTGCCATTTCGGACTAGGATCTACATTACGTTTATGTATTATTTACGGCAAACACCGTAGTCTTCACCACTTAAGTGCACTTCCAGATGCCTACTAGTAGTACCTGAGTAGGCATTGATCGGCAACCTGAATCAGCTTCAGTAAGCTCGAGCTCACATCGTGTGTGTAGTCGGCACTTTTGGACACGTTTCGGTGTGGGCTTCTAGATGCCCACGCTTCCTTTGCCCCGATCCTAGCCCCCGATTGGCGACCTTTATCTTCGGTAAAGGGCTGAAAGCCAAAAGGCTGAGATTCCCGTCTAGCGTAGATGCAGTACCCTCTGGCATTCCCGGGCCAATCTCTCTGGTGCTTGTCATTCCGGTCCCCGTGGGTGCCGAGAACACTAGAGAGAGGTGTAGAAGAGAGGCTCGTGCATATAGAAGAAGAAACCCAAAGGGCCAATGGTAGTAAAGAATAGGAAAAAGAGAGAAAAAGAGGAAAAGACAAAGCAGTAGAATCTGATTGTGCCGTGCTCATTATTTTCCCCTATACAGTACAGTCTTCTCCGTTATCCACTCTCCCCTCCCCCCTCCCTTCGCGACATCATCTTTGCCTTTGTTTCCTTTTGGGATACTGGTATTTTATTTTCTTGGATTGGCAGAGGTGGAAAAAATTATCTTTCAAAAGGGACTGATGAAGGTGTGTGCACGTTTGCTTCCCCCCCCCCCTCTCCACTCTCGATGAAACAACCTCTCTCGCTTTGAACTCGCCGTTGACCTTGACAGCGTCACCATCGGCACCGACTGGGAGGATTGGACGCTCACCGCATTCGCTAGGCCTGCCTGCATATCTCAGACAAACGACGGTGACCCGCGCCTGCTTGGGTCCTGGTTTTCCCATTGCCCCCTCCCGCCGCCTCGACCGAATGTGCGACTCCGATACCCAACCTCTCACCGGACTCCATGTGGTCTTATAACATTATCCTGGGCAACAGCGACCTTCAATTGTATAAGCGCAGCTGTGCCGTATACGTCGGGTGCCGACCAACAACGTCTTCTCACCGGTGGTTCTGAGCGAGGTTGCGTCGGGCGCAGGACATCCTTTCCCCCCATCCTTATATTGACTGCGTATACTCTTTTGTGTGTGGTCTGCCTCGCGAAGGATTTCCTTAGTATTTTTCGACCGAAATGGAGCCTGAGAACCCGAACGCCTACAAGCGGAGCTCGATGCACCAAGCGCTCTACAGTCGCCCAGTGGAACGACGTTCAAGCAAGAAGTCTTCATCAAGAGATCGGCATGGGATGGTATATCCTGACAATTTCCGAGAAACATCCATTCGAACCGTGACGCCAGAGTCCACCAACCATTCCCCTTTGTCCGAGCCCGAGCACCTTACGGGCGGCACTGCATCTTCACCTCACAGTATCGCACGATCACGAACCACCGAATCAGAACGCATTCGAAGTCTTCATAAACACTCCGGGGGAGCCGAGGAAGATACTCCATTGGAAGGAAGGAGTCAACGGGCCCGATCGCGAACAACAGCAGCCGAGGAGCAACGAAACGAGACCAATACCTTTAAACCTCGAACGCGCATCGGATCTATAAATACAGCCAGTCCGTCCCAATCAAAGGTCCCAGAGGATCCTTCCTCCTCGATTGGGTTTCCTTCCATCCAGAAATATTCTAGTCAAACGGTCCCTCGCAATCGACTGAGCAAGGCTGCCGCTGGCCTCGTTGGGGGAGGAATCAACCAGGATTCATTCGCATCGCCGTTATCAAGCACAGAAGCCACAAAGATCCTTCAATTGATGAAAACGACCTGTGGCAGAATGCATGGAATCCTGTCCTTTCGGTCAGCCCCGACAACGTCCTGGACGTCCGGGTACTGCGCTATCAACGTCGCGACTGGAAGTCTCATCTACCAAGCCAAGGGGGAGCCAGCACTGGCCAAGACTTTGATTCCGGACCTGCGCGGTTGCCGAGTTCGAACAATGTTCGATCCTGACCTCCAGACAACCTATCTGAGCGTTCACACCTTTACTTCCGGGCTCGGAATTCAATTGCGGCCCCACGTTAACGAGACCTTTGACTCCTGGCTTGCGGCTCTTCTGTGTTGGCAGCCTATTCGACCAAAAGGCGTTCAAAACAAGATGACCAAGCCCCAGGAGGTTGTAATGGGAGATCGACGAATCCCAGAGCGACGGCGAAACTCCGAGAGCTCGGCACAAAAGGACGCAACGATCATTAAAGTTGGCAAAATGCTTCTATGGGATAAGCCGTCCGCTTCTGGCGCAATGCCAGTGTCTGGACGTCGCGTTTCAACTTATAGACAGTCTAGGGCTCTTTCTTCGTCATGGCAAAAGGTGAGCTGCACGCTACAAGAAAACGGACACTTCAAGCTTTACACAGAGTCCGATGTATCGCTTCTCGCAACCGTGCACTTGTCTCAACTATCGCGTTGCGCGATACAACAGCTGGACTCTTCAGTGCTGGATGACGAGTTTTGCGTTGCCATATATCCCCAATACGCGGCACACCCGGTAGCCGAGTCAAACTTGCGCCCTATATATCTTGCCCTTGAGAGCCGCGTTCTTTTCGAGGTGTGGTTCGTGCTACTGCGGGCTTTTACCATCCCAGAGCTCTATGGTCCTGCATCTCAATTTCGCGAAGACCCCAATAAAACACCCGAAGTTGAAGTACCAGGAACACCTTCGACCAAAGACATGTTCCGAATTGAGCGGTTTTTGAATCTGAAAATCGTGGAGGCAAAACTGTTCCGTGCCAAAGAAGAAGGCACGCCCCGAAGCCGCAAAGCATCAAGATCGCACGGGCAACCGAGCCCATCCCCGAAGCTGAGCGACTACTACACCGAGGTGCTTCTTGACGGAGAGATCCGCGGCAAGACTGCCGTGAAATATCGCACCGTGAACCCCTTCTGGCGAGAGGATTTCGTCTTCAATGACTTGCCACCGGTTCTCTCTCAGGCATCTATTCTCGTCAAAACCCTCAATCCCACACAAAAAGACTGGACCCTCATTTCCCACGGATCATACACCTCAAATCAGGATATGAACGCAGCGAACATGTTGAATGAGATTGAGATCTCGACAAATGATGCTGTTTCCGGGCGGGTAGATTTGCGCCTCGAAGAATTGGACACTGGAGTGGACATTGAAAAATGGTGGCCTATCCTAGATGACCAAGACCAGCCCATTGGCGAGATGTTCATGCGTGCCAGGATGGAGGAAACTGTGGTCTTGATGTCCGACGAATACTCAGCAATGTCGGAATTACTCCATAACTTCACCAATGGGTTGACCATCAACATGGCGCAATTGATGTCATCGGAACTCAATCACCTCGCTGAGATGCTGCTCAACATCTATCAAGTGTCGGGGTCAACGGTGGAGTGGATATCGGCGTTGGTTGAAGACGAAATCGACGGGGTTCACAAAGAGTCGACTACCAACCGATTGAGATACACTACGCGCATTCATTCCAACAACACACAGGAAACCAGCCAAGAACGGGAGGTCCTTGTCAGAGACATGGGAAGAACGGCTACCGTTGAAGCCAACCTTCTGTTCCGTGGAAATTCGCTCCTAACCAAGGCTCTCGATCTTCACATGCGTCGCCTGGGCAAGCAATATCTCGAAGACACCATTGCTGAAAAATTAAAAGACATTGATGACAGCGACCCGGAGTGCGAAGTCGACCCATCTCGCGTGCCACGTCACGAGGATCTTGAACGCAACTGGCGGAACCTTACAGCCCTTACCATCAGCGTTTGGAAATCAATCGCGGGATCTGCATCACGCTGCCCCCCGGAATTGCGTCGCATTTTCCGGCATGTAAGAGCGTGTGCAGATGACCGTTATGGCGACTTCCTCCGATCTGTGACATACAGTAGTGTTTCTGGCTTTTTGTTCCTGCGCTTTTTCTGCCCGGCCATCCTGAATCCCAAGCTTTTCGGTTTATTGAAAGGTAAGCACTCTTCATTGTCGCAGATCTTCTCATAGCTAACCACGCTCAGATCACCCCCGTCCTCGGGCACAACGCACCTTGACCCTGATTGCCAAGGCTTTGCAGGGCTTGGCTAACATGACAACATTTGGCAACAAGGAACCGTGGATGGAGCCGATGAACAAATTTTTAGTCGGCCATCGCTCGGAATTCAAGGACTTTGTCGACTCAGTTTGTGCGATCCCGGCCGATCGACCAGCTCCTATTGTCACGCCCTCATACACCACCCCTATCCAGATCCTCGGACGATTGCCGCCTACTTCGCGCGAGGGATTCCCCAGTCTTCCGTTCATCATCGACCATGCTCGTTCTTTCGCCAATCTGATTCGTGTGTGGCTAGACGTAAGCCCAGACCGATTCAACGACTTGGCGGGTGTGGACATCAACCTTGCCAAATTTCACAAAGAAGCCCTGCATCTCCGAGCACGTACGGAGGAGTGTTTAACTCGCGCTGAGCAAGCCGAGCGGCCAAGCGGAACCCTGGAGATCAAGTGGGAAGAATTGGTAGACCAGATGGAGCGAGCGGTGACCTTTCACGACGAAGCACCGAGCAAGCCAAGCACACCAGCAGCGACAGACCCATCAATAGCTGGTTCTGCCCCAACTCCAAACAGTCACCGCAATTCGATTGGGTTCTTTGCCCCTCGGCCTGCAATCCCTCGGCGCTCCACCGACAACGCCGACGCTGAGGACGATACACCACCAAGCTCATCATCGGCTACCTGGGACCAAAGCCGTATTCCTTTCGCCATCCCTCGCTGGTCTGACCCGCGTGATAGCACTGGAAGCTCTAAGAACTCGTCAACCTACTCGCTGGAGTACACAGAGTCTTCCAAAACACGCAGAGCCAGTGTGAGCAAGGAATCATCCAGCAAGTATCGTTTCTTCGACTTCGTGCCTGCTCCGTCTCGACGCAAAGCTAAGGACCGTGAACAATCTCACAACCACTCGCACGAGGATCTACGCAACGAATCTTGACACACGAATTTCCATGCATTCTCCTCCGTCACACATGTTTGACTACTTTTTCTTCCCTGCTGTCTCTTCCACTTTTCTTCCACTTTCCATGTCCTCATGATTCCGACGCCCATCTCTCCTTTTCACCTTCGTCACCACCATCCGTTCAATCTCTCCTCCTCGCTCCTTGGCTATCTGAATGATGTCCGTCTATGTTCCCCCACTAAGCATGTGTCACGGTGTTGATACCCATCCTCTCTTTCCATCGTGTATTCCATGGTCTCTCCCCTTCCTCATACACCCTCGATCTGGCTTCAAGAGAAGAGAGCCAGAAAAAAGTATCTGATTTTTGGGAAGGAAAAATGAACACGATCTTATATTCAATTTTGGCTGAGGCACTCGTGATATCTTTTTCACCTTGGTTGGTTCTTTTGGATTACCACCGGGGTCTTTTGTGTTATCGTGTCTTCGGAGCCCCTTCGGAGAAGGTGGCCGTCGTGTAAATGCCATTTACTTTTACGCTCTTCCTATAGATGGAATGGGTCGGTGTTCTCGATTTTTTAGATGCCAATACACAAGCGCATGTTCCTTGGAAAGAATGAATCACTCGACACCTACATGTAGACCGGGCCTTCGTTGCTTTGCTGTCTTCGTTGACTATTCTTCACTTCCAAGGCCATGCCTTACTTTTCAACTTTTCGCTCGTTAGATGCATTTGATCCAGTGCTCCAAATACTTGACGTATCGACGAAGGTCTATCGAGCAATGAAGACAAGGGTTGATATGCGTGGTTTGTTCATTAAGTGGGATACGTAGGTAGATATCCTGACCTCGGGAGTGATAGACCTTGGGATCGAATCGTGCTCGGCTCAACCTGTAAGGTAAAGAAGCCAAGACAGTCAAATGAAAATCGGATAGCGGGTCACCAAAGCGACGTAGAAACAAATTATGTCGAGATCTGAACTTCCAGAAACAATACCAAGCAGTGCATCTCTCATCGGAGCACGAGAAAGCCAGTAGGTACCCACTTAAGGCACAGAGTAAAGAAGCTGAACAGGGAAAGCAATGCTATCGTCGAAGCTTTGGACGACAATTAGCAACGTCAAGCCCCAGCAATGAGCAGATACTTAACGCCTATTGCCACAAACAAAGCTTGCCGCTAGCAGTGCCGCCAGCAACCCAGTTCTTGCTGCGGTGGAAGACCGCAACGGCGGGAACAGCAGTGATTCCCTCGCCGCCTAGCTGGGCTAGCTGGTCTCCATTACCGCTGTATACATCCACAAAGCGGTTCATATTGCCGATGCAGAATCGCTGGATAGATGATTGAGGGTTGAGCTGCCATTGTGGGCGAAGACTAAGGAATAAAGTAAGCATATCAAGAATCAAGAGCAGGGAGAGGGGAAACTTACATGGTAACCCAACGACCAGTTTGACAGTTATGACGTACGACGGTAGAGCTGGTAAAGTCGGATAAAGTATGTCCTTCTTTCCAGGAAGACATGCCTTTAGCACCCACGTCGTAAATCTTCAATGTGTCATCATAAGAAGACGTTGCAATCTGGCCGGCAGCATTGAAAGCGGCGTGTGAGACCGAAAGCCTACTCTCGTGCTCAGCGACAGGAACAGGGTCGTCAAATGACAACTTGCGTAGATCCCACAGTCTCATGAACCGGTCAAGGCTTGCTGTGGCAAAGTAGTTGGGGGTCGAGGGACACAGAGAGAACCCGCCAATCTTCTTCTCCGATAGCTGCCAGCGCGAAACATCTGCTTCTTTCAATGGAATGCGCAGGTCGTACTGCCCAAATTCACCCTGCAGAGTGGTCCAGTAAAGAACGTTAGGGTCATCCGGGGCCATGTCAACGCTGGAAACGGCCTCATCATCGTTTGTTGATTGAGGAGCATATGCCTCGGACGACACCATTTTCTCTAGATCCATAGAGCGAATCGAGCTGTCATAACTCGCCGTGTATAGATGGGTGGGCTTGGATGGATTGATCATCATACCGCTGATTGTCCGTGTATGAGGCTTCAATGTGGTCAGGACGGGGTCCGGGTCTTCTGCGTCTTCATCATCATCATCAACTTCTGGCTTTGTCTGTGAAGCGTCCAGCATTCCAAGGTGACCCATCTTATCACCGGCAAATATGAGAGGCTTGGTTTCAGAGGGATGAAACGTCATGGCGTACACGCGCTCGGGGGTGATTTTGATTCCTGCGAAGGTCAATGAATGTTCGGATTGAATACTTCGTTTTTTGAGTTCTGGTATACATACTCTGCGGATCCCACGACTCCCATAGTGACAGTCCACTCATCTCTTCGCGAAGAGCTTTCAACTCTTTATCAGAGGTTTGCTTGATATCATCATCGCCGAATGTTCTCTCATAAGGCTGTGCGACGCCCTTCGTGATGACATCCACACCAATGAGACTATCACCGCTGAGCTTCTGCCCCGCAACGAACATGTCAGCCTGGGTGTAAGAGTCAGTTCGGCGCATCCGCTTGGCACGATCGGCCTCGCGCATCGCATTGAACTCATCATCGGCCTTGCGCTTCGCGACCTCGCTCTCTGCCGCAATTCCTTTGAGGCGCGATGATGTGCGACGTGGCGTATCAAGTTCCTGCTTGGGTGTTACTGTCTTGGGTGCCGATCGCTTCTTGGACTTGGCGGCGCTGTTGTTCGTGGCTTTCGGGGTGAGAACTCCCGCGGGGGAGGACTCGATTTTCAATTGCTTCAAGAGAGCATCGCGCTCGGCGATGTTCGCCAATCGCTGCTGCTCGAAGTCGGACAATTCGGCTTTTGGCATGTTGTACCCAGGCTCTGGTGACTCCCTGTCGGTTTGCTCTGGAGGCGTGCACGGCGCACGCGTGCCGTCGCGCGAAGTCACGTGGTCCATTTTGCGGCGAAAAAAAAGACCTCCGAGTCGACGTCTATGCTTGTGTATCGTAAAGTCTTGGAACGCCGTGGAGCTCAAAGCCAGAGAGTCGCTGGGATCTAATCTCGGGTTGGATGTACCTCCGATCGAGCAAGCTTGAAAATTCGGAGAAGTGATCGAAAGAAGCGTTATGGCGACAAACATCCCCCGTTCATGCTTCGTTCTAGCCACCAAGCACACCACCACTCCATTTTTGTATCACACCCGAACACTCACGTCTCCCTCGATACCTCTCCGAAATCATTCGACATGTCGGTACTCCCGATCTTTCTCCACGCAAAACAGCTCCAATGAAGATGATGCGCCAACTCAGGTTTCTTCTGAGGATTCAGTTGACCCAAGCGCCATGAGTGAGGAGGCACCAAAGCCACGCCGAAGCTTTCTACAAAAGCGAGCAGCGTCTGTATCAGCCAAGAAGTCATCAGGCCCAAAGCTGGAGCCAGTTGCGCCCAAAAAACCCACCAAAAAGATCGCGCCGAAGATCACACCCCACGAGAAAGAGATATTCGGAGGGCTATTGAAGAAGATTGGATATAAGCATGATGGGGTCAATGCCGAGATTGACCCTAAGGCGAAACCATTGAGTCCAGAGAAACAGGTCGAAATGACGGAACTTGTGGCTATGTTTGGAAACCTGCTACAGGACCCGCAGAAGCAAAGAGCTGCCAAGAAGGCTCTGAAGAAGCAAGAGTATGAGATGAGGGTTGCCCAAAGAAAGGCAGCAGAAAAGGCAGCAAACGCAGAGACAAAGGAGGCGATGCCATCAGCACCCTCAGGCCCGAGGCGGATCAAGCTCAGCGATTTGGGCTATGTTGAGCCCGCCTCATCTGCCGCGGATGAAGTCATGATCAGCGTGCCCAGCGCCATTCAGATGGTCGTGGAAAAAGAATCAGAGCACATTGAATTTGCTCTGTTCCAAGCCGTCGAGGAAGGCAAGGGCGACATGGGTGTTTGGGAAGTATGCAAAGAGCGTATCTTCTCAATGCTGCGTCACCTCGACGAGGAAACGTTTGCACAAGCCTCAACCGAGGACCTTGCCGCAGTTGAGCGGCCTGAAACCGAAACGCCTGCCCCTCGTCCATCGGGACCTCTTCGAATCCCACCGGCGGTCCCAACTACCCCCGTCCTGGCAGCTCTGTACCCCAAAACCCTCCTTATTGCTTTCCGCCTGCTCAATACCCACTTCCCACGCTCGCTGCTCATCAGTCAGTTCCACTCCACGATCAAGGAGCACGGCCGCCTGTCCGCGATGCTGGGTGCCTCATCTGGTTTGTACGATGAACTGATCACCTATCAATGGCGTGTATGCAAGGACCTCCCAGCAGTGATAGGGATCCTGCGCGAGATGAACCAGCTGGGGGTCAACCCCAGTAACAAGTCTCGTGGTCTGCTTACCAATGTCATCGTCCGACAAGGCCGAGACTTGAAAGCCTACGAGGAGTCTCCTGATGGACGGGAGTTTTTCTGGAACTTGCCGTCCAATCGAGAGGCATTCGAGGAACTCACCTGCAAAGATGGGTGGATGGATAAGATTGAAGCAGCTTCGAATGAGGCGAAGCAGCAGCGTCTGTCGCGGACCTTCCAACGTCAATTTTCCTAATATCTAGTCCTGGGGCTGGCCTCCCCAGTGTATGTACCATAATCTCCGCTTAATGTCCATAGGAGCGAACTCAATCCACGAATGCTTTCAAGTTGATTCTTCATTCGGCTATCTAATATTGATCACGAGTTTTCTATTTACACGCAGGTGTTGCAGCAAAACACAGATTCCCGCCGATGCTATGAAACCCCGATGAATGGGGCAAACGATATTCGCCTAGAGCCCCCCATGAATACCCCAGAACTTCTCCGCGCCAAAGGTATAACTATTATCATCCTTCCACAAGTCATCAAAAGCAGTAAAGAGCACCAAATCCCCCCGGCGGTTGTCAAAGCTCTTCCGCAGGCTGTCGAGTGCAGCTTGCTGGTTATGCGGTGATGGGATCGCAACCCCATTTGCGTCTCCAGCATGTGGCCATCCAGACTCCGTGATCATGGTATGTTTCCCATTAGCGGCGGCTGAGATACTCCGCGCCTGTTCGAGGGCGTAGGCGCCGGCGCCACCGGGGTGCTGGGTTGCATCGAAGAACGCATGGCAGTTTGCAGCACAGTAGTCAGATGCAGTACATAATTCCGGATGATCAAGAAGGACAGAGAAGGTATCAACTGTGACGACGGGGCCTTTGTAGCCCTGTCCGCGGAGGATGGACCGAGCTTGGTTGACGGCACTGACGACCTCGCCAGGCTCGCTAGTGCCGCCGTTGACCAGCTCGTTTCCAATTGCTATGGTGTGGAAGATAGACCAGTCAGGTTTGCCGTCTGGACCTTTGGCGACGTCACTGATGGCGCTCAAGCTGCCAGGGAAGCCAGTGAGATCATAAACTCCAGCAAAGACACGCATGTTGTGTCGTCGTGCGGCATTGGCTACTGTCTTGGTTTGATCGCAGTCGGTGCCGTAAATTCGAATGAACGAGTATTGCGAAAGTCTGTCTAGGTCGTGGTTTACTTCTTCCTGGTTCTTGCAGGAACGGTCTGCCTTGTAGGGGGAGTAGGAGATGCCAAATTGATCATGATTTTGATGGGGGTGGGGATGGGGATGGGGATGAGGAGCGGGATGAGGATGAGGAACTGGTGGTTTGGGGTGAGCGTGAGGATGCGGAGGATGAGGATGAGGAGGGGGAGGAGGAGGGGGAGGAGGCGGTGGTGGCGGAGATGGTGGTTGCGGTGGTCCTCCAAGAGGTATTCCATCAAGTGTCATAGGATCGTACTTTCTGTCATCCTGTTCTTGCGATGACGGGGTGGATGCTACGCGAGCACCATTGGTATCTGGGCCCGGAGCTGAGGGCTCATGTGGAGCAGGCGAAGCAGCCAGCTTTTGTATCAACCGTAAGTGATGGGAGATCGATATCATTGTGCCTTGTACATACATGTTTCTCCGATTGGGGCACAGCGGGAGGTTGGTCCTTGTTCGCTGAGTTAGGGTCGATTCGATCGCCCTTCTCATTGACCCAGACCACCACCTCTCGAGCAGAGGGTTGTTGGACAAGGCTCCCCTGGCATTGAGCCTCTGGTGTGACAGTTAGTATGATGTTGGTGTTCAATTGCCTGAGCTGTGCAGCTCGTCCAGTACTGAGCTCACCTGAAGCTTTGACGCACACACCAGATGCAAGTAGCAGACCTACAAGCGTCTGAGCGAGGGTCTTCATGATTCAATCGAGCCTTGTCTAAAGGCGGCCACTTCGTATCCCGCGAGAGAGATATTCTGAAGTTAATTCACGTTGATCACAGCACTTTCATCCCTGTGCGAATTGGTGAAGTAGAGTAGTTGGACGGCATGGTGCCGATCAGCCCCGTTATATCCACGGTGATCTTAGCTACGTGGACTGTATGAGTGGGGCATGTACAGGCAAGGGACACTCAAAACACAACGCCTCCATCTGGGGTGAACATGTGGAATGAGATCTGAGGTGTGCCAACTTAGGGCCAGCCCCTTGGTCAGGGTCCGGCCCCTTGAAAGGCGAGGTGACTGCGAGAGAAAATCGCCATCATTAGCACATGGAGTCTGGAGTCGGGGCTGGATCAAGAATGCCACTAGTATTGGGGAGGGACCCAGAATGCGGGCTCATTCCTGCCTGTCGCTCAGGGACTCAGGGGATTCGCTTGAATGTGTGCTGGAATGCTCAGTGAATGGTGTATTGTACGTGCGGTACTGTAGAACATAAGTTAAATCCCCTGTGTACACGATGCACATAGGGGCTTAGGGATCCATTTTTGTGGTCCTAGTCCTGTAACGTCAACCACTGGACCTTTTAGCTTGATCTCGTGGACCGGGTGTCTCAACGTTTTTGAATGGAAAGCAGGAGCTCGGCCAAGAAGCGTTTCAATGATCCCAGGGTTTGAGTAGGGTATGCGAGTGTAAGCATGCTTGAAGCAAAGATTCAATGGTAGAATGATAAGTATTAAACAATGTAGGACTATGCACTAGGGGTGATTAAACCGCCAAGAAAGAGAAAAGGATGTCCTGTACAAGACATGCAATAAGAATGTACATCCACGAGGTTAAGAATACACGGATTGAAGGGGCATTAGGGCGTAGATCGACTGGCGAGGTCGATGAATGTCGAGTTCATAGGGCGTGAGTTTTGGTCGGGAGTCCGCGGGAGGTTGAAAGATGAATAGGGACCACGGATTTCATTTCCTCTTGCTCATCACCTTCGTGATGGCATGACGGATGATCGTGCCCGCCTTTTCGATTTCTTTCTTGGTAAGGCCGGTTGTAACGCACACCTTCAAGGCGGGGAACAGAACCTGCTTGGGCTCAAAGTTGTCTTCGAGAGTCTTCAATCGTGTAATGAGGACGCCATTGGCAAGACACTAGTACATTGTTAGGGAGATATGATATTGGGTGGGAATTTCTCAGGTCATACCTCATCAACCACGTCCTGCAACAAGAACTGCTGATCTTCAGTCGTTAGCCTCTTGGCTGCAACGACCTCTGGCTTGATGGCCAGGATTTGGATAGGGTTCTCGGGGGCATTGGTGCAGTAAACCCAGTCACTGCGGGGATCTAACTGGGCCCGCATAGCCTTGGTGTGTTCACGGAGCTGGGACACAGTCTCGGGGCTGTCCTGGAGGATTTTGATAGTGGCGCTGGCAGTAGTTGAGAGCAGGGCAGGAAGCGCAGCCGAGAAAGTGTAAGCAGCAGCCGAGATACGCTGGTGGTGAACGATCTCCTCTGAGCCAGCACAGAAGCCACCGCCAGCAACGAGGGGACCAGCCAGTGATCCCACAATCATGTCAACTTCGGCTGCGTCAACGTTCTGATGCTCGGTGATACCACGGCCAGTGCGACCAAGAACACCGAAGGACCATGTCTCATCTAGGATGAGACGGAACTTGTACTTCAATCTGAGCTCGACCTGCAGGAGTTGTTAGCGGAAGCATGAGCACAGGACGAGATTAGGATGCATACAATCTTGGGCAAATCTGCCATGTCGCCATAGGTCTCGAAGAGTCCCTCGGTGATGATGAATCTGCGAGTCAAAGGCTTCCGGGCCTGCTCTTTAGTGACCTTTGCGAGGACTCTTTCCAAATCCTCCATGTCGTTGTGCTCATACCAGCGGACTATGCTTCGGGAAATCTGGATACCTTTGCGAATGGCGAAACTGACACCCTTATCCGCAACGATAATGTCTCCACGCTTCGAGAAAGCGGGAATAACACTGGAAATCGTGGAAAATGCCTGGGAGTAAATGATACAGGCCGTGGTGCCTAAGAAAGCCGAAACGTCATCTTCGGTCTTCATGTGGACATCCTGACTGCCGTAGAAACCGCGGGGGCCACAGGGGCCAACACCGTACGTGCGGAGAGTCTGGATGGCCTGTTCCTTCAGCGATTCATTTGTGTTGAAGTTATAAAAATTGAAGGATCCGAGGTTCATGACGGTTCGGCCATTGGCGAGTTTTGATTTGGGGCCGACAGGGCTGCAGATACAAGGCTCACGCGTCAGCAAGAAGTCCGCGCCGGGCATTGGGTAGAAAATGTTGAGGGGGAGCATTACCCGACAATTACTGTGCGTTTATCGACTTCCATCTCTTCCAGGCTGCTAGGTTTTCCAACGAGAGGCTCAGGGATCCATTCGTCCACCAAATCATCGATCTCATCTTCGGTAAGTGGTACGACTCCGGGCTTGGTGGAATACTTCGGAGCCAACAGGTATCGAACGGCGAACAGGAACAGGAAGAGCTCGACGGCGGAGCGAATTGGGTCGTCTTGGTAGCTGGATTTCACATAGCGGAGGAAAATCGCTGATCCAGGCACGCGATGGAAGAGGTCCGCAAGTTCATGCAGGTAAACGGAGAGGATGCGCTGGGTCTCCTGGAGATCCATGACGGCGAGTTTAGGAGCACTCGCAGTGTGCAGCACCGAGTGAGGCTACTACCAAAGGAAAGGAAGGTCGACAGTTAGGAAGTTGAATCGTTTTGACGTCGTTCAAAAACTTGGGAGTAATGGAACGGGGGTTTCGGGGCCCTGGATCCTCCGTGGCACGTGACCGTTAACAGCGGCCACCGGGATGACACTTCTACGAGTCTGAGAGCAGGGGTGTTGACCACGTCGATTATTCTACAACTGGCTTGATTATTACGAGAGATGTTTCACGAAAGCAATGCAATTTAATTCCGATCGAAGTGTAAATAAAACAAGCAAAGAAAGCTAGAAACGAAGGTAAACCCCTGGGATGACGAGGGCCTTCATACAAGCGTCATTCGACGAAAGATATGGGAAAGCAGCCATTCATTAAGGTCAACGTGTGCGCCGATGAGTTCAGAAAAAATGCAGCGAATTTTAAGAAACGCGAGTTTGTACAAACCATTCCAATGCCGTATCGCAAACGCTTTAAATGGCCCACTTGTCGTAACCTGCAGAGGGAGTGGGAGCGGAGCTGGACGAGTAACCGCCTGGGAGTCCAGATCCAGTGTACCAGTCGACGGTGTCATTAAGGTTGTGGTCAAGCGGCTGGAGCAGACCAATTGCTGAGGTGTCCTTGACACCGATTGAGTTCCAGAGACTGTTCTTCAGGAAATCATCAAGCAGGTCTGTGTTGCGGAGAACAACGGGGGCAGCGATAATGACCACGAAGATAACGAGGATGGTGAAGTACAGAATGGCGAAACGGACAACACGTCTCTTGCGCAGCTTCGATTGCTTGAGAGAGTAGATCGGAGGGCGGATTTGTCGGCTAAGAAGCTGGTTAGTGTCTGAATGACCGGTGAGGGGGATGTAGTTTACGAACCTTGGGCGCAGCCAGAAGAGAATGACCGAGTGGAACTTGTCAACATAGGGGATAGCCAGCGCGGGCAGCATGGCAAACAGTAAGATGTGTCCCAAGAAGAAATCGGTGGCGAAGTATCCAAGCTCCGTGATCTTACACAAGAACTCACGGCCAGGCTGGGAGAGAGAGTGCCATCCCATGTTGTACCATTTTCCAGTCCACCAAGCGATGTTCGACTGGTCGTTCTTGAACTCACGAGTCAACGCGAGGGAGATGATCAACTTGTAGATGAAGCGCTGGAGAGCCATGGCTGCGATCATACCAGAAATGGTTCGGGGCCAGTTGAGGGATTCGAGGACGAACATGGCGAGGAAGAAGATGAGGAATGCAATGACGGCAATGGCGTGGGCGATAGCGGCAAGGACAGCTCCGAACTTCTTACAGCACATGCCGAAGACTGGACCCATACAGCAAGCCATACCGAAGAACATACCAGCAACACCCGCGTTGATACCGACCGGTGCGAAGGCAACGATCGCAACGCGAGCGATGGGGTTGGCGGCCCATTTCTCGTCATTGGAGAACATGGTGCGAGAGTTGATGTAGAGGTACGGGATCAGTGTGGCGCCGACTCCGAGCAAGGGCGAGATGATTTCACTGAAGAAGATGTTCGTGAGGCGGGCTCTTGGGATGTCACCGGAGCCCTTCTCGGAAGGAACACCAAGGAGCTTCCGCTTGTAACCAGTGAGTCGAGTACGGGAAAGACGGCAGAATCCAATCCATGACGATGCGTGAGACCGAGAGTTACCACGCGACAACCAGCGGATGTAGTCGCGATAATCAATGAAGAAATCGTTCCAGGCGAATTGGTGAGGGTTGAACAAGAAGGGCGAAATGCAGAGAGCGAGCAGGGAAACCCAGAACCAGATCAAGGCCGGAGTCCACACTGTTGTGGTGGAGAACAACAGCATGAGCAGGAGACGAGCACCAAGATAGATCGAGGGACTAGCGAATCTGGAGTACAGCACACCGAATGGGATACGCGCAGTGGCGAAACCACGACCGGTACCAATGTAACGAGCACCTCCGAAAGACAAATTGGCGTGAACAGCGTTGGCGTAGATTTGACAAACGAACACCTCGAACATGAAGGAAAGGGAACCGAAGTGCTTCGCCAGACGAGTAGCCATGCGCCAAACACCACGCTCGGTCAATTCCTGAACTGCCAATGGCACCCATGAAATGAAGAACACGATGAAAATGGAGATGACACAACGGTTGACCCAGTCGAGAATGGGAGTCAAGTTGGCACAGAGGGTGGGAACCAGGGGATCGGTGATAGGCAGATCGGAGTTGTACTTGCAGATGATGGTCTCGTGCTTCAAAGCGCCAAGGTTGATCAACACAATCATGAACATTTGCACCGAAAGCATAATGAACATGTTGTTCAGATGGAAACCGGGGTGAGCGTAGTAGAAGGAGAGGAAACGGTCAAGAGGCAGCTGGGTTCCGAGGTAGTAGTACTCGCGGGACAACATCTGCTCACCCATACCAGTACCAATCTTGGTGGTGAAGTTCAGAATGGATCCGAAACCAAGATCACGACCCTTACCACACTGGAAGTACTCGCAATGCTTGATACGACCACCACGCAGAAGAGCGTTCATACCAGCGTAAATATCTTCGTTGAGATGCAATCCCTTTTGAGCTTTGGAAACACCGCCACGGGTACACATGAAAGTAGCGTTCAGGAAATCAGGATGACCGTAGTGCAGCTTACCGCCAACTTGCGAAAGTGTACGTGCGAAGAGGGTACCGAACGTTTGTTCCTTGGAGGCAGCAACATCACCGAGAACACCGACGTTCTCAGAGAAAATGTACTCACGAGCACCGAGGATGGCAACAGGGGTCTCCTCGGGCGAGGCGACACCAGGCGTGTAGGGAGAGACGTTATCGGTGGTGAGCTCCTCGAACTCAGCCAGGACACTGCGAATCTTAAGACACTCTTCCAGGTAGTTGTCCTGGTTAGCATCGATAAGCTGGATGTATTCACCACGGTAGAAGATGATGGAGTGGTTCTGGTTGTCTGACTTTCCATCTCCGAGAATGGGGTTTCCGGAAAGTTGAATTCTGAACTTGGGCTTGCGCATGTTGTTCTCGAGAAGTTCACAGTGACCATCAATCAGTGCCGAGTAGAGACGGGGTTCCTCGCCCTCATTGACTGGGGGCTCCTCATCGAGGTAGGCGATTTGCAGATCCGGGTAGGCACGGAGCAGGAACTCAGTGTTCTCACGCTCATCCTTGTTGAACTTTGCGTAACGCTGCATGGAGACACAGATGCGGAACTTGCGACGAGCCATACGCTCGAGCTCGCGTTCGAGCTTCTCAGAGTTACCACCAAACATTTGAACGACCTCGGGGTTCTCAACACGGTAGAGGAGCTTGATGGCACGGCTGTAGTTCATGAAACCGGAAACGGTGCGATACAAGGTTTGAGATCGGAGCGATGCCCAGATTCGGGTGCGAAGAGTGTACTCAGGAGCAGCAGACTTGAAACCAATGCAGTAGAATGGAAGGTCATCGATCTTGCTCTTAGCAACATCCTTTTCAGGCTTCTCGTAGTCTCCATTGAACTGTGATGTCTCATCTGCGAGAATCTTGGTATCCTTGACGAAGCAATCCCACTCGTGAGGGTGAAGCTGCTTGAGGTATTCCAACAGAGTAACACGGGAGTAAGGCTCGTCTTCACGAATAATCTCACGCAAAGAGAGAAGAATCTTCTCGCTGTAGTGAGGAATCAGGACAGTGAAGGTAGGCATGTTGTCAACAGGCAAAGGCTCAGGCATGGGCGTGGACAGAGACTGGGCGAAGAAGGAGATACGACGCTCAGCTTCACTGCCTTGAGGGAAGAACTCGGTCTTGAAAGATTGATCTTCCTGCGAGACGAAGAAAGTGGGAGCGCGGAGGGTGCGCTTGCCTTCCTGCTCAGAAGGAACCTGGTGGTAGAGCAACTTCTGGACGTGATCGATAGCCAGCAAGTGCTCGCGGTACATCGAAATAATGATGGCGTTCCACACTTGAGAGATGAGAACCTTCGGCTTGTACTTGATTTCCATGTCGGTGGTAGCAAGGACCTTGGAGTAGATACGTTTCGGCAGGCGAGAGAAGATGTTTCTCCAGGGGGACCAGATCGATACACCGAGGTAGAAGGATCTTGCGACCGAGAAGATCGTGTTGCAGATAATGTACCACAGATAACTGTCCAGGAAGAAGAGCGTCAGATCCATGAAGGCCATAAGACCCAGGAGAATCTGAGGCTGTCGGTGGCAAACAGCGTTTCCAATGTACTTCGCACCAGTGCACTGGTGGATCTGCATTGGCGAGAGGATGCGAATGGGATCCTTGAACGACAGAGTCAAGAAGAAGTAGGACTCAGCCAGCTTTGCACCGAAAACACAGACCCAGAGACCGTAAGACATCCACATGTCATTTCCTGCAAGTCGGGGGAAACTGGCAGTGAAAGTCTGACTGGCAACATATTTGCGTCCGTTCTTCTTCATGTAGTTACCAAAGAGCGCACCCAGTGGTTGGATGGCGAAGAAGACAGCCGTCAGGACGGCGAGGACAAAGTGGACGATACCGAGCGCAAGACCAACACCGTGCTCTGTGCTCTTCGACATGCCGAGGGATGGCAAGATGCTGAAAATCACGATACCAGGAGCGAGGTTGATGATGAAAACACCAAGGAGGAACATGAAACGCTTGCGCAAGTGCTGTGCACCGGCCCAGCCTCTTGGAACGTAAACCCATTCGAAAATGGTGGCCATGATTTGAATGAACGAGACGAGAGCACCACCGAAGCCGACAGCAGCAAGGAACTTTGGGCTATCAGGCTTGTTGTCGAGCTGTTGCTGGTAGTTGATTGTGTAGAGAGTCGGGGCGTTGTAGGCAGTGAAGAACCAGAACGAGCCAAGATGGATGACCCAGATACGGTTGAAGTTCGTAATCATATGGAACCAAGAACGTGTTTCCTTGTAGGTCTTGAAGAAAGCCTTCTTCCAGACAACGTCTTTCAATTTGGGCCATCTCTCACCAATGGGCACATCAACCAAACGAGTCTTATCCTCGAACCCAATGCGCTCAATACCCTCTGGGTACCAAAACAGCTGGTTCATGTCATCGTAACCGATGATTTCGTTGTGGTCATGCTCACGACGGACATACTTGCCGTCCATAATCTCGTATCCCTGGTCGCGGCAGTACTGGTAGAGAGGGGTGACAATCTCGTTCAGGTAAGTGAATTCCTCAACTGGCTCCACCCGGGCTTGACATTCGGGTGAAGTGTAGTAGTCGTCGGCACACTTGAAAATGAAGCAGATGCACTCTGGGAGGAAGCGAACCTGGTTTGCTTCACCCCAAATCAGCAAGTACAAAGCAATCTGGCGGGCCCGGTCATGCTGAGACATGCGGTTCATGCGCGACTTCCAACGGTATTCAGCGGCCTCCAGACTGTTGTCGCCTTCCAAGGCCTCAAGCGTCTCCTCCTCGTTCTCGGGGTTCTGCTTGGCCGCCTTGGCCGCCGCTTTGCGGGCCTTCCGAGTCTTGCGGTCTGCCTTTCCAAGCTTCATGTTGGCGAAGCCAACCGCATCGTCCAGATCCAGATGGGCAGCGAAGTACCATCTCCGGTAGTTGGCGTTGTGTCCTCCAATGTAGTCGGCGTGGATGGAAAGCAGAGCCTGGTTGGGAGTCATACGCGAAGCACGGGAGTCCAGCATAGTCATCATGTGGTCGTACATATTCCGCATGCTGTCACGCTGGAAACCGAATTTGTTGACCAAGTCCAGGAAGATGTCCTCAACCTCCTCCTTCGAGAGAGGGATTTGGGCATCAGAGGACCACGCTGGGTATGGCTCGCGAGACCGCTGGCCAGCGGGGAGCGCGTTGCCATATTCCATGCCGTAAACAGGGGTTGAAGCACCGGATGACCGGTTGGCGCCGTAGGAAATCTGGGAAGAGGGAGGGCGATATCCTCCGTAACCGCTACGGCCACCGTACTGGCTGTCGGTGTAGCTATTATACCGTTCGTCTCCGCGGCCATAGTAATCCATGTCCGCAGCGCGAGCAGTCTCTGATCTCATCGTGAAATCGCTGAAAGTTTCGGAGTCCTCCTCGGAATCGTGACCACGTCGGCCCCGTGGGTATTCGCCGTGGCCCTGGTCATAATACTGGTCGCCATAGTCTTGGTGTCCAGCCTCATAATATCCTCCATCGGCGTATCCTTGGCCGTGCGCGGCACCATCGGTGGGGTGGGCCCCTTCGGCACCGTAGCCATCGGCGTAGTATCCGTGACTGTGACCTTTGTCAGCTCTCTAACCCTCAATCCATATCTGTGAGTTATCCTACCCTTGGTCGTAGTAACCATCGCCATGTGCTTGGTTGTCGTAGTACCCTCCTTGGGCATGTTCATCCTGATAGTAGGAGTCACCATGACCATGACCTTGGTTGGCATAGCCATCGTCATAGTGGCCTCCGCCAGCGTAGCCTGACATGACGGGCGAGTCGCGATCGATTCAAAGCTGACAGCTCTAGGGAAGAGTTAGTTTCCCATTCAAATGCCCAAGGTCCTGTTGAGGTATTTGGAGGCTCACCTCAACCGCGACCATTCAAAGCAAATTGGGCAGAGTGTCGAATTGATGCAGCATAGGCACAGGGAGCGATGCGCTGATACCCGGGTGCGCGTGTCTAATTATCGAATGATCCTCAACCTCAGTAACGAATGTGACCCCGTCAACAAGGAAGGAGCAATGGGGATAGCAAAGAAGCAACCTCTCCCTCCAATCGTCAAAAAAAAGGCAACAACGAAAGGTAGCAAAATCAAAAAGGAAGGATGGTTGGAAACAAAAAGCGAATGGAAGGGGGTTGGAGAGAGAAGACAAGAAAATGCTTGGTGTTATTTTGGGAATCGGGGGGGGGCTCGCTGTCTAATTTACCGTCACCATACAGCGAGAGGTACGTGTCAGAGTTCTAGGTACAGGATACCTCCTCCCAGTATGGGTGACCCCTGTTTCCGCTAAGTACCGGATACCCACTCGTTTACAGTAATACGCAGGTACTCCGTTTGACTTCCAGCCTGCATGGAGAATACATCAAATGTCTCTCCTCTCGGTGCATCTCTACTGTCCACATCGAAATTACCGTTATTGTCCGACTGTATTTACGGTTGTGTTTCCCACCAGCCTCCAATCGCCGGCCACCTCGGCCACCGGAATCCAAGGGAGTCTCGACGGCCCCTGAAACTTGCTCCACTGTCAAATCAGGTCACAAATAATGTGGGTAATTTTCCCTCCCACAGAATACCTGTATCTCCAGGGCTTCGTTGTTATGACCACGCTGGTATGCAGGGAGGTATTATTCATTCCTCGTGCCATTGTCTACACTTTCAAGAGGAGTGCTTTTACTACGGAGTGCTCTGTAGAGTAACTACCTAGGTAGGTAGTGGGCAATGTGGGAGTGCTTTGTCCAAAGGCCCATGGCACTCAAACCAGATGAACCACAGTTCTCCATTCCCTAGGAATTCTGTGTCCGTCCACCTACTTGTAGTCAATTGTATGCTTATCTCCACGATCGTCCATTCTGGTTGCTGCTTTGGTCCTCCGCAGACTTTTATCTCTGTTTCATTAGCGTACGGCTGATTTGCCACAGTCGTGTCTCAAAAGTCGATTGGTTCGATGGATATCACATTTGACTTTCCACTGCCCGTTGAGCTAGCCTGCATTAAGGGGGGAGCTGGCAAGCCCATCAATGATAGGCGACTCTATCACACAGTGGAGTGGTACCACCTCAAAAAACTTGAATCTGTGGCTTTAGCCTTGGTTCGGGTCGCCCATCGCCGTAGTCTCGCTAATGATTGGGTTTGGCTATATTTATCTGTCCACACATGCATATTAGTACTGAATATTATAGATATATTCATACTCCCTAGACTGGGAGTATTCTCGGTTCGCTCCATACTGAATAGTACTAGTAGTACGGAGTACTCCGTACATGGTTATACAATAATTGCACTCGATCACTAAGACCTAGTGCATCCATGGATTGACTCTGTCCTTGTATCAGATTATACCAATACTATTCGGAATATTCATGTTTCCAAGCTAGTAATCTTGTAATTGAAATTGATCTCCACCGTTAAACCCGGGATTGTATCTCGTTCCACGCACCAAGTGGATCCCGATTGCTTTTTTGCTTTTCTTCCCAGGTTCTTTCGGAAAGCCTCGACCGAATGGCCACTCCACGCCAGCGTGCGAATGCTTCGTCGCGGAAGCAGGAGGCTTGGTAAATCGGACATGCGATATTCCGGGGGTCACTGAGTACATATGTAACAAAAGTACAAACTGACAGTACTCTGTACTTCGTGCAGAGTAATATTCTTCTAACGCCAGCTGCATTAATGATGGCTGACAGCATGGTTGCCGTACCTTGTTCACCCCCATGCCCGTCGGTGCAGGACCGTGCAGGAACGATACATCAGCTGCTCGTACTCCGTCCTCCGTACATAATTAAGTGAACATCCATACATATTCTTCGGTCCTATCCCCCCCTATCAATACATGCTGGTCTACTCCGTACCTGGCAAGGGGGTCGGTGGCGCTTTATAGGGCTATTGACGTCTTCAGCGACCGATAGCGATCGCTAATGTCATACCAAAAATAACCTGTCTACACCGTCCGTGATGAACAGTTGTCTTGAATGGGTCTAGCCAGCGATCACTAGCCGGCAGGCGGACTCTAGTGTAGCAGATTTATTGGAGGGACGGCCCCAGGGAGTAACAAGCCTGGTGTAATAAATCGCCACTTTTCAATACTCGATAACCGATGCACTAAAATGATTGTCTTGAAATGTGGCTAGAAATGAATCTTGGCACCAGGTTTCATGAAGGCACTCGTACTCGTAGTCTCCTACGCGTTCGGAGTTAAGAGAAAATGCGGGAAGTGCCACTTGTACTCCATGCTTCTAGTACTAAACTTATGCCTATTGGCTTCCTTTGCTGCACCTAATGGTGCCGGAAAAGCCACTTCGTCAATGACTGTTACGGGCGTTTCCAGAAGCTCCGTTCAAGCTCTTCCCCTTCCAGGATTATTTTTGGCCCCAACCCCTGAATATACCTGCCACTATGTACTGTACTGGCACCCCGTACGAGGTGAACATTACTGTACATTAACCCCTTAGAAAGATGGGACTCTTTATTCGCCACTGGTCCACGTTGACTCCATAATTTTATGCACAAGCCATGGGGAGCTGGTCAAAGGAGAAGCTCCAGCACCAACCACATACACCCCGAAGGCTACTACGGAGTACTTGGTGCTGTCATTAGGGGGCTGTGTACAGCCCTGGGACCTGGGGTCAACCTCGCCTCCATTGAGATTGTAACCCAATGACAGTCCCTACATTTGAAGGCTTTTCACTGTTCATGTGCCTTTTGAGCACTTTCTGCTCAGTGCCGTGCGAGTAGAGTGCTGTAGGTGGCAGTAGAAGCTCTGGGATCCGGCCTGGAATTACAAATGTTCAACAACAGTGGACGCACCTTCAACATACGATGTCGATGCATAGAAATTTGCGCAATTACACAGATCTCGGGGGCCTTGGAAGCACCTGGGCACTGCCCAGGTGATATGTTCAATTTTTTGTTCGTACTCAAGCACACCTGGGCAGTAGTATACACTATGCGTGCACAAATAAGTTTGAAGTTCTTTAAGGTTCGAAGCCCTGAAGATTCCAACCTTGGAAGTTGTCGCGGGTACCTCAAATATATATTTACCCGGACACCACATGAGATTAAACAACATGGAAACCTTGGAACCTTGGAATTGTTCCACGGCTGCCAGGTGTTTCAAGGTTGTCAAGGGTATTCAATGTCGCACCAACATTGGGTATTCTCGTCATACCTACTTATGCTCCGTGATCTAAAAACATTCACCATGTCCGGACCGTGGACCCTAAGGCTGCAGCCGGGCTAAATCACAGCTTATGTACAAATGTGACTCGTGGACACGCAATCTTTGATACCTAGCTATCCAGAGATCTCATTGAAAATCTATGTTCGCTACTACCTTGGTAGGACTCCCAAAAACCGAAAAATATCAGGCGACTGTATAGATTCGGTGACTAGCACCTGGACAGGGACAGCCTGGAAGGCGGGGCCATCTCTACCTTCACACCCCGGCCCTCCGATTTTTGTTTATACGCGCCATCCATCCCCAAGAGTTCTGCCTATCGCTTACTTATCTATGTACAGCATGCCTAGGTACTCTGTGAATTATGCGTCATTGATTTTGCCTCTACGCATGATGGATGCCTGCGCGAGCTTTCCTCCGGGTAGTAGATATCCATGAGGGAACTTGGCTGACGTTTTTCCATAATATGTACCCAACTCAGAAATTGCAGAAAATACATGTGCGATCTACGGAGCAGTATGCGCTGAATCAGAGTGTTGCAATTATCGTCTTGTGTGCCCAGAGGTGTAAATGTAGATCAACTACACCGAGCAGCAAGGGGTGTTGATCTTCAGCACCAACTAACAGGGAATTGACCACGACGTGAACGCCCGTTCAATATGTAGCGCTCCTACGGAGTTGTATGGAGTACATCTGAAGTGCTTCGTACTTCGCACAGTATATTCCAAGGTTCGCACCGAGCGGCTACATCGCCGCCTGGGCGGGCATTCTTACATACGCCAACATACGTATATTTACATGCAATACTTGATGTACTGATACGCTCAGCAAGGAGGTTGATGATTTTGAGATATTGAAATCTTAAATTACAATCCTACGTCTGGGCAGTAGATATGACGCATGTTCCTGAGGTCGGTTCCAGCAACTCCGTATTTGTCTTCAATTTGGCGGTCCTGGTCATCAGTTGATGGAGCTCAAGGAGTCTAGCCTTGGAGGAAGGGAACCAGGACTATGCTCAGACTTGCTGTCTGAGCTACCACATAGGTATGTACAAAAGAGATCATCTAGCTCTGATGTAACCGCCCCAGCTGGGTCTACTTCCAAGGTTTGCATCCCCCATTTTCCGTGGATTAATATCAAGTCTCGTGTAAATAAGATATGCCGATGGTGTGATGTGAGTTGGGCATACATGCGACCTCGAATTATGTACAGAGGTTCCGAGGCCGATAAGGTGCTGTCTCATTAGGCTGTACGCCTACATGGAAGCGGGGGGTTGAGGCTTGAAATATGGCGCTTGTTTTAACTCTGGAACCTCTGGTGATATGTCTTGTTTATACTGCCAGCTAATAACTAGGCAACTGACCTCGGGGTACCGAGACAGGACATGTGCCGTGTCCCAAGGCTGTTCGTTATATATACTCTCCAGAGATCGAGACCTGAGCATGATCCGCTGAGACTTATACCCAGACCCCTGGCCATCAAGCACAGGGAACTTGGATAAAATCTAGATATCCACCAAGGAGATGTAGTATTCGAGTTGAGCTTGTATTATTCTACTTTCACCCAAACTGCTCGGAGCACATTGCGATTCTTGGTCGAGGTGCAGAGGCCTCTCTACCAGCCGACCGAATTATGTAGATTTGGCAGTAGCTCAGAAGGTTCAGGCAAGGAGAAAGATAGATTCACCAACCACTTTAATGCGCAATATCGTAGGATCATGTTGACTGTACATTGTACAGTCCAGGTGATCTGGAGGTTGGGTTGGTTTACAGCCCCCGGGCGTTGCCGTGCCAACGCTTCCGTTGACAGCTCACAGTGAGTCGAATTAAAACCTTCCAGACGATAAGCACTTGAGATCAGTGAGATCGACGAAAAGCATCATTAGCAGAGTATTGGTATACTGATATATTCATATTGAAACACACACACACACACAACAATGGCCAGACTCAACACGGCCAATCCTCTGGTCCACGGCACCCCTCACAGGGGAAGCAAGGACACACCCACCAATATTGACAGCCAGCGGTCAAACCAGCCATGTTCCAACACGAGGTCCCCCACCAAGTACGACTTGCCCAAAGCTCAGAATCAGACTCGACGGCAATTAGCGAGATCGAGCACTTTCAATATATTGCCTGATGACGAATCCGCTTCGGAATGTGAAATTGGGAGTCAACACACTGGAAAGCAGACAAGACCACGGACACTGGGACTCGCCCGTGTGAATTCGCTACTTCTTCCGAAGAAACAAAGACCCCGACCCAACCTCATGCGGACCGCCGGCTACGACAAAGAAAACGACGTACCTGAACATTCTACGGATGAATTTCGCACGCCTGGCTCAACGCCAACCAGGCCAGCACCAGCCAGACCAAGTGCCCCGCAAATGTCAAACAGGGCTAGAGAGAGACCGGTTGGGCGGAGGCAGCTCGTGAGCAACCGGCAAAGAGAGGATACAGGCGCCCAAAACTTTGATGATAGCTTTGATTCACTCGACGACTTCATCGTCAGCGACAATGAAGAGCCTAGCTCCCACGAAGAATCCGACCATGAAACACCAGACACAGAAGAAGAACCCACACCACCACCTTCCCCTGTAAAGTCTCCCCGGAAGAGACTTTTACGCGGAAGAAGACCACCTTCCGAGACAGAACCTACAATCAGTGCAGATGCGACCTTGCCAGCAGACATGGAAGATCTAAAGCCATCCAAAGATTCAGCACCGATACCCACGATATCCATCGCTACGGACGAGACCTACGAACCAAAGTCACAAGGTGTATCTTCCAATGATAGCACGAACGACCCAGAGTCCGAGGACAGCACACCATATCCGCTGTATCCGCAACGCCACAACTCTGAAGATCTCATTAAACACCTCGAGAGCCTTGACTTGTCGAGTGATGAGGAGGATAATCTCCAACCCCAGAAGTCAACACCCAGGTAAGTTCCCCCAGGACAGTCGAGGACCTACCCATACTGATGACCAGCCTCAGATTGGACTCGGATAATGAACTGCCTTCACCACCAAAGCCAAGTCGCAAGCAATCAACGCCGCTCACCCCATCAACCTCGGCGCCAAAAGACACGCCTCCAACTACTATAAGGGCTCAAAAGAAAGCTGAGGCGGCACGAAAACGTGAGATTCGTGCGCAAATCGCCGAATTCAACGAAAACAAGGTTGGGTTTGCCGAAGAGTTCCTCCGACACTTGGAGAGTATCTTTGATGGTCGCATTGGCAGCATGACCAAAGACACCGGTGGCATCAAACTCGTGTGGACCAAAAACTTTAGAAACACCGCTGGTCGGGCAACAGTTCGGTCAGAAAGAGTGTTTCTGGGAGAAGGTGTTGAGGATCCCGGACGCCGGCGTTACAATGCCACTATTGAGTTGTCCGAGAAAGTCTTGGATACCGAGGACAAGATCCTGTGCACCTTGACCCACGAGTATTGCCATCTGCTCGACATTCTCATCACCGAGAACAGGGGCAAGGGTGCAGCGCAGCACGGCGTCAGCTTTAAACAGTGGGGTGCACGATGCACCCAGGCGTTAAAGAACCACCCTGTTTATGGAGGTCGCGTGGAGGTTACAACCAAACATACTTACGAGATCAACCATAAGTACGTTTGGGCTTGTGTGGGACTGGGATGTCCCTTTGAGGTCGGGCGACATTCAAAGAGCGTGGACCCCGTCCGTCATCGCTGCGGCCGTTGCAGAGGACATCTCAAACAGATCAAGCCGGTACCTCGTGCTCCACCAAAGAAGAACAATACCAAGATTGTGATCAATTTGGATGACGATTGACGGTGAAGGGGTTTGGAATACATCTTGATGTCTAGAATTTTACGAGAACGGCCATTTATTAATGAAGAAATGAATTTTTGCTTATCATCAACCTCGGGATATAGTAGTGCTGACTATTCGTCATGGACATTTTAAGCTAGAATTTAAAAAGTGGTGGGGATGGCCTTGAGTGGCCAATGTGATATCTGACCCGCACACTATAACATGATGATGCACTGCACACTCGTAAAGATGACTATAACCGACCCGATCTAGCTCGATTCGCACGCTCCGACCGAAATTTGCTTCCTCGGCTACTGTTTTCATGCCGTTGAGCAGCTCTGACACCTACCAATCTGGGGTTAGTGTGTTCTGTCACAAAGCGCCATGTCGAGTTACTAGTCCACGCCTATCTCTTTCTAGGTAGGGCCACAGGGGCTCTCCAGGGCTCCTTTGTTCGATTACTGGACGGTTTCGTGTGTTGTATGATTTTTTTTTTTTATCTTGCATGGATAGTCCCGGTCTAGCCCTTGCTGCGATCCATGCGGATGACACGAATTAGGCCAGCCGAGTACAACACAATAGGAACAATATATGTATGTCGTTGCTGTCTGCTATATATGACCCGTCTGTTGCTGTCGATCCGCTTTCACTTTGGCTTCACTCGGGCTTTAGACATCAATTTGGAGGGATCTACCTCTTTCCCTGGCCCTTTTGACCAGCCCAACTAATCGCAGCTTCTTCTCAAGGATTGTGTCAACGAACGGCATAATGTCAAAAACCAATGAGAAGACAGATAATTACCCGACATTGAGTCGGCCCTTCGAGTCCATGAAAACAGAGTACGATGTTATAGTCATTGGATCTGGGTATGGAGCTGGCGTAGCAGCTAGTCGAATGGCTCGAGCTGGAAAAAGTGTGGCCGTGCTGGAGCTAGGTTGGGAAAGACGATGTACTAATTGCTCCCTAATATTCGGAAATTTGATGACTTCGGAACTGACAATGGAGTTTAGCTGGGTCATTCCCACATACATTCACACAATGCCTTGGAGATATGAACGTCTCAGGAATCTCCGCTAATAATGGCTTCATCACGAACTGGCTGTCACCACGAGACCCCACTCGACTATTCCAGTTGACTCTTGGAAATGGACAACATGCCTTTTCTGCTCATGGTATGTCTAGACACATCGCTGGGAACTCCCAACAGGTCTAATACCTACATGCTACATTGCAGCACTTGGAGGATCCTCCTTGATCAATGCAGGTGTTTTCTTAAGAGCAGACAGACAGGCATTAGAAATGAGTCCCTGGCCATCTGAGATCAGAAAAGTGCCACATGAACTTGAAGAATGTAAGTCCTTTTGCAGCTCGTGTACACAAATGTCATGTTGATTAAGTCATGACAGACTATTCTCGTGCGGAAACAATGCTCCAACCTTCTGTATACCCTGAAAACTTTCCGACACTGAGCAAGTCCGAACATTTCAGAGAGCAGTCAAAGTCCATGGGAAAGACAAACAAATTCCGTCGAGCACCGCTCACCACATTTTTTCACCGCAGTCGCAACAATGCAGCTGTGCAAATGGAGGCAAATAGCCTGACCGGCCATGAGTGCACCGGTCTGAACGATGGCTCCAAAAACTCCGTCGCTACGACTTATCTCGCAGATGCATGGAACTGGGGTGCCGAGATATTCTGTGGCTGTGAGGTTCAGTATGTTGAGAAGGCTGAAGAGGGAGGGTACATTGTTTACTTCTCCTGGCACGGAAATGGGAGGGCAGTTTTCAGTGAGCATTTCAAGGAGCAGCTGTTCTGGGTCAAATCTGTGAGTTGAAAGTTATGAAGCTGCAAGCAAAGTCTGCCAATATCAACTGACTGTTCAACTTGTTTAACTTAGCGCGAGTTTTGCTTCCTGGGAGCAGGCTCTTTGGGAACAACAGCCATCTTGCTCCGGTCAAAGCGCCGCGGCTTAAAAATGTCCCCGTTGGTTGGCCGAAATCTATCTGGAAATGGGGATCTGTTGATATTCGGTGAGGATCATTGCAATCGACCGTATAAAGGGACAAAAGACTGATCAGTACATCGATAAAGGATACAACGAGAGAACCGACGTCAATGGAATCGCTCGGAAATCTGCAGACCCTGCCCTCCGACCCGGGCCAACGATTACTGCTGTGATCGATAATCGGGAGACTGACTCCGCCAGTAGTCGCCTGTCTGGATATGTTTTCCAAGACGGGTGTATCCCGGAAGCTTTTAATCCAGTCATCCAATCCATGCTTATCTTGCAGACCATAAAGAGTCAAGTCTTGTCAATTCTCTGGGACACCAGAAACGAGAAAGGAAAGCTCATTGCCGCGCTGAAGTCTCTCATTCTAGGACCTTACGCTCTTGGAGGGGCTCTCCAGCGAACATCAACATATCTAGTGATGTCTCACGATAGTAATGAGATGACAATAACTCTCAAAAACGACCAGCCATGTTTGTCAGCGCCAAAGGAAGGACGATCTGAGCATTTCAAAAGAATAAAAGGGCTGTTCAACGACCTGTTCAATCTCACGGGAACAAAAATGGGGGTTTCATACTTTTATGGTAGGCAGACCTCTTGAAAAATGCCGGGGAGCTAGCTAATGTTCATTTCAGGTCGCCACGAAGAGGAAGTCACTGTGCATTTACTAGGAGGGGCTAACATGAGCTGTGACGGTACAGGACAAGGCGGTGCTACAAATCATTTAGGAGAGGTCTTTACTGGCCATGACAGCGAGGTACACGATGGCCTTGTATGCTGTGATTCATCCGTCATCCCAACGGCACTGGGTAAGTTGAGTTAAATTTGGTCACTACTTCAATTAACATCTCTAGGCGTGAATCCTCTGGCGACAATCACTGCTCTATCGGAGCGATCTGTGAGCTTAATCGCAAAGAAAGCTGGGTTATCGATTGATATCGAGACCAAGAATGACCCTCTGGACATAAACAGTAGACCCAAAGTGTCGGGAGTCAATCGTGATCCTTCAAAGGGCTTCAAAAGACCATCCAGCTCCATAGGTTGGCAGTTCACCGAAGCTTTGTCTGGACACGTATATATGGGTCCAGATGTCAAAGATCATCATCTCTCGGCAAATATGGGAAAAAGATCATCCTGCTCCATGCAGATGCTCCTGACAGTTGAGATATGTAAACAAATTGGTAAGAAATATCGATCTTCAATATCATTTTCCGTGATGCTAAGTCTTCAAAGGGAGTGGCTATCAAGGTATCTGCACAGGGACGGTCTCCTGTCATGCCCTTTCCAAGTCTACACTCAAAGTCGGCCGGGGTACATTAGAATTCTTCACAACTGTGGAAGAAAGCGCAGAAGCGTTGGCGATTGTATATCTTTTGGAGCTCATCTCAGTGGAGGGCACGACATACCATGTCGAAGGACGCAAATTCATCAATTCAGACATGGCGTTCTCTATAAGGAGAACATGGCAAGCCACGACAACTGTCCATGTGAGTATCAGTCGACCAGATGGAACACATGTTGGGTCCGGAACAGTTCACATCTCGCTGTCGGACTTTAAACGACAAGTCCAAACCTTCCGGATCACACAGAACTTTCACTTTGGACTCATTTTGGCCTTGATCGCTTTTTTGCTCTCTTTTCTTTACTACATCGCTGTCTATTTCCTCCGACCTTTTGGACCTGTGCAATATCCTCGAGCCCCAGCTCAACACAAAAGAGATGACAAGCAGTCGAGTTCAGCCTCATACCAGATACAAGCCTCTGACGGCGTCTGCGTACGCCTTGATGTGTATGAGCCGTCTTCGAGACCTGAATCGGCCGAAAGCCAAGCGAATCGTCCGCCAATTTTGCTCTTGCCTGGCGTCACAGGCATCGACGCGAGGTACAATTTATTCGCATTGCCTTTCCTCCGCTGCAACGTGGTCCAGTACTTCACCGACCGTGGACATCGCTGTTACGCATTGACGCCTCGCTGGGGCTGCGAGGCCACAGTCGCCCAGAGATCCACTGTCTTTGACTGCCGCCTGGATGTCGCAGCAGCGTTGGATACAATCAAGGACAAGGAGCCACGGAAGCCCTATGTGATAGCCCATTGCCAAGGATCGGTAGCTCTGTGCATGGGAATTCTGGATGGGACTATCGACAGCAGTCAAATTCTTGGAGTCACTGCCAATTCCGTCTTCATGAATCAAGTCTTTGGGTACTGGAATTCGCTCAAAGGAAGAACTACTTTGTTGATCCAACTCTACGAGCTTCTGGCGGGTGATTACTTTCCAATCTCCAGTAGTCGCCTCAGTCCCATTTTCCAAAGACTGCTCGATTTTTTGTTGTGCATTTATCCTGTCGGACACCCCCGGGACGTTTGTACCTCGACGGCATGCCGTCGGACCTCGTTCGTGTTCGGCCTACTATGGAATCACCAGAACTTAGACCTGAAGCTCCATGAGAATGTTCACCAATTCTTTGCAGGAACTCACACACGACTCATGAAGCAAGTTGTGAACATGGGAACTAAGGGAATCTGTTTGAGCAATGATGGACATGGTCTTCTCACGAAGCAGAATTTGGAGCGGCTTCAAGGCCTTCCTATCCTTTTCATCTCGGGCACAGATAACCAAGTGTTTGACCCTGAGTCTACACTCAAGGACTATGAGCTCTTACGACGGCGTTTCGGGGAGCAATACTACCGTCGATTTTTGGCCGAGGGATATGGACATCTTGATCCTATTGTGGGTAAAGAGGCTGCCACGGATGTCTATTGGAGAATGTTGGCGCATTTGCGGTGGTGTGTTGGAAATGAGGGAACTGAGTAATGTAATAACTAGTACTAGTAGCAGAACCAAGACTTTCAAGGTCCACGGTTGATAAACGAACGACAATTAAGAATTAGACTAGAAACGCTAGAAACGCTAGAAATCTGTGATCGGCCAATCAGAGGCACCGACCCGGACCTGTGAAAGATCCGCCAATCACTGGGGGTCGCTTGGGATAACATCACCCTTTTTTCACTGAGAAGCGACCCACTCCCGCAATTGAATTGCACAAAGGGTTTTTCTTTTCGTAAACTGAACTCCCATTGCGACCATGTCTGTATATATCACCGAAACCCCGATTGTAGACGGGGTCAAGCCCGATTGGATCCACCCGAATATAATCCAAAGCACCGACCCGATCAAAGGCCGCCAGTTTCGAGTCTCCGGTCCCATTCCCAAAGGCGCCTGTCTCCTCGTGGATCGCCCCTACGCAATAATCCCCGTTGACGAAAACCCGGACAATATCATCTGCAGCTATCCCGCTTGTAATCGACCGGCTCGCAATACAGAGCGGAATACATGCCCGAACGCCTGCCTTCCAGACGTGATTTGGTGCAGCAGGACGTGTCGAGTGGCTGATGAAGTGCGCCATGGGTTTGAATGCGCTTGGCTCAAACGATATGCCGGCCCGATTCGCTCCAAATGGAGTGAATATGACTTTGGCATGCTGTGGGTGATTGTGCGCCTGCTTGCCATGCGCCATAGCCAATTGCATGGGTCATCGATAGCCAGTGGCGGTGCCACAGTTGAGCAATCAAAAATTGGCTGGGAGGGCATTGACTCGCTCTGTGGATCATCGGATACTTGGTCCCATGACAAAGTGCGAATGTGGTCTACGTTGGTAAAGAAGTACTTACAGAGCAGCTCTGCCCTCCCCCATGGCATGGAGACAGATCGTGTTCTTCATCTTATATGCCAAGAAGAAGCGAACTCTTTTGGTCTATATCCACGGGAAACTGGCCATTTCCCTGTCCCCAAGCCTCCGGTCGATCGCGGGGAACAGTACGGCGCAGCAGTGTATCCCACTGCAGCAATAGCTAACCACTCATGCTTGCCAAACGTAGGTCAATTTCATCCCTATATTTATGGACAGTGTTAAACAGTCATAGATCATTCATAAAGCCGACGACAAAGGCCGCATGGTTTTCACTGCATCTCGCGATATCTTCCCCGGCGAGGAATGCTGTATCTCATATTTCGACCTGACTCAGTACAATGACCTCAAATCACGCCGCGATCATCTCCGGAAATCATTTCTCTTTGTGTGTCAGTGTCAAAGGTGCGTTGCGGAAGAGCCCGTCGAAGAACAGACTGAATGGGCTGCTTTGCCGATGATGGAATTGGTATAATCATCGCTGGTGATGAAAAACTTGACTATAAAGAAAGATAGAGATCCTGTTTGAGTATTCAGAAAGGCTATCGCGAACATAGAAATACAACAATACTATGGGATAGTAAAATGCCACCTCTTTGTTTCATTGTACTCGTTGTCTTGCACACAACGAGCGACTGTTGCGCTCACAGGGGAATTTATAAGAGTACACCCCTCAGGGACCATCCCTTTTGTTCTCGATTGATTTGAAAAGCGAATTATTTCTTTAAGATAGATACTGAAAATCGCATAGCTGCTATTTTCACACAGCTTTGAGCGTGATAAGTTCTTGACCATGGCATACACAGCTCAGGAGACCAAGACTAATCATGAAGCAGCTACATACAGAGTTACTATTGGAATTGATGGTACCACCGACGAGCATGGTCGCGCATTTATGTGCTGGGACGCAGTCCCAAAGCAAGACATAGTGTGCGTTCCCAACGCTATGCGTAAATTTGTCGCACGAGAAAATCGGGATAAACTTGCAGCATGGTCTGAAAAGATTGATAGCTTGAGGACCAGGCTTTGTACCATGAAGAATCTACTTGAGGAGTCGGGCGAACGACTTAGCCGGCTTGGGGAAATGTGTGATGATCTTGAGCAGAAGATGGAAGATCGTCAGCTGGCCATGAAGCGCTCAAAATTCCAGGGGGAAATTGAAAGGACGAACCAGAGAGAACGAGAAGCGGACAATACTATATGGTAGAAAGGATATCATAGTCTGCGCACTGAAAGGTAGTGTGGCCTCAGGGCTGATGGAGATTGATAGCTAGGTAAAAATGTTGAAAGCTCCCAATACAAAGTTGCAGCACTGTCAATTCATGGCCATATCGTCATATTCTTGCTTCATTTTCTGCATATATTCCATCATAGCCCATCGTTAGATGACGACAGTTAAACAAAAAGTCCCCAATCACAGATTTCCAACTTTTCAACCAAAGCGGTGATTGTATCCGCCGCAAGAGCCTCCTCAGCGGCCAATCCCTTGGGATCTCCGCTCTTTTCAAACTCCTCATGGGGGACATTGAAGAAGACCAGCAGGTCAGTCTCCTGGGCCACAAGTCGCACAAGAAGGTAATGGCAAGTCAAACGAGATGACGGTGGCGTACCCCCAGCTGAGACTGGCTCGGCATCCTTCTTCGGGGTAGTGAAAGAGACAACGCCGCGGTATGCCTTGATGGGAGCAGGGTCAGGCGACGAAGCAGCGAGGTGGACGTCGATCTTCGACGGAGACGTGATCACCTTCATGGTGTCGCCTTCGTCGCAGAGATCGTGCAAGTGGTACAGGCAAGCGGCATGGTCGACTTGCAAAGAGGTGGCACTTCCACTGGGGGCTGCTGGCCGGTTGCTGAACTTAGCGCTTGCGGTGAGCGCTTCTTCCTGTGGCACGCGCTGGTTGATTTCAATGATCAGGCTGGACAGCGTGGTAGAGGAGAGGAAGAGCTCTTGGTGGTCGGGCACTTCGCGCAGGGTGCTGGGAGATAGTTAGTCACTGTGCAGAGTGAGGACTCGTTATATCAAACTTTGGAGGGGTTGAAGGAAGAGCAATCAAGTCCGCTTTGGGTTATACTGACCTGGAATCAATCCAGCTTTGCGGGACAACGCCTCGCATGGTTCCGCCATAGAATTCTTGGTTGGTGTGTTGCGACATTCTGAGAGTATGAAGTTTCTTTTCCGAACAAATTGGGAATTGTCCTTGTTATCCTTGAGGGGGATTTGCGCTGATTTTGCACAGCAAAGGCTAGAACCAAGGTGGATGTTCAAGCACAAATTTCTCCTTTATTTTCAAGGTTGCCACAGAAGTTCAACCGGTACAGACAAACAATATATAGCCCGTTGATCAATAATCTGCGTAGGTAGACAAGGAGACAAGCAAGAGGCAGCAGTGCGGGCAGTTGTCTTCCACCCAATGACGTCCACTTGGTGGGGCGGAGACTTCACCAGTTGACCCGTCGACGCCGGAATACGAAGATGTGCAATTCTGTGAGTCAAGAAGCTTTGGAGATGTTGTCTTCATTTCTAGTAAACTTGACCATTTGGCTGATTTAATTCATTGGTAAATACCTAGGTACTATTCAAACAATTCCTCAACGTAAGGATCCAGCTCGACAATGCGGAATTGATCTCCCCACTGCGCCCGGAACTCTTTCTTTCGATACGCATAGCTAGTTCCCTGCGCAAAGCTCACAAGCTCGACAGTCCAGCCGCGCTGCAGCGCACGCTCAACCATTCTCATGAATCCGCCAGAAAACTCGGCAACTGCGGCGTCACCGGTCGCCAGGACAATGGTGGCAGGTTCATCGGTATCCACGAGGCTCTCAAGGATCTTCAGGTGCAGAATTTCGTCCACACCCTGTTCGACCCAGCGCTCACCGGAGGCAGCGACCGTTTCAGGCCCACTGGATGCCCCCTGCGAGTCGGAGGCTGGATACTTCCGAGTTTTGTTACGACGAGGTGTGGTGTGCTTCACTTTTTGCACACGGTCCAAGATGTTGGTCTCATAACCCAGCATTTCAGCTTCTTCAATAGAAGGGAGGCGATCCGAGCCCACCAAGACTCTCTTGGCGGCCTGACGGCCTCGCTCCATGATTAGAGACAGGTTGGCGAACGACATGTGGACGCGGCGGATCCGGGTTGATTGGGGAATGCTTCGCGAGGATTTGACCGAATCATGGAATCCCACCATAATCTAGTCATACAGTTAGTTTGATAGAATCTGGCGATGACAGAGAGACATACGTTGGACATATCAACAAAGATATGAATCGGCTGCGAGGCGGGGGTTTTCTTGGGCTGACTTTGCACAGCCTGTCCCACTTGGGAGACAATTTTGGCATAGCCAGGGAACTCCTTCAAGAGTCTGGTCATCAAAGAGACCCTGCGCTCCGTCGACGACTTGTACAAGGTAGATCGAACACGAATACCGTTTCTGATAGTCTCGGTGTTCAGAGTCCACTCTTGGTCGTCAAACGAAGATGGCGGGGTGTCATAACGGCTGGTCTTAGCTTCAGGCGTACCAATTTGGGCTGGAACAAACGAAAGAGCTCCAGTCCTTTGGGGCAAAGGACGATCGAAAACAGCACTTGAGTCCGAATCATCAACTCCGGCACTGCTTTCGGAAGAGAATGGTTCATTGCCAGAGTTTGAGGGTTTGGCTTTGAATTGCTTCTTCGGCTTGGATTTGGCCTTGGGGGTGTCGCTTGAGCTTCCGGTAGTGGCGGCATGTTTGGTTGGAGTGCGTGGATAGTCAAATTTCACATTGACGTTTTTCCCCGAGCAGTTTTCATCCACTGCTCTCTTCAAAATCGATACTGGTTGTGTTTGAGTGGGTGGGTGGGAAGCATGGTTGGCAACATTGGAACGCTTCACAGCCGTGATGCCAGGATCGGTCGAAATGTTTGGAGATACAGCGACTGGCCGGGGAGGCGATGAGACATCGTCAACAGACTGATTGATTGGTTCGCAAGCTGAGGCGTAGGAGGACGTTGGTTCATCATCCGACAGCTTGGGCACTGTTGTGACCAAAGCTGGCGTTAGGCTAACAGGTGCGGGGCCATGATTCAAAAGTTCCCAGAGTGAGCCAAAATCCCCTAATTTGGTGTGGCTGCTTCGAGTGCTCAGAGTTTTGAGCTTGGCACTAGCATCGTTGTCAGGAGTCTTGGGCTGTTGGTCTTGAAACGAGTGAGTCGTCGATCCGGGGTGGCAAATCGGGCTCAAGGCACCCCCATAGGTTGGCGACCGCAATAGGTCATGCACCTGGGAGAAATCCCAACTTGAAGAATCGGTGGAGGTTGTATCGACCATTGATGGCTAGATAGGATGGGTGCAATGATGAAAGTGGTGTTTCTGAGATGAATCTCTGTTACGATTTGGAGAAAAGTGATGGTAAGAACGGAAAGGCTCGTGGTGTAGAACCATCGAAAACAAAGATAAAATTTGATTGAAAGTCAAGTAAAGGCAGAAAACAACGCATAAGGCTGAATCGATCCAATCCACATGGTGAGTCAGAACGTGGATGGGAATTCTGTAGGAGGTTGCTCAAACAGGGACGATTCAGAGGCCTAACCAGGTGATGGTGGCGGTGAATATACTGTCTAGATCAACCGCCTGCCACTTTTGCCAGTTTACGCACGTGACCCTTGGTAGCACCCGTGGACCTGGGCACGCGGCTATGATTTAGGCTGCGCCGGAGACCTCAGGAAACACCTGGGCATCCGTGGACCTAGGCACGTGCCCAGGTGGAGTCGCTCGCCTGATCACGTGAGTGGATTGCCGTGTGGCTTCGTGTCCGAACTCTAAATGCTTGGCATGCGGTCAGCCACATCTTCATCGCGACGTCACTTTCTGCACAGTGTAGCATCCACGGCAAGATCGGATTAGATCGGGTGCCAGATCGAGCCACAGCTGCTTCTCAGGGGCTCCGCCTATAGAAGTGTCCTTTGTAGCCGAGCTCAGACCACACGCTGGTTGGTTACCAAGCTCACGGTCAGGGGTCCTAGCCCAAGTTGAGTTGTATACGCGGCATCTAGATGCTTATTGCCAATACACGGGGTCCATCACGATATTTTCATAGATTGATAGGGGCACCCGACGTCATTTCTGCATTGGCTCTCGTGTACAATATCTATATAAGGTCATCTGCCTGCCGTGTAGTCGTCTTCATCTCAAACTGAACAACCTTGACTCTTCTCGTGATTTTACTCATACCTCTATCTATTCATCATGTCTGACGTCGGCCGCAAGGATTTCACTACCAGTATGTTACATGCTCAAGAATCAATCGATCGAAAGATCCAAACACAGTTATAAGTCACTAACACCGTCGTTCTCCAGAGGCTAAGGAGTCACTCACTCCCGAATCCACCAAGTCCACCCAGGACAAGATCTACGAGGCTGCTACCGATACCACCGATCGCATTGCCCGCGGCTTGCAGACCGATGAAAGCAAGGGTACTGGCCAGGAGGTCTTTGACAAGGCCCAGCGCGCTAGCGACAACCACGTCCACGACGGTGCCGCCGGTTCCATGTATGTCAACCTAGCCCCTTTTCTCTCAATCTTGGAATGATATACTAACCAAGCTCTAGCGGTGACAAGGTCAAGAACGCTCTCGGTCTCGGCAATTAGGATGGACTCCTTCTGAAGTGAATGGCCATTATGATGGTCGCTCCATAATTTGGGGGCATTGCCCTGCGCCCACGACTCACAATGAGTTCATGATACCAATTGATTTTCATAGCCAGAGATTTTATTATAAATGCATCACGCTTGTGTGGAAAAGTCTCTTACTGTGTGTATCGACCGAGTAAGGAAATGAGCCGATGTACGGAGTGGTTGTTTCCAAGTTAGCAGTCTCAATGTCGCGCATCCAAGCTACCAAGCATCGAGTCTCGCTGTTGCGTGAGTCGACCAAGCTCGTTCTCCAAGTCTTTGCACTTTGCTCGCGCTGCTGGGATGTTCTTGGGAAGCTCCCGGAAAGCTCTCACACGGCCTTGCAAGGACCGGACCATCTCTCGCATCTTGATGACCTTTTCTTCTTCTGCCACTAGCTCTTCGATGTTTGGCCCCTTTGACTGGACCTTTTCCAATGAGGCAATGCGGTCTTGGTACTCCGCGACCTTGATAGCAAGCGTTTTTGTACCACGCGTCCATTCCGACGTCAACTTTTGTGTATTGGCCGGTGTCTCATATGCCACATTGGACCTGAGCTCGTCGAACTCCGTCTGTAGTCGAGATAGCTCTTGTTGCAAATACCGATGCAGTGTGTCGACTTTCGCAATCTGTTCTTGAGCCTCGAATTCCTCCACAGTGAGCTCCACAATTGACTGCCCCAGATCACCCGGATTCGGGTTTAATGTATTGCCAAGAGCTGCCGCCGATTCGGCGAGATCGTTAAGGTCCCGCCTTCCTCTATCATCAAGACACATCTCGACCTCATCGAGGATTTGCGCTTTTTGCTGCTCGTGTGGGTCTTTGCGCTGGAACTCTTCTCGCGATTTGTATGCCTGAAGTGCTTCCTCACGAGCTTGCTGTTGTAAAGAGACCTCCTCATCCGCGGCCTCATTGGCTGCTGCCAGGGCTAGAAGTACACGGAGGGTGTCATCATTGCGCTCGAATGCTGGGACGGGTTTGGGCGCGTATTGTCGATTTAGCCAGGTGTTAACGTACGCCCAGTCCTTGGTTTGGATCGCAGCTTGGCGGGCTTTAGCTGGGGAAATGAGTGGACTGTCCATCGAGTACGGTGATTTCAGAATATGCAGTAATACTTCCAAGGCAAAATCGATTGGAGCAAGAGGGAGATTCGAACGGGGTAATGTGTTGATAAGAGATACGCCGAAGGCGGTGATGCGCCGGGTGCGCCTAGGTGATGCTGTCCCCTACTTCCCCCCACTGAACTCCGCTAGGTCGCTCTACAGCAATGACGAGCTATTTTCCGCCCAGTGGCAATGCCAGTAATGGCGTTGGTACACCGGCAGCGTCTTCGCCGTCGACTCCGCCCACGCAGCGGTCCACCGCTCTCACCAATAGGCTCACAACCGTTCTCTCCGCCTCGTATGCGGACTCCGACATTCGGGACTCTCTCGAGACATTGAGCTTGCGGGGGATCCAAAACTCCGAAAAGACACGCCGGCTACTACGACTTGATGTAGAGAAGGAGGTTGTGGAATGCAATGCAGAAATTGTGAAGGATTTTGGAAAGGTCGCGGAGGTGAGTGTCCGATTCCCTCGGGATTAACCCCAGAAATGCTGACAGCAACTCATAATTGCAGCAACTGAGACGAATTGGCACAGTAATCTCAACACTGAATCAAACATGTGACGACATGCGCAAACGAATCAACCTGGCGAAGCAGGACACCACACCTGTGCTTGAAGAGGCCACCGCTCTAATGGCGCAGAAGAAAGAGACCCAAACGAAGCAACAGCTCCTCGAGGCCTTTTCGAACCATTTCCTTATACCCGAGGAGGACATTTTGGTGTTGACATCAGCCGAGGAGTCAGTTGACGAGCGATTCTTCGACATCTTGGCTCGCGTCAAGCAAGTACACCACGACTGCGAGGTCCTTCTTGGCGGCGAGAACCAGCGATTGGGTCTTGAGGTTATGGATCTAAGCGCCCGAAACCTTAATTCTGCATACCAGAAGCTTTATAGATGGATCCAGAAAGAATTCAGGTCTCTAAACCTGGAGGACCCACGCATCAGCAGTTCGATCCGCCGTGCTTTGCGGGTGCTAGCAGAGCGTCCAAGTCTCTTCCATAGCTGCTTGGATTTCTTTGCAGAGGCGCGCGACTATGTTTTGTCTGATGCATTCCACTATGCATTGACAGATGCTGTTTCCGGAGCTGGTGGCCCTGGCGCCGGAGGTGATACCTCTGTCAAGCCAATTGAGTTCTCGGCGCATGATCCCCTTCGGTACATTGGTGACATGCTTGCGTGGGTGCACTCTACAACCGTTTCCGAGCGCGAAGCGCTTGAGTCGCTATTCGTCGATGATGGCGATGAACTTGCCCGAGGGTTCCAGGCTGGCATGAGTAGCGAGCCCTGGTCCCGGATCGACGAAGACCAGGAGGTTACCTTCGACGGCCAGAAGGCTTTGAGTGATTTGGTCAATCGTGATCTCACTGGAGTTTCCCGTGCGCTTCGGCAAAGGATTGAGCTAATCATCCAGAGCCACGAGGATCCTATAACTTGCTATAAAGTTGTCAACTTGCTGTCTTTCTACCGCACAACGTTCTCCAAACTGGTGGGCACAAAATCTAACTTGGTAGAGCTGTGCCAGAACTTGGAAAAGTTCACCTTTGACCACTTCGAGACTTTGATGCGCGATCAGATCAGCGCTCTGGCAGGAGACAACATTGCTCTATCTCCGCCGGACGATTTATCACCGCCACAATTCTTGCTGGATGCACTGGAGAATCTGGAGTTGCTCATGAAGAGCCATGAAGCCTCAGTTGGACCTGAAGAGTCATCTATGGATTCGAACCAAGAGAACGCCTTCACCCCCGTACTCCGAGTCGCCTTCGATCCGTTCTTGACACTGGCCCGGGCCTCATCAGATGAACTCAAGACAACCACGGCACAATGCATATACCGAACCAACATCCTCTTCGCAGCCCGTCATACTGTCTCGCCATTCGCCTTCGCCCAATCCACGCATGTTCCTCCTCTATCTGCAGCCTTGTCGACCCTTCGAAATGACCTCCTCGACACCCAGCATGACTTCCTCCTTGAGGCTTCAGGTCTCCAAGTCCTTCTAGATGCCCTCGAGCCTTTCTACAAGGCCGACAAAGACTCCGACACCACTGAAAAGAAGTCCGAAATGGCAGAACACCAAAAAACTCACCTTGCTGACTTGACCACACTACCCGCCTTCCAGCCAGAGTCCTTGATCACATCGAGCCAGCAACTCGATGACTTCCTCCCTTCTGCACTGATGGACGCAACTGATAATCTTAAGCGGGTACAGAGTGTTTCACTTGTACAAAGCGTCACGGAAGACGCTGTCGAGGCGTTCTGCCGGGACTTTGAGTTCATTGAAGGGATGATCATTGCCGCAGACGAAGCCAGAGGAGCCACCGATGGTGTTACTGGAAGTGGCGGTAGTGTCAGTGGCCAGAGTGGAGGATCCGATGACAATGCCGAAGCGAACAAGAAAGACAACGAAGACGCCGGAGAGGATGAAAGGTGGAGTCTGAGATCATTGTTCCCTCGGACCACTGGAGAGATCCGTGTCTTGTTAAGCTAATCATCAATTGTGGATATAAATGATTTTCAAGGCTCTATGTGCATTGTTTATCTTTCTCTGGTTGTAAATAGCATTAACTTTAATTACCCACCAGGTGATATCCCTGTTCCAAATGCATCACGGTTGTACAGGCCAAGCAAGGGTCACAAAGTAGCCAACTACGACAAGAAAGACTCCAATTGGGAGAGTATGGTGCCATTGTGTTTATTTAGCCGTGTCTGACAGGGCTCCAAGGGTAGAGGACAAGACGAGGAACCAAGAGGCATCAGAGAATTTGCAATAGAAGCTGAATTGAGCAGGCCAGGACTGAGTCTATCCACCTCGCTCGCCAAATTCTCTCGCCCAATCCTCATATTTCTTAAGTCCGTCGGGTGACACACTGGGCCGGATAGAATACAAACTCGCTTCAAAATCAGGGAATATGATAGCACGGATTTGATCCATGGGAGTATGGAGAAGGGCTTCGCCTAGGTTGCGCAGGGGGCCCATGGCGGCGTCCTTCGCGAGAGCTGTGATGTCCGAACCAGAGAATCCTGGAAGAGCCAATTAAAAAGAGATTCTGGACGGAAAAGTGGTGGGGGTCATACCTTCTGTGACATGGACTAAAACTTGGATATCAGCGTCGCTAAGTTCATGATGTTGATGACCTATGAGCTTGCGAATTTGCTGCTCACGAACATGATGCTCCGGTAACGGAATGTACTGTCGACGAACGAAACGACGGCGGGCAGCCTCATCGATATCCCAAGGCATATTCGTAGCAGCCAAGACCAACACGCGACTGGCGTCGCCTTCCTTTTTCTCGCGACTAGTCTGCTCGCGACCAGCGGCTGCACGTTGAAGATCAGACCATTGGACCAGGAATTCTGTTTTTGAGCGACGTGAGGCCTCGTGCTCCGAGCCGGATGACCGCGCAGAGAGAAGAGAGTCGATCTCATCGACGAAGATGATGGATGGAGCAAGAGCTTTGGCGAGACCGAACAGAGCGCGCACCAGCTTCTCGCTTTCGCCATGCCATTTGGACGTTAGACTTGATGCCGAGACAGAGAAGAATGTTGACTTCGACTCTGTGGCTACTGCTCGTGCGAGCATGGTCTTACCAGTTCCTGGAGGACCAAATAATAACATTCCGCGAGCTGGTTCGCGAAGACCAGAGAAGAGATCGGGACGGAGGAATGGGTAAACCACCGCTTCTTTGAGTGCCTTTTTGGCTCCTTCGAGCCCGGCGATGTCATCCCAGTGCACTTCATCACCGCGTACTACAATGTCATTTAGAATCTGCTTTGCTGAAAGCGGATCCACGCCCTTGGGCAGTTTTTCCCAAATCTTGTTGATGTCCTCGTCGTCTTCCTCGCCTTCATCTTCTGCTTCGTCTGCTGAAGATTGCTGGTCCGAAGTCTCTTGGTCGCTTGATGGAGGTGTCTCTCGTCGTTTAGCTGGTGGGGGCTTGCGTCTGGTTGGGTTATTTACGTTCCTCTGTGATATCGCCAATCGGTCCACACCACGGTAGATATCGTCACCACTGCCAGATGACGGAGAAACACGAGCGGCTTCGCTGATCCTAGAAACCTTGGGTGCCGACTTTGTGCGCGGTCGATCATTCGAGGAATTTGCTTCCCGATCAAGCCGGGGCGTCATTGTCCTTGAGGTCTGCTCAGACCTGGTAGTCTGCATCAGATGGCTTGAAGGGAGCTGAGAAGGCTGGGAGGATCGTAAAGCGACAGGTTTTGGCTTGACAGAGGGCTTGGGCGGAGTCGTGTAGTGGGCCGGATTTGGCATAGACATTGGAGACGGATGCGATAATTGGGGGCTGTGTGGTGGAGGTTGAGGCTGGCGCGCCGGCGGTTGCGTAGGCAGCTTAGGCGAGGTTATCTTTGGAGAAGAACGAAGAGGCTCTCGCCAATGGGCAGTAGGAATTCGGTCCCCCGTGAGATCACGAGAGGTCCGAGTTTTTGCCGGCCGCGGCTCATCGCCAGAACTCACTCTTGGTTCTGGATCCCGGCGTTGAGCAGAGTCGCCAGTTGCGCTTGCCCGGGAGGATGCTATGGCTGCGTCATTTGGGGGCTTGTCGCCCGATGCAGAGCGATAGATGCTACCCCAGGCGAGGCCGGCTGCTTTGGAGGCCGCAGGCCGTGACTCCTTTTTCTTCGACGGGACCTTGACCTTCTTACCATTCTTCTTGCCATCACTACTACGTAAAGTAGTCAACATAGGTTTCCGTCTCTCCGGGCTAGAGCCACGGGACTTGGTTTTGTCGGAGGAATTAGAGTTCACTCGGAGTGCAGGCGTGTCTGCCGCGGACAAATGCGAAGGGCCAGCATCATCGTACTGGAGTGTTGAGTCGTAACTTTGTTTCGTTGGCAGCGAGGGTCGGCCGGGTATAGCAGCGGGTTTGGAAAGGTCGGTGTAGCCGACAGCAGGGATCGTTCCATCTCCGATCCAGCCGGGAAGGCTGGAGGACGGCGGTGGCGGAGCGCTGGTGACAGATTTACCCTTGACGAGAGTAGCGCTCTCTTTACCGGTGCCATTAGCCTCTGCCGATTCCTTTCTGCTGGCTCGGAGAGCGCCCAGCAGATCGACCCGTTCTCGGCATTGGATCTCTAGCGCCCGGATGGAGTCCTGCAGGGCCTTCTCGGTTTCAGATTTGGGAGTATAATTCGAAGGTACACGGCGGGCATTGTGGTGATAAATAGTCTCGAGTGCGGATCTCCAGGACCGCAATGCTTCCTCTTCGTTGTTCTGATGTAATGAGTAACGAACTGGTGTTCGGGCTAGCGCACTTACCTGGCCCTCAAAGTATACCGCGGTAGAGCACGCGAGATAACATTCGTCGTAAGTCTTCTGTAAGGAAGACGCAGGCCGTGGGCGCATCATTGGGAATCAACAGGCCCGCCTGCATCCATTACACACAAGGTCAGTTGGTGGAGTTGGTTGAGTGCGATGATCTCCCGCGGAGTGAGGGGATGATTTTTCGCGTGACGTCGTCGGTTCGGTAGTTACTGCATGCGGTCTCTCCAATTTCTGCGGCTTCAACTACAACGGACATGTCTTTTGTCTATCTTTTGATACAGGCAAACATTGCTCGGATATCATCTTTTCGGATTTCTCATGTCTATGGGTACATGCAAGATACTAAAAAAAACATAACAAGTTAGATCGATGCCAGGGAGAACCCAGTCCCCTCAAAGGATTCCGACAAAAAACAGAGATTTCATGGTCCAACGCCGCAGAGACATATTGGATGAGCATCAATCCAGAGACAACAGGACAGAAACCAGATTCGAGCACCGAGTTGACTCGGAAACATCCGCCTTGTTCCCAATTTTCCCAAAACTATACACTGCCAGTAACGCTTTTTATAAAAAGCCCTAAACATGCAAGATTGAAGTCGGACACTTGTGGCCCGATATGCGTCTCAGTAGAAGTTGCTGGGCTCCGCCCAAATAGACAACCCCTGGAACACATCGAAGAAGAAAAAAAAGAACAGACCCAGATCGCCTCGAAAGATCAGAGAAAAGATTATATGGTCCCCACATCAACGTGGTTTATCAAACAAGTGGAACAAGGAGGGCCCATCCACATAGAAGGCAGATGGGACGGGTGGCGAGGGATGATGAATAGAGGGTAACGGTTCTTTTAGTCGTATTGTTCCTTAAAGTAAGCCTTGGCCATCTCATAGGATGTCCTAGAAATGATGTTAGTCAATTGCTCAACAGACGAACCCGCAGTCCAGTTTTAGGGAAGGAATACGTACCAGCAAATCGCGGTACTAGGCATAGTGGAAATAATACGAGGGCGCATGCCGCGCAGGAATCCTGACCAGCCGAATTGGCGCTTGATGATGCCGGCGGCGTTCCACAAACCCCGTGCAGATCGCACCTCCTCGCTATCCGCAAGTCCCCGGGTTTGGAGGAGGGTTTTGACCACATCCAGAGGGGTCGTGAGACCGGCCGCGAAAGCACCGGCCAAACCACCAGCCATGCAGTGGGTGAAAGGATCGTAATCTTGCTTAGGGTTCATGATCTTTGAGATCGACTCGTAGGCAACGAACTGGGTAGCCGTGAATGGCACGGTCATGCAAAGTGTGGTAGGGTAGGAAACGTAGAAAGCCTGAAGACCTTCGGTGCGGTAGAGTGTCTTGGCGCATTGAGCGAGGCTCTTGTGGACGGAGCCGTGAACCTGCATACGTTGCTTCATGACTGAAGTGCGAGTTAGCAAGGCCACAGAAAAAAATGATTAGTCAAATGAGCCGATCAAGGGGAGGCCTTACCATCGAATGGGTTCATCAGCGCATCGCTGGCGATTGTCGCGGAGGCTCCACTCATAGCTAGAAGAAGATAAAGTCAGCCATGCGCTCCTAGTAGCACCCCAGTTGTGATCCATTTCATTACCAGCAGCCAGAGGGTGGTGTCCGTCATCGACGTTTCCGCCCGCCATTTCCTTCACGATCTCATATGTTCCGAAGTACACCGCGTGTGCCGGACCTGTCATGAATCAGCACTGTCTCCCAACGCCACACATCTTGAGTACATACCCGCTCCAACAACCACACTTGAGACACCCTTCCATAGTGTCCGCCAGCCCTCAACCCGATAAATTGTAGAGACCGCGTTGGTCAATCCCGTGTAGAGGCCACCGGACGCAGGGTTCAGAATTTGCATGCGAGTCTAAGATCCCGACTGTCAGATATTTTTTGCCCGCGCCCTCCCTTCTAGCCACAGTGTTCCACATACCTTGAGCAAATCCACGGGGTACATCACCGAGTGTTCCTGATATCCGATCAGCCAAGTCCCGCCCAATCGTCGTGTCAACATACCGCGATTCCCGCGAAAGCACCCGCCAGCATGTTACGGCCAAGGCCATAGTTGGAGGGGAGGGCTTCGTAGCTAGAGGGCAAATCATCGCGTTAGCTTCAATCACACCTGGTAGCCTGATCCATGGAGAGCGACAGCAAGGCAAGCGCGGAACTTCCAGCAAGGAACGCCATCGCAAGAGCTGAGGACTGCTCTTTCCTCGCGATCACAGGTCTGTCCTTGCGCTCATTCCGGCCATGCCGACACCAATCCAATGGTCTGAGTAAGAAATGAAAAGATAAGAAGAAAAAAAAGAGCCGCGGAGAGCTACATACTCGAATTCCCCGGGGGTCTGATCGGAGGCCATGGAGCTTCCGTTGGCTCAAGACGCAGCGGCGGCAATTGGAAAAAGTCGACGTGCGGAGAGGATGAGGAAGTTGGAGAGTTGGAGGAATGGAGGAATGGAAGAACGGAGATGAGGTAAACGGGGTTGGGTTCTCCGTGGAGATCCCGAACAAAACACGAACAGGCGAAAAATAAGAATGTGATTAATGGCTCACTTTGAATATTGCAGGTGTTTAGTATGATGTTCTTTGATGTGAAGCAATTTTGATTTTTTCAAAAAAAGAAGAAACAATTGTTTTTCATAAAAAAAAAGAGACGTCAGGAAAATGCGCTAACAGGAAATTATTCAGGCCGACGTTCGCTATTATCCGCGAACTCCTACCAGCTTGACCGGACTTCGGACTTCACCTTTTTTTCTGAAACCAGTGCACTCTCTGAATACAGAGTACATGCCCTTCCTACTGTCTTTTCCTAACTTAAGGTGGTGAGAATAAAGTAAGAACCTCAAGCCCTGGCATAATACAAGGGTTGGGAGATCCGATGACGGAGGTTAAGGCTAAGTACTCGACAGGTACCTCCCCCGTGCATAACCACGGCTGAAATACCCAGCCGGTACGTAAAAATTTATCAATCAGATAAGAAAAAAGCCCCTGGGACCGACAGACGCCCCTTGGTCTTAGTTTGTCCTAGTCGCCTCCAAGTGGAGCGTAATCTGTCTTCCAGAATATTTTTGATCTACGATGTGGACAGTCGGAGTACAGGCATCTGCATAGGTTCTGTTCCGCATATGCCCTGGACTCTTCAAGAGTTCGCCTCTACCTAAGTATTCTTTATAGTTATAATCCATCCCCCGTAAAACCCGTCAGTATGCCAGTGAAGGATCCGAGATGGAACACGCGACTTTTCCAAGGGGCAAGCCGAGGTCCGAATCAGCCGTCTGGGCCAAAACCCTGACTAAAACTATTCTGACACCTGGGCAGCCCCTTAATACTCGTATAAACATGGACCTGGACCGAGTGCAACAACATCTGCCCTGGCTACCTAGGTATGTAAGTCATCAAGGATGAGGCGGATATGTACTCTGCAAGCCATCGCCACCTGGGTATATATGTAAATAGTCATCCGTAGACTTGAGTACAGGTACCAGGGTGGTGACATAATGCCCTGCCAATGATATTTCCAACTGAAATCAAGTCTTGCAACTCATAGCTTCTGACCCAGTGAAAAAGACAGCGCGAGGAACATACAAGACTACATGTGTAATCAAGTATCGGTGCACGCAGGTCATTGCAGTCATATAACTGTGAGTTACTATGATAGGGCTGATCTAACCAACCTCAAATGCGACTGTCCTCAAATGTGGCTGTAATAAAGTATGCTCGCAAAGGAAAAAAAAGTGTCATTCAAGTCGTCAATAGGAATCTCGTTTGTGGTCTGCTGTAAGCCGGCCGCAAGCGGGTTACCACTCAATATTAAATGACCATTCTCCTGTTAGATCGGTTAGTCAAGATGCCAGAGCTGTTGATCCAAAGAAGAAATCTTACCATTTTTCAAATTCTCGGCGGTATCGCTGAGCAGGATCACTCGACGCTTGGTGCAATAGGCGGTCTTATCTAAGATGTCGACCTTGAGCTCCGCGAGCTCGGGGACGGGTTTCTCAAACATTTCGCTCAGACTTTCAACGGCCATTTCCAGGTCTTTCTGGTTGTCCTCGAAGATTTCAGTCAGGTTGTTGCGTGCAAGGTAGAATGCAAACGCGTAAGTCCATTTCAGAGTTTGACGACATTGCTGCAATGCTTGTGACGCGGTGTCCAGGAACTGCACTTCTATCCAGGACAGACCGGATTGCGATTGAAGACTAGTCATCTTCTTCTCGGTTTTGAGATATAAATCCTTGTCAAGCTTCGCGGACTGCTCGTGGTTTGCATATCGGTTGTAGTAATGCAAATAGCGCTCGAGGAATGAACGTGACTTGGCTTGGGCGCTGCGGGCGTCCGAGCCTGACTTCTCCTCGTATCGGTTGCAGTTGTACCAGCTGGTGCCATGCTCGGACCAGAGGCCCATGCACATCCAACAGAACTCGTGCTTGCACTTTCTGCAAGTCATGTGGTTGCAGCCACCATTCTTTTCAATGGTGGAGTTGCATCTCGGACACTCTTTGGTATTGGCGGAGATCCAGTTCGCGGTTTCAGAATCATCTTCACATTTCTGGAGCCACATTTTGACCAATGTGCATGGCGTAGGTTGGTGGTCGGCAAGAGTGCAACCAAAACAGAACTCATGCTTGCAGAAGCATCGCACGGTGGGAACCACACGGCGAAGGTCGCGGGCTCTCACCCCGCAATCAATAGCATATTTGCAGTTGGGGGCAGGGCACCACTTCAAATTTTCCTTGTCGTCGACGTAGGTGCGAGTTAAAAGTTCGCGATACCTGTAGGGAAGATCGCATCAGCAACGAGTCCTTCGGAACCTGTCGACAGCAGCAGAGCACCCACCTTTCATTAAGATCGTTCGTCACCAGAAGATCCATTGATTTCGAATCTACAATCCGGCTGCACCCATTTCCTGGACACTGGATGCGAGCGGCCTCACCCTCTTCCTTGATCTTTTGTCCCAAGTAGTGGCGGTAGCAGTCAACACAGAACCGATGACCACAGCGCATCGCATATGTCTCGAGGTCATCTCCCTCCTCGCAACAGATATCACACATGAATCCCGGTACAAGCTCTGTCTTCGCGTATCCCTCAAAGTTCGTACCAAGACCAGCATCCTCTAATGTCTCTTCCGGATGTTCCATATATGACTCGATCAACTTCTCTTTGTTCCACCGACCGAAGCGCAGCAGAATCGCAGCCGACTCTGGTGGCAACCCGAGCACGGCGCATACCTCGTCAACCTGCGTGTTCTGCTCCTGGTCGATGTCCGGTGGATCAAGCACTTTGAATTCGACCTCGTATGGCTTTCGCTTATTCCGAATAAGATCCTTGTCGTCCGAGAAACCGGTGTCAAGGTCACCGAAGTCTAACCCCCCACGTCATCCGTTAGCTCAGCTCGTTCGAAAAACACACAAAGGGGAAGTAACGCGTACCTTCGCCCAGACTCTCGTTGTCGGAGCCTTGGGTGCCTAGAAACTCATCACTGGAGACATCACTCATGAAGTCATCGTCCGAGTCCATGCTGACGGTGGTTGATGCGGGCGTCCCTAGAAAGCCCCTTTTTCGGCTGGCAGGACTAGCAGAACCGGGTCTCTCGGTGGTGTCGGAGGTCGCGGTCGGCGATGCGTCGGTCTTCCGCGTACGGTTGGATGTTGCGGTCCGGTGCCCTTGGGCGGCTGGCAGAGGCTCGTTGTCAATGGCCGCCTCGGCCGCCGTTCTCTTTCGCGTGGTGGGAGGCGTGGTGAATGAAGTGGCAAACTTGCCAGGAGTAGAGGTTCTGTTTCTGCGCCACACGTCACTAGATAAAACCTGGGCACGGATGGTCGGAGGGGGAGTGGGGAAGGGAGATGGAGCCTCCCGGGGGGCTCCTCGGATGCTCTTCGGAAGGGTTGATTGGGCTTTGTATATGTGATTTCAGGTATACATGAGGATAATGTAGAAATCAAACAGACAGGTGTACAGATATGTCCTGAGAATTCTCTTAAGTACAAAGTACTTGCTAGTGGCGTTGGGGTGTATCATCCCATTGGTTTCACTCTGCCTGTCTGTTGCCTGCACTAAAGTCACTCAGGTGAACAGGTCATTTTTTTCGTGTTTTCTTCTTCTGTCTTGGAGGCGCGAAGGAAATAGTAATGCATGGTCTTAAAGAAATGTGAACTACATAATTTTGAATTGGTTGTTGGTCAGCATAGTGGTATCTACTCTTCATCACTCTCCTCCTCGCTTTCTTCTTCCTCGCTGCTTTCTTCCTCAGCATCGGCCAGCCAGTCAACAAATTGTTGAGCTTGGGCACGAACAGTACGCATCTCTTCGGTGTTGCTAGAACGCTCATCGTTCCACCACTGATCGTAAGCTTCCTCCTCAACAAGCTCAAGCTCATAAAGGGATTTGGCTGTGAACAGAAGCACTGTGTCTCCCTTGCTGCGGGCAATAAGGTCCTGTTGGAGCAGAATCAGCAGGTCGACCTGGTCCTTCTTTTGTTCCTTATTGCGGTCAAACAGAGTGCGCTCAACGACCTCTTTGTATGCGGTAAAGACCTCGTTAACGGCAGGACCGGCTCCCTTGCCACCCTCGATGAGTTGCTCAATGTGTTTCATAAATGCCTCAACGATAGCCCGACGGACCTGGTTGTCTGATGCGTTGGCAGTCATACGTAAAGTGACCAGCTCCAGCTGAACCACATCCGCTGCAACTCCCTCTCGTAGACTGTCGTACAAGCTGATTGATGCGTCATGATGGAAGTTATCTGACTCCTCGTCGTCGGAAAGTATGCTCCCTTCAGATTGTCCCCACGAGTTATCTGAAAGATCCGATGACAGGGTTGAGATAGAGGCAGAGGAGAGTGAAAGACCGGGCATACGGTAGACTGCAAACATAGCAAGATTAGCAAAGGGACTCTCGTGAGAGATTCAACGGGGAAGATCTTACCAAGTCCAGACGAGGCAACGCTCACATCATCGTCGTCATCGTCGTCCTCTTCCTCGCCATGAATGAATTCATAGCCCTCACCACCTTCGCCAACGACTGCGGGATCGTTCTTGCCCACAGTTCCATCGATCCGCGTCCTCGTAATACGCTTCCCACTTTCGATTGAGATGCCGTCGGCAATTTTCACACCGTACGAAAGAAGAGCGCCAGCTGCAACGGTACAGTTGTTGCCGAGGACCACGCCGTCAGCGATAATTGCTCCCCGAACATCTACTCCATCACCAATCACAACATTATCCCAAATGTAGGCACCCTCCAGCTTGACGTTGCGGCCAACCTTGCAGTTTCGGCCCAACACGGTGTTCCTGATTTCAGTCCGGTCACCAATGCTTGTCCCCTTTCCAATGACTGTGCGACGGCCAATCACGCAGGATCGTGCCAGAGTCACGCCCTTCTCTTGGTATAAGCTACCCTTGCGAAGATCGTAAGAGTGGCCGGGAAGCAGATTCGTGTCCGGGCACAGGGGATATGTCCAGCGTGAGAGGATGTCTTTGCTAATGGCGTCGTAAGCCTTCAGGTTGCGCACACGTGCAGCATAGTGGTCCTTAATGATGTATGTGTGGAGAGTTTTGCCGTTCAGTTCGTAATCCTTGAGAACACCGTGCAAGTAGTGCTTGCGGGGTGACTGATAATCGAAACTATCCGACCATAAGCTCAGGACATCCGGGGTACAGATGTCGATGCTGCAATCGATCAGATCTTGGCGGATATCGAGTTCGAGGTTTGACAAGATGAGTTCCGAGTCGATGTTCAAGCGAGCTGGCTGTCCCTCATTTCCGTGGTGGTCAATCTCCTCGTAGTGGAGACAGCGGTCCTTGGTAGGGTCAATCACAAACACCGGAGAGACCGATGATGACTTGGTCCGGTGGTTGAGACCGGCTTCTCTCAGCACCATGGTCATAATCGCATTTTTATCGGACTCTCGGCGCTTGCGGTGCTGAGCAAGGGCTCCTTCGATAGGCAGGTTGCTGATCACATCGCCGCTCACGACAATGAAGTCTCCGGTGATAAGATGTTTGCCGTCCAGGTCGCGCATAACGTCACCAACGGAGGTGGAAGTCGACTTGAGGAAGCTGAGTTGCTTGAAAGGGGAAGAAAGCGCTCTCCATTTCGAGGCACTAGATACGTGGGTTAGCCATGTCTTGTGAACTAGGGTCTCCCGAGTGCAGGCCGTACTTGAGATATTTCTCCAATTGGTCTGAGTGCGCGCCTCCATATAGGAAAACCTCCTCCACACCTGCGTTGGCCAGGAATTCGAGCGTGTATTCAATCAATGGTGTGTTCGCGAGCGGCAAAAGGCACTGCGATAGTATGCCTGGTTAGATTCTCATTTTGGACAGGTTCACGGCGGAAGGACCTACTCGGGGCTTGTCGCGTGTGAACGGCTCGAATCGTGTCTCGAAGGTATCCGCAAGGACCTAAGCATCGACCAGTGTCAGTAGGGCTAAATCAAGTAGAATTGACTGACAAGCCGATGGTCGCGCAGTTTGCGCAACGGCTCAAAACGTACCACTGCCTGGAAAGTCTCCTCCACTTCATCCGCGGTGTTGGCCTTGGGCTTCTGACCACCCTTCTGTTTGGGAGCCATCACTGGAACCACAGCACTATCAGTATCATTTTCATTTTCGAACCACATTGTTTCGGTTGCTGGGCAGGTAAAACGGCGGAGAGCGTAGAATGATCATACCGTGGGGAGGGAACGAGTATAAGGTGAAGCTCGACACAAAAGATCTTGAAAGCCACGTGGAACTATTCAAAGCCTTTTTGTGCCAGGAATAGTAGAGCTCAATGAAAAAGTAACGAGCTCGTTATCAAAGACCACAAAAAAGCATCGGAGTCATCCCGCCTGTTTGTTCTGTTTGCATGAGTCACTACCTTCTGCCTCAGGCTTGGCCGTCGGGTCCTGCAACTACCTAGGTACACTGAGTACAGAGTCCAGTTAAGCGCTTCCCCCCTGTCAACCCCTGTCGTGAGAGAACATTATAGAATTGAAAGTCTCGATTCGCATCTCTTTTGATCTTCTTCTCGTCTTGACTCCAAAATGCCTCTACTGCAATGGATCGCAGAATATTACCCTCTGATCTGACTGGAGCTCGTCTCGTGCCAGATGCCACCATAAATGTTTTTCGCGTGGACAAGAATACGGTCGTCAAAGTGTGTGATCCAAACCGTCTTGCCGAGGCAGAAGCTCTGAGATTCGTTCGCACGAATGCTTCCCTTCCAGTTCCCGAGCTATACAGCGCTTATGTTGATGAGAGTATTGGACGTGGGATGATTGTTATGGAGTACATTGAAGGAGAAGTCCTTCGGGACGTCATCGATGACATGGGTTTAGAGCGACGCCAGAAGATTATCTCACAATTGCAAGCTTACATGTCCGAAGTTCGATCCGTCAAAGGAGACTTCACCGGCTCTGTCGATGGTTCGCCATGTGAAGATCCTGTCTTCTGTGCTGATCAGGGAGCATTCGGCCCAAACAAAACAGAAACCGAATTTAACGATGGTCTGATTCGAGCAATGGAGATCCCAGGAGAGAACCCTGGGGTCACCCACGTATCTAAGCTAATCCGAGCAATGTCTTACCATGAAATAGTCCTCACCCACGCAGACTTTTCACCGCGCAATATCATTATCAGGGGGGACCAAATTGTTGGTATTCTGGACTGGGAGATGGCAGGTTTCTACCCAGCGTATTGGGAATATATCAAGGCTTTGTACCATCCAAACTGGCAAAGTCGCTGGATCGAAGACGGACTTGTTGATGACATCCTTGATCCCTTTTAATTGGAACACGCGGTCATGTTACACATGCAAGAGGTTGTTTGGTGAGCATTTCAAGACCTAAAAGCTAAACTCTCCACGGTGGACACCCACCTTTGAGCGGCGGCTAGATACAGAACAGTGGATTTCAGAATACTACTACCTAGGTAGGTATCACCCGGCGTTTGTGTCCCCAAAATAGATTTCTAGCGCTGGGTACTTCTACCAGGTGTGCTTCCGATCCTTCAAGGTTACTAGGTACCATGGAAGAGTTTGCATTCCTTTCTTAGTATTTTTCTTTCATCTTTGTGCCCCATCCCAATTCCAAGCACCCCAAGAGCCCAAGATGCCTCGAAAGGGATACCCCGCCCCGTTGGTGGTCCAGCCTCTCGGCGCCGAGCATACACACACAATTATCGCACTCCACGGCAGAGGTAGCAATGCCGAGCGCTTTGGTCTCGAACTTCTTGCGTCGGCAGACCTCAAAACCAGACTTCCCACCGTGAAATTTGTCTTCCCAACTGCCTCCAAGAGACGATCAACTATACTCAAGAAAATCCCCATCAATCAGTGGTACGACAACTACTCTCTCGAAAATCCCGGAGAGAGAACTGATCTGCAGATTGACGGACTGAATGAGACTGCTGAGTTCATTCGGGGCCTGATAGATGCGGAGGCTCAACTTTTGAATGACCAGAAGGCTAAAAACATCATTCTTTTGGGACTCAGCCAGGGCTGTGCAGCAGCCATCTTTGCCCTTCTAGGTGGGTGGGCGGACAGCAGTCGAGAAACCCCGGTTGGCGCTTTCGTGGGAATGAGCGGGTGGCTGCCATTTGAAGAAGAACTGCGCCAGATTCTACAGTGTGACGAGAAATTGGTATCTGTCGAAGATGGCCATCAGAAACCACAGTCCCGAGGACTGGAGCAACCAGTATCTGACAACCCAGATGATTCGGACGATGGCGTGGATACCGATAGTGATTCCTTTGACGAGGGCGCAGAGGCGGACGTTTATTCCAACGAGGATTCCGACGAAGAGGATCCATTTACCCAAGAAACCCACCAGGACGATGACTTTGATCCTTTTGAAGAAGAGGAAGAAAAAGACGAGACTCCTTTGTCTATCAAAGCAATCAATCATATTCGTGACATCTTGGAACTGCCCCTGATAGCAATTGGTGAAAAGCTCTCGGCAGAAAACCAGTCATCAGTCGAATTTAGTCACATTTCGACTCCTGTGTTTGTGGGCCATGGTGCAGAAGATCCCAAAGTCTCCTCGGCTTTGGGGGAAGGAATGTCAAATCTTCTCTCGGCTGGCCTAGGGATGAATGTTATATGGAGGGAATATAAGGGCTTGGGACATTGGTATAGGGTTGAGGATGAGGTGGAAGATATTCCTGCCTTTCTTCAGCACGAAGTTGGTCTCAGAGCCAGGCCACTGTCATGTATAGGTAAATGAACAAAGCAGTCCTTTGGTTTTTCAAGAGTCCCATTGATTTACACCCATGATGGCGACAAGCGAGCATCAAACAAGCCCTCTACAACTCCTTGGGCTCCGAATCCACCCAAAGTATCACCATTGATGCGCAAGAGCTTATGTGTTCGAATCTATGAAGACCAAAGCACATTTTAGTCAAATTTTGTCGTCAAATGTCATCAGGCATTCTGTTTTGCATTTTACACCCCGGAACAGTCACGAAATCTTCAGAGAGAGCAAATCGAGCTAAACAAACTTGCTAATAGTTATTCTGCACGTTCCGCTCATAGAAATAATGCCAACCAGGTTGAGCCATATCTTGACGGACCTTATACTACACGGACTCGGCATCATTCACGATTGCCATATCCAAATCCAAGATCTTGATCTCCTTTTCACAGGTGTCAGTTCTCCCGATACAACCCCGGGATTTATTTGAGACTGTATGTCTATGTACGAGAATGAAACACAGTCTAGATTTGGGTTGACGCGCAGCAATGATCGAGATCGACCCTTGTGTTTGACTCGATTGATCTGTTTGGTTTGTTTGCAGCAGCGAATCCGAAGGCGGTGTCTCTTGCGGAGATTCGAAGTGGAGAGTGGCAGATGCGGAGGTGGAGACTGATATCTCAGTTTAACATGTATGGACTTTCAATCAACCGTTATGATCCCAAGGGCCTTGTCAGACATATGGGTATATCTAGCTTTCTTTTTGACTCAGAGTGGTACTAACCGCCACAGCACCGGGTCACACAATCAGTAGCAGGCCGCCAACCACAGGAAGACGTCACTGCACATTTTAGCGCCGACGATCACTCAGAAGAAAGACAGCCGTTCATCGCAGACCTTGATATCTCCGACCATGAGCCGCGTCAAGCATGGATCACTCGGAGATTACTGCAAACATGGAACGAGACGCGAAATTTCATCGGCTCAGAGCAGGGCGTGGGAATCTTCAAGTGCAGCCTCGCATATTTCCTTGCCTCTTTAGCAGTCTTCGTGCCATTCATAGGAAGCCTGTTGGGGCACCAAAATGGTAAGCATATGGTGGCTACTATTACGGTCTATTTCCATCCGGCAAGGTCGCAAGGCAGCATGTACAAGGCACTGATGTGTGCCTTTGTTGCTTTTATCTATGCGGCAGCTCTTTCGCTATCAAGCATGTGGGTCACCATTATATTTCATCAAAGGTACGATATGATTGAGTTGGGCCATGCTGTCGTCCTGGTTGTCTTTGTCGCGGGTGGTTTCGGGTGCATCGGATGGTTCAAGCAGAAAATGGAAGATCCGTTGGTCAACGTTGCCTGCTCCTTGGCATCGTTGGCATCGATCATTGTAATTACCAGGGAGGGCGCAGTGCAAAAAGGCGCTCTTTCGTTCGAGAAGATCGGTCAAGTCTTGAGGATGATTCTTTTGGGTGTTGGTGTCACGACGGCGGTCTCGCTATTGATATTACCGCGTTCGGCGCGCAGGAGATTTCGAGGCAATCTTTCAGCTTTGACCAGAACAGCCATGTCAATGTTGACCATCATAACTGAAAGTGCTGTCAGCGGGTCCCCTCATGAGCTGCAACAGGTACAATTTGCTAATCTGTCTATGCGGCACGACAACGCTTTGAGTGAACTGAAACATCACCTTCAAGAGGCCAAACTGGAGCACTTTGTTGTGGGGACAGAGCGAGAGTATTTAGTTGCGAAACGCCTCTCGAATCTCATCCAGGAAATTACACGTCGGCTAGGTGCTCTGCGAAGTGCAGTGACCTTAGAGTCCAAAACATTCGCGCCAGGAGGAACTTCTCACTTAAATCATTCCGGGGCTCAGGCTTTCGAAATCTTTAATTCACAGCTCGAAGCATCAATGGTAAGAGCCGGTCCCGGCGTATGCCTCACGTGGTATATTTCTAACGCTCGAAAGAATTTGCTGGTTTCCACATTGAGAACCATTTTTCAAACAGTTTCGTTTGGGTCTGCTCCCGATCACAAGATCGTTGTGGATGGCCGAGCTCGGCTTCGTATCAATGAAGCGATCAAGACTTATCAAGATTCCCGACTCGTCGCTTTACGTTCGATTTCTCGAAAGGAAATCATAATTCCTCTGAGCGAGGAGGACGGTGCCCATTTTGAAAAGATAGTAGCTACCCGCAACTACTACTCGGTATCCCTTCTCGAAATTACCGAGAACATTGAGCAGTTTATGTTGGCTTTGGAGCAGATGCAAGTCGAAACCGAGCAAGGACCGAGAAATAGGTCCTGGATGGGAATCTGGACTGCGTGGCGTTGGGGGGATAATATGCGCGAAGGAAACCATTCGAATGAAGGTAAGCAAGTCTATCATGGAAGGAAGACAGCAGATGAAACTCATAGACATGTCCTCAGAATCCTTTTCCAACTATCTACATGCCGACTCGAATACCACCGGGCTGGCAGGGATGAGATTTGATAACAATTACACCGAGAGTCAAAGTCCTGGAGTCAATCTGCACAGCAGAAGTAAAACTCTCCGTTGGAGATGTCTCAATTTACTTCGTGCGGATGAGCTCAAGTTCGCGCTCAAGGTGGGGATAGGAGCAGCACTCTATACCCTACCCGCCTTCATATCCTGGACTAGACCTCTCTATCTATTCTGGCGAGGGGAATGGGGTCTTCTTTCTTACATGCTGGTATGTTCGATGACTATCGGTGCATCGAACACGACAGGCTTTGCTCGATTCATCGGTACATGTGTTGGAGCGCTTTGCTCGATAGCTGCATGGTACCTTGTGGGTGAGAGTGCTCCCGGCCTCGCATTCCTGGGGTTCCTGGTGGCTCTCGGTCCGTTCTATATGATCATTTCAAGAGGACAGGGCCCCATGGGCCGTTTCATCCTTCTGACTTACAACCTCTCCGTGCTGTATGCATACTCTTACTCACAAACTGACAGTGATCACCCGGATCGAAGCGGGGAGCACCTCAATATTACAGAAATCGTTCTTCACAGAGTAATCTCTGTGACCGCGGGCTGCATCTGGGGCATCATCATCACCCGAGGCATCTGGCCCATCCGCGCCTGGGCAAGGCTGAATGATACATTACATCAGCTGTGGCTCCGACTGCTGGTTGTTTGGATGTCAGATCCCTTGAGCAACAGAGCCACGACAGAAGCGAATACATCTGATTCCCTCTTGCAGCCGCAGGACAAATTGGAGATCGAGCGCCTTCTTTCACAGCTCGAGCGCCTTCGAGTCTCAGCGCGGTCCGAGTTCGAATTGAAGAATCCTTTCCCTGATGTAGCATACAGTAACATCATTCGCGGGACAAGGAGTATCACAGATAACTTCTATTCATTGGATCTCATTCTCGTCAATGCCCTTGGGCAATCCGAAGCCCATCACGCTCTTCTCATGCATTGCGGTGCTGCCCGACATCGGCTGTCAACTTATATTTGTCAACTGCTAGCTGGTATGTCTTGGACTCTGAGCCCATATTGAGGGAGAGTGAACAAGTCCAAATCAATTGCTGACCCTAAAATTAGGTATTGCATCATCGATACAGCAGGAGAGAGCTTGTGCCGATATCCTGACAAACATCGACACTATACACAATGAGCTCCTGGCACAAACCTATCAGTTTCGTCGCGACCGAATACTGTCTTCTCAGACTGACGAAGTTGATTACGCCCTAGTCCACTCTTTCAGTAAGCTCCCCACAGTTGAGGCCCTCTCAAGGATATTTTCTGACCATTCGATAGCCTTGGTAACCCAGCAATTATCGAATGATATCCTCGAGATCAAGATGGAATTGGATCGCATATACCCTAGGCCATAATGTTATTTATCAAGAATGAAGTACAGGTCAATATCCCTTGCAAACGAAGCAAACACAGGGGAAGATTCCCAAGGCCTAGACCCGGGGAATCTCAAGGCCCAGACCTCAAGGCCCAGGCCCTTCCCGAACCGTTAAGAACGATATTAAGGAATTCTAGACCCTGCAGTTCGTGCAATCTCGGGCCCGTCCCGCCAATATCGCGGAGCCGTCACACATTTCGAGGTTTGATCCCGTTACCGGGGTGTTGCATATACTGACCCGAGGCCGGATGTTGATCCACAGGTCCACGGGTCTACGTCTTGCTGATGTGTTCAGGTACGAATGTTCGAGGTACGCGTACCAGTACGCGGACAGATGTCACCAAGGACACCGGCTACATGGATACACAGTGGAAATGGTAAAAAATTGAATATGTTCGTAAATATGTACCGGAAGGTCGCCTCGGCGGTAAATGTATGAGCGCACGGTGGATATAGCTGACGCAAAGAAAGTCGCACAAGTTCGCCACCCAGTCAAACCAAACGCCAGGACCTGTAATGGAAAGGTTTGCGACCAAGACATCCGCGAAGAGCAAAAGGGGGAAAGTAAATATGTAATTTGGAATTTAAAACCTCGTTACGGAGTATAGACAAGTGGGAATCGTGAGTCAATAGACAGGCGGAAGGGGGGCGAGGGATGAAACAGCGGCTAAATTTAGCCGGGTCGGCCGGCTTGCATAGCAAGCATGGGTTGAGGTTGGGAGTACATGCGCTGACGTTTGGGCATGTTGGGGTTTTCGGTCGCGCTGGACATGTCTGAGATCTGGCGCCGATGTGGGGGGCGGACAGGAGCCCCCGCGGTAGGGACTCCCACAGGAGGGGGTGCGGGATACTGGACGCCATTCTGATCAACAGTATATGCCGTCGGTGGGGCAGTGACGTATGGGCCTTGGACTGCAGGCATATTCGTCGGTACGGCCTGCATGTTTTGGAATTGACCAGGCGATTGCCAGTTGTTCATGGACCCAGCGGGTGACTGGCCTGGGGAACTGTCCTCCTTGATCGACTGTGCTGCTGAATTTTGAGCAGCGGTTGCCAGGTTCACAGCTGTCGCGGAAGGTGGGACCTGCTCCATCCCAGGAGGATTTTGAGGAGAGATCTTAAGATGGTCGAGGTGCCTCTCTAGCATGTCGAGAAGACTTTTGCGAGTAAACGGTTTGGGAAGAACGTCATCCATGCCTAGAACTTGTTAATTTGAATCCTTGTTTCAATCAAGGCAAAACGTACCATGCTGGAAGTAGAGCTGAATGTCGTCGCTTCGGATGTTCGATGTCATGGCGATGATCGGAGTGCGGTCAAATTGGCGAATGAGATGGCATGCTGATACACCATCCAAGTTTGGCATAATGATATCCATCAAAATAAGATCGTACTTTGAACCACCCTGGATTTTGTTCACAGCCTCCAAACCATCGAACTATAGTAATGTCAGCATGCTTCCCCAATGGGCCATGATGTGAAACTTACCGCAGTGTCAATAACACAAGAGAAAGAATAAAGGAATTTTCCGCCAATTTGCCTGCAAGTGGCGTCATCTTCAACCAAGAGAATCTGGGGACTGCGCATCCATCCAGGATCGACGTTGTTGGTCTTTTTCCGGTTGTCAGGGAACTGGCGACGGGCATCTGAGGGATCCACTTCCTGCTTGGGTGGCATCGGGTACGGGACATTGTTGATGTGCTCGCTATACATGGGATCTATCCCATTGGTGGCACCCACGGGGTATACGACTTGCTCCAAGTCACCAGCCATCTTCGGGTAAACAAGAGCCTGGGCCTGAGCCTGTGCTTGGGCTTGGTTGGGAGGAACGGCATTTGCTTGCCGGAGTGCGCCGTTTCGCGCATTCGGGTCCATGGTAGGGGTCGAAACAACAGGTCCCTTTTGGGGATCATTCATCGAGTCGGGGCCGTTCGCGTTGAATTGCAATTCCGCGTTCATGTCACTCAAAAGCTTGGAGGCCTGCTGGAGAGGCGATGAGGGCTCGTCGTCCACAGCTCCCACCTGGGAGGGGCTCATCGTTGAGCCGGGCGCCTGGAACGAAACTCCCTTGCTATCGCGCCGTTGGCGATCCACCGATAGAAGGTAGTTCATGACCTGGTGAATGACGTTTTCATGGTTCAGGACGGTCTTCTGGACGCGCATCGTCTCCTGGAGCATGAGCTGATGGTCCACCGAGAGTTGAGCATAGCGGTCCGAGAGGTGCTGGATCTGCTGCTGTTGGGCCACAATCTGTTGATTGAGCAGGTCAATCTGTTGTGTCGGGACAGACTCTTCATTGCTCTGAGTTTGTTTGCGCGGTGCGGGGGCTTTGCGTCGAATATTGTCGAGGGACTCTTTGCTGTTGGCGCGAAATTCGGGGTGCTTGAACTCCCATGCCTGTGCTCCGGGTCAGAACCTCGGCCCAACCGAGAATTTCCAGGGTGTGACCTACATTTTGTCCGTACGGCGACTGGCCGTTTTCTTCGTTATTCTGTCGCACCTTGTGGAAATCGTATTTGTTCAGCTGTCGCACGAAACTGGCGAAGTTGCTATGTTTGAAGTGTTTCGGAAGGATGGTTTTGGTGAATTTTTCACACTATGTCGAGGTTAGCCACGGGAAATTTCGAGTCATCACGGGCGCATTACCTCCAAGACCACGAAGCTATCCCCTTCATCGCCCCAGCGTACGATTGACGCGTAGGTTGGGTCCTCCAGCATTCTGTGCCATGTTAGCGCCGTAGGGGGGTATGGGTTGGTTTGCGCGGGCAGACGATAGGCAGACGATAGGCAAGCGAACTTACTTGTACAGTTTGCGTACCTATTCATGGTTAGTCGAGGGCAGAAAGGGTGTCGGGGGCATCACATACAAAATCACTGGAGTTCCCAGCGGGGGCGGGATTGGAAGAGGTCTGGCCACCGTCCATGCTGGGCTAGACGGGTCGCGACCGGTCGAACAAGCAGTCTGGACTCGTCCCAACGCGGATATACTCTCGATTGTAAATATAACAAGAACGGTGAACAACAGGCAAAGCGAGAATGTTCGGGGATGCCAGACCTTCTCGGAGGGTGGGAGAGGGAAAAAAATGAATGAATAATAACGGGGGGTCTAGCGGTAGAGCCAAGTACCAAAGTTACTGTGGAGGTACTGCCTGGTACATGCGATGTACTTTTCCACGGTTTTCCCTCAGAGACATCTCATGATTTCATATTTATTTTTGACATACTCTATGCAAGGAGTCTCTCGGTCCGGTAACGAGAACTCCTCTGGTATGTGTGGTGCTCAAGGTACGGACTGTGGACTCCGTACAGAAACAATGAACTTCATGTTCTATTCGCCCTTGACGTGCGTTGACATGTCAGTGCGCAACGTGAGACAACCTTTACACTCTTTGTTGCTCCATATATTTGGGCCTCTTAGATAGAGCCTTTGGAACCGAACAGGTTCCTCTCTTGATTAAATATTAATTAACGCCTACCCGAGAGCCGCGAACGTTATTAAGCGAACAGGGCTCCGTAGTAATATCAAAGGGCATTCAAAATCCACCTTGGATACCGGTTGCTACTTCAGACCTACATGGGAGTACCTCCGTATCCTGTATATTACCAACCGTGGAAGTCTATCGCAATAACCCTGGCTATCGCGGCACGATCTCATCGCACTTCTCTAATGCCCTCTCCATGAGCCCGGGACATGTTGAACTAGATGATGACTGCATCCCTCAGCAGGGGTTGAACGATCCACAGTGTGACAGTGCAGGGTCCAAACACGTCATGGAGGAATAGGATGTGAGGACATATCATCCGATTCGAGGGTGCACTGCGAGCCCTGTTGTTTGGAGAGGCACATATCATAGGCGACAGCTCAGAAGGGTAGTACTAAGAGCAGGATTGCGGTACCCGCGGTATAGCCAGTCGCACTGTAAAACACCAGATGAAATGACAATTTCGTAGAGAAGAAACAGAATCATATAAATTGCAATGGGACTGGAACACGAGGTAAAAACAGAGTTCCCAATTTATGCAGCCGCTAAACGGCCATGACGAAATCGAAGCTATCCGACCCGAGTGTCCGGTTCTCCTCCCACATCTTCCACCTCCCTCACTCCTTGTACTTTGTACTTTATACTACCTCAATCCCATCATGTTCGCCGCTCGCCGTCTCACCAACATTCCCCGCGTTCGCGCGCAAGCCTCCCTCTTCCACAGCTCCGCGCCCGCGTTCGTGCAAAAGGGCGACGCTATCCCCAACCTCGACGTCTTGGTCGAGAACTCCCCCGGCAACAAGGTCAACCTCGCCAAGGAGATTAAGAACAAGGCTGTCATCATTGGCACCCCCGCTGCCTTCAGTGCGTAGCTTCGACCTCAAACAAACAAAATTCCCGATCGGGACTGACCCTCTGTCTAGGCCCTGCGTGCTCCAGCACCCACGTCCCCGGCTTCATCAACCACCCCAAGCTCAAGGAGGCTGGTCAGACTTTCGTCATCTCCGTCAATGACCCCTTCGTGTAAGCTATCCCCTTGGGCAGTGGGCCATTGAGCCCTGAACAGGACGTTTATTGACCCTATTCTACAGGACCAAGGCTTGGGCTGATTCCCTGGACCCCCAGGGCAAGAGCGGTGTATGTGCTTGGCTTTCATTTATGTATCTGCAGACAATGGCTGACATCTTGGCTTGGTTAGGTCCGCTTCCTGGGTGACCCCTCCGGCAAGTTCACCGAGGCTCTCGACCTCAGCTTCGACAGCAGTGCCATCTTCGGCAACAACCGCAGCAAGCGCTACGTGCTCCTTGTTGAGGATGGAAAGGTCAAGGAGACTTTCATCGAGCCCGACAACACCGGTCTCAACGGTAACCCGCTCCCCTCCCGCCCTGCACATCGTTCTATACTAACATTGATCTCAGTCTCCGCCGCCGAGAAGGTCCTGGGCTAAGCCATTGTATGTAGAACTCTATGTAGAATACTCGGAATTGATAAATCAACAAGTGCCATCATCACAAGGCATGATATTTCTTCCAATCCCTGCACCGTGTTTTGTAGCGCATAGGAGTTTAATATACAATTGTTCATCTATTCCAGCCCGGCCAACGCCTGAACAATTGATGCCAGATATTATACCCAAGCTCAAGCTTGGATTCCTTCGGTGTGCGATTAGGTTTCAGTGGCTGACCCGGCGTCTGCCGGTGAAGTTCTGCAGGAATTATAGATATAAGAAATCATGGTTCATCATGTTGCGCAGAGCCCAATTACTGCTGCAGTGCTTGCCACTGCTCGGGGGTATAGCACTTAGGAGTCCAAGCATGGATAGCAGCGATCTCCGCCTTCAGGGCGGAGTTGACAAGACGGTGTCGAGCAAGCATGGTCTTGCTCTCGAACTGGGGGGAGACAATGACGGCTTGGAATGCCTGTCCACAACCACCTAGACGAAAAGAAGCGCATCAGTAAGATTGATCGACCCGGGAAAAAAAGAGACTGCCTCGACGTCATAGGGATCATATTTTAATGCCGTACCAGAAAGGTCCTCGACCTCCACATGCACCGCCTGTAGCGTCTCAGTCAACTTGTTCTTCAGAGAATCAGCAGTGATTCCAGATGTGTCGGCCATGGCAGCGTTGATGGCGGCGTGAGAGCGCGCGGTCAGAGAAAAGGCCCGGGTGGGAACTTGAGGGCGCAGAAGATAGCGACAGCTTCTACTCAAGGCGGTCAAAGAGGAGGCGCGGGAGAACATCAAGTGTGGTGAAGGGGAGGATGAGAGACAAGACCCGAGGTTATCGCGAAGTATGGAGTTTCAGAGGGTTTCTTGGGTCATTACAAATTCGGAGCCTCCGTGTGGCTGGTGGGTGGCACGTGTGTGTGGCTCACCTTGCACTGGTTCTCTCTTCTACGGACTACACTACACTCCATGAATTTGTTTCGCACTGCTGCTCGTCGATACTCTACAATGAATGTCTCCAAGTTATCAACAGAATGCTCGCCTTTCACTCAGGCTGTGGTGACCTCCATGAGGAAGCTGTAAATCTTTCCCCTCTTCTCGCAAGCTCCCCGCATTGTATGGAGCTAGTCTGACCTCAAATGCAGATATCCAGAGGCATTGGCAGATAAGAGCTTTGACAACACAGGACGTATGTACTGGGCTTCAATGGAACTACAAATATTGCTCAATGTGCTAATTCTAGACGTGCAGTACTCCTCGAGGCTCCTTTGGACCCGTCCCGGCGACAAAAGAACTCAGTCCTCCTAGCCATTGACCTCACCAAAGCCGTCGCAGACGAAGCAATTAAAAACCGCAACTCAGTTGTCGTCGCCTATCGTACGTCCAATTCATCCCCGCCAATGGGACATCACTGCGCATGTCCGCATCGACATAACTCTCATAACACAACACAGACCCAATTATCTTCCGCGGCCTCAAATCCATCACCTTCGCCGACTCCCAGCAGAAGACCCTCCTCCGCCTCGCACAGCATGGAATCAGCGTGTATTCCCCGCACACAGCCGTCGACACAGTCCCCGGCGGTATGGCCGACTGGCTTTGCGACGTAGTGACAGGCAATTTCAACGCCCAGCCCTCCAAACCAATCACCAGCCAATGCCAGTCAAGCATGTACACAGCCCCAAGCTATCCAGAATCGCCCATCCCCGCCATAAACAGCAACCCCCAACACCCACCCCACAGCAGAAGCACCATCCATCCCTCGCCAGCAGCCTCGATCCCCGAAGGCTTCGAGTCAGCCGGTGCCGGCCGTCTAGTCACTTTCGAAACCCCGCAGTCGCTGACAACTCTGATTGACAACGTTGCTCGCGGCATCGGAATGCCTGGTGGAATCCCCATCGCCATTCCGCAAGGCAGCTCGGTTGACCAGATCCGCATTCGCACAGTAGGCATGTGTCCTGGTTCTGGGTCTGGTGTGCTCATGCGCGGTGGCGATATCCCCGATCTCCTTCTGACCGGTGAGATGAGCCACCATGAAGCTCTTGCTGCAACGGAGCGAGGCTCGGTCGTCATCTCTCTTTCTCACACTAATTCTGAGCGTGGATACTTGCGCTCTGTTATGCAGCCTAAGTTGTTGGAAGAGGTTGTGCAGTGCTGGAATGCTTTGCACAGCGAGGCTGTGAAGGATGGAAGTGCTTCTTCTGAGACTGAGTTGTTGAAGACGCATCATGCTGAGGGTGAGGTGCAGGTCTCTGTTAGCCAGGCTGATCGTGATCCTTATGGTATCATGATCTGGCGTGGTGACTAGAGGGTTATCTGCTCTGTTTCCTGGCAGCAAGATCTATGCGCGGTAGATATAAGCTTCAAGGCTGGGATGATATATCCCACTCGGATGCAAGTCAAACATCGGAAGGAATATCTACGATGTTACGAACTCGTCCGGAACACAACATGCAGAAACCAAGTGAAGATTTCAAGGTTGCAATGCCCAACATTGATTATGTGCTAGTTACCGGGAAACAAAAGAGAATCTGATCAGATCTCAAGAAAGTTGTTGGAAATGAGAAGGATATCCTAGTAGCAGACAATGACAAACAAAAGAAACCATCTTGGGGGGAAGGGGATCCAAGACATGAAAGACCCGAGTTGAAAAGTGGACCATAAGAGATGACACCGAGTCGTGAGTCTCACCGCACGCAACCCCATTGTTCATAGAAGTGGGAAAAGGCCGTGAGACTCGAGTTGGAGTAAAGATAGGGAGAGAAGTGAAGAAACTATGAGGCTGGATGGAAACCAATCGACCAAGCCCGGACAGAACGGTAAAGCAGAAAAAGGGAAAAAAGGGAAATGGTATGTATTCGCACTGCCTTGTAGCAGACAGAAGATGGTTGAAAAGCCCAGCCACCTCATTACAGGTCAATCAAGCTACCTCCACCCCGCTGCTGCTGCTGAGTTGCCCAAGGGTTGCTGGCAGTGGGCTGTTGCTGCACATAGCCTGTTTGCTGGGGCATCCCAGTGAACTGTTGTTGCATGTATGGGTTTCCGGTTGGAGTGGCGTGTAGACGGTCCAGACCCTGACCCGCAGAGTTGACAAAGGTACCTGGTGCTGTGTGTTGCGCGGGGATGCGGAGATCTCCAACGTTACCGAATGTGTCCTGGCCTTCGCCTGATCCGAGAAGAGCGTTCAGGCGAGCATGATGGGGATCGCTAGATTGCGGTGGGGTGCTCTTCGGTGGCTGTGGGGCTTGGAAGTTGGCAATCGGGTTGGGTTGAGTTGGCTGGGAGAATTGCTTCTGGGCGTAAGGGTTCGCGTTGTTCTGGGAGAACTGGTTTGTTGTGCGATCCTCGGCCAAGGAGTTCAGGGTAGGAGGACCGGTCTGCGCATGGCTGTTGAATTGCGACTGGGTACGTTGCGCGAAGGGGTTGTTTGATCCTGTGGGCATGGGTCTGAGGGCGTCGGCTGGCTGCAATGACTGCTGCTGGGGCTGGTTTCCTGACCACGGGTTGTTACTGCCTGCGGACTGGTAATTCTCCTGTGGTTGTTGCTGCTGCTGGTGCGAGAAAATATCGCCTCCTCCGTAAGGGTTATTAGGGTTGAATGAGGTGTGTTGGGGCTGAAGGGTAGCCTGGGGTTGCAGGAAGTTGTTTTGAGCCTGACCATACGGGTTCTGGTCGAAGCCCGTGGGTTGGTTTTGGAAACCAGTAGCGTAGGGGTTGTTCATGCCCGTAGGTTGGTTCTGGAATCCTGTTGGCTGTGCGTATTGGTTGTTGAGGAAGCCAGTAGTCATAGGCTGCTGTGCGTTGATCGGGTTACCGAACCAGTCCACAGCACCCTGTTGCTGGTAGCCTTGGTTGTAGCCAGTTGGTTGGACTTGTGCCGGAGTGCTGTCGTCGAAGAGGGATTGCGCATTACTCTCTTCCAACTCTCGCTTTCGCAGGTCTTCTTCCTCCCGGCTTAGCTTGATCGCCTTGGCAAGATCCTCGTCGTTATCGACTCCCATTGTCTCCTTCGCGCGTCGCCTGCGCTCATCCTCGGCCTCGGCCTTGCTGGCTTCGATCGCCAAGCGGTACTCGGTATCGGAGTCGTCGTCTCCATTGCGTCGGCGTCGTTCTCTGCGTGGTGGTTCGGCGCCCGAGTTTCCGTAGCCTTCATCGAGTCCGCTGACACGAGTCTTCCAGAGCTTGCGATCGGATCGTTCACTGCGCAATCGGTCTTCGTCCAGTACCAATGCAGTTAATTCTTTGGCGGCGACACGGACTAGAAGACATCGACTTGTCAGTTCCGTGACACCTCAATTTCTTTTTTTCAAAAAAAAAAAAAAGAAGGACTTACCATTCTGTCCGACATCCCTTCCTTCCTCGTCGACATATGTGAACTCACGCAGAGTCTTGATGATGTAAACGTTTTTGCGAGCCCATGTCACCACCAATTCCGAGCCTTCGTGAAGACAGTAATCCAAAACCTTCAGCGACTTGAGAACATGGCGCCAATTCTTGCCCTTATCATTGAGTCGCTTGTCAAGCATGTCCATGATTTCGTAGAACTCGTTCGGGCTATACAGATGCAGGTGTCGTTAGCGGTATCCACACTATGGGTCGCGATTCGGCCTTACCTCCCGAAAGTCATGGCGGCAATCTCGGACATGTCGGTACCCGTTGGGCCCCATGGGTCGTTACTTGTAGCTAGAGAGCCCCATTAGCATCTTGATCACATCGTGTGCGGGGTGACTGGTAGGACTCGGATGACTGGGGCATGATGTCGCCTTGACACAGCAAGGGGGACATTAAACCAACAGCCATGCAGGGAATGCGCCCGAGTCTGAAAGGCACGCTGAGAAGGCCGATAGGGTGGAATAGGTCATACCATTGCGGACTTTGACCTGCACTGAGGAGTATCCCTTTGTGACGTTTTTCACGCTTCGCACGACTTTGGACATGATGTCGGTGATGCGACGGTCGCGGAATCAAGGGGCGGTTGATCGTGATATGGTGGCAATCGATGTAAAAGAGAATCGCAGTTTAGGCGTTAGGAAGTGCCAAGCACACACAGCCCGCTCTCGTTCTCCGGATCGCGGCCCAAGACGGTTCTCAAGCGCGTTGAGTCGGGTACCTCCTGTTCGCAAAGGGACAGGCTGGCAGATTGGTGGCTCGGAGAGGAATTGAATGGGCCAATAGTACGTGGTTGTAAGAGATGGAAGAGGAAGACGGAGAGGGGACTGTGGCTGGAACGGGGGGGGGACAGAGCCTTGGCAGTGACGAAGCAGTACCGGATGCACTCCAACTTAACTCACGATCTACAACTATCACCCGGAAGATTCTTCAACTTCAAAGATTGAGCTGCCAATGAGGATGACGAGATTGGGAGAATTTCAAGGCTATGATGAAGGTCGGTCTGGGATTCGGCTAAATACGTACTCGGTAGGGACAGTCTACTAAGTCGACTTAGTCTGCCCAGGTGCTAGTACTCCGTATAGCATGCCGTGGTCAGATCTCCAGCCTAAGACATTCATCTGTGTGATTCTTTAGTGCTCTTATCCCACTTACCCACAGCAAAATTCCTACTCGGCTTTACACCTCAATTACATTGTCCATTAGGACCTTGGAGGTTTGATACATTTATATGGGCGCCACAAGTGGCAACCCTGCCGCGCAACGTCAATGTCTCAGGTAACGATCAACAGGCAACAGTCAAGTATGCTTTGCCCAGAGAAACGGCACATGCAAAGCATAGACCTAATCGCTACTGTATCCGTACTGAGCTTTTGACAGGCCATTTAGGGGATTCATTACGTCATTCCTTCTAGAATCCGACGCTCTTGGCATTTGATAACATCCTCAATTATGTACTTGACACTGCTTCAAGTTGCGTGGAGAAACACTCTGCAACTCCCCGGATGAACCCTTGTTTTTGCATTCCATTCACCCATTCGTTGGGGATGGATGCAAGCCCATAGAAACACCCTGCAAGGCCACCGTAGATGGCTCCGGCGGTGTCGGAATCACCACCCAGATTGACGACAGCTAAGGCACCCTCCTTCCACGAGTCATATTTGAAGAATCCCCACAAGGCACATTCAAGGGTATCAACGACCCATCCACTACTCGTCATATCAGCGGGATTCATCGCCCTCCAATCGTCAATCGATCTGTATCGCAATATACGGCGTCTGAGAGCAGGGTGTGTGAACGAGAAAGCAGAAACCGTCTTAAAGAGTTGCTCTTTTGTCTTGCCTATCAAGTCATTAATCTCATGTTCTATGAGAACAAAAATGAGGTGAAACAAGCAGCACCGGAACCAAGGACTTACCATTCATGGCCCCAGCCACCAACTCCGTATATGCCTCACAGGCCTCTACACACGGAAGCGCTGGATGAGTGACCCGACTCTGCTCTCTGGCACATTTCTTCGCCATCTCAACGTCTCGCCAGTAACATACTCCGATAGGAACGATCCTCATGAGACTTCCATTTCCCGAACTTTCCTCCCGGTCCAGCTGTGCGTCAATGGAAGCCTGGCCAAATCTCAGATCCCGCAATCCAAAGTTCCTCCAAATTTTCAGCGCAGTGCGGGTTGCTCGTCCCATGTCCCATGGATAATTGGTAGTGCTGAAACGACCTTCGGTCATCCATTGGACGTAGTGTTGGATTGACAGCTCATGGTTGTATTGCATGTTGGATTTGAAAAACGAGGTCGCTAGCGCCAGCGTCATGGACCCGTCGTCAGAATAGGACCTTACCGAGTCAGACAGATTATTCATTTTCCTGTAGATGAGACTTACCCGGCTGGTTGTTCGAAAGGAGCGACATATCTCAAGCTCGTGATTGGCTCGAATGTTCCTGGGTCTTTGAATTGAACTGGACCGCCGAGGGCATCGGCGACGCAGACGCCCCAGATAGCACCTTGAGCTCGTGATTTCACAGATGGTTGCATATTCCAAGGCTCTGCGACTATTGTAAACAGTGTGCTTCCAATGTTGATATGTATTCTGGGTCGTGTACACAAATGTGGGACGATTCAACTTGGAAGGAGAGGGGGGAGCTTGGGACTTAAGAAGCTACTTTGAGTCACAGCGTATGGCGCAGTAAATCGCTGCCAAGGCATATTTCAGGACTAAAACCTTGGGAAGGAACAACTGTGCGAGTCAGAGTAATCATGAGCAAATAGCCCAGCTCCACTCGTATTCGAGGCTCAACTAACAGCCTACAGTTTCGTCGCACTGCCACTTTAGGGCCCATTTTGCGACTAGTATAAGGCAGAAAGCTCCTCGGCATGGAATATACAGAAACTTCGTCATTTAAAGCTCTATTTAATGGATATTTACATTCTCCCAATCTACTTGGGAGGCCAAACAGTGTCTTTCCAAGGCCGGCCCTTGGTCTCATTCGCCAAGTCCTTTAAAGTCTTCCACTTCCACAGCCGCTGACCCGGGTTGACCAGCTCATTATCATTTCCCAAGCCATCAGAGGAATGATTGATATTCCCATCCCCCATCAAGAAACGCAAGTAAGCGGCAGGGTCCCACGAGGCTTCTGACGTTGTCTGCGCCTTGTATGCCTGGTAAGGAATCTCCGCCACATCAATTTGCCCCGCTCCCGCATCCTGCATGATGGACGCCACCTCAGCAATGGAGCGAGTATCGCCGGCCAGATGAACAATGTCAGGAATATCTGCCTCGGGTAGAGTCGCCAGCGATGCAACTGTTTTGCCGACGTCTTGGAGAGCCGTGAAAGAGATCGGCGAGTGCGGGGGCCCCACGCTGGTATATTTCCCATTCCTTGTATCTAAACCAAACCACGGGCCGATGCTGTCTTCTAGAAATAAGCCGCAGAATACTCGGCAGATTTTCATGTGCGTTACGACCGGCTGCGCATTCGCGAGATGTTTCTTCTTTTCATACCATTCCAAGTGGGCAAAATCGTGCCCGTAATGGTCGACTCCGAATTCCGATGGGAAATATACCTGGACACCGGTCCGAGGCAATGTGGCTGCAATCTTGGTTTTGAAGCCGTGGCCTTCAGGTCCGATTGTATTAACAAGGATGTTGACGCCTTGCAGGGCGTCTTCCAGGTTGTCTTCGTTATAGGCCCGGGTTGTTACCTTGACACCGGCCCGAACTTCGGACGGTTGAAGACGACTCGGCTCCTTTCTCGATAAGAGGACGATCTCGGAGAACTTGTCGTAGAATGCAGAGGATAGAAAGGCATTGGTGACATGCTTGCCGAGATGCCCGGTGGCACCGGCAATGGCAACAACTGGTCCTGTCTGAGGGGTCATGATTAAAATGTGAAGAGCAACGGAATATTGAATCAGCAACTGAAGGAAAAAGGTCAACTCTGCTCAACTTATACTTTGCCATTTAGAACGTTGATGACGTCACTGACAAACGGTCGAAACATACAAAACAAATGGAGTCTGCGGTTTGATTGGACGCAATTTGATGTATGTTTGCATTGTCCACTTGCGGAGCATTAAGGTCAATGTTCTAGACGGGGACCTCGGGAAGATACCTACTGGGCTTATTCCCTTTAATGCAGCCGATTCTTGGCTTACGACGATCTCTCATGTGCAATTCAAATGTCAATTCTGCAGTCATATCCCGATGTGTATGGAGTGCCCAGGTCAAAAGTTAACTGGCATAAAGTGTATATATTTCATCAAGCTCTATAATATTAACCCCCATGGAACAGCATAGCCGAATCGGAGGCGCTCAACTTCAGACGCCAGCCACAGAGCATTCCAAACTTCGCGCGAGTGTTGTTCCTTGAATAAACATAAAAATTCCGAAAAGAAAGCCACTGAAGACATTTGCAACAGCAGACCCAAAGTGGGGTTGAAGTTTCAAGATGTGAGATAAATGCACCGGTTGTACGCAACCATATTTTTCCACTCAGCATGCGATTATTGCTTTTCCATGCTAAGATACTTGGCCTCAGCACCCTTAATGCAAGCAATGTTAGCACCAAGCTTGTTAATCGTCTCCATGTACTCATCATAAGGATCCGAGTCAAAGACAATGCCGCCACCAGCTTGGAGGTAAGCGACGCCATCCTTGACCATCATAGTTCGCAAAGCGATACAGGTGTCCATGGCACCGGGCATTTCCGCAGAGCCATCCGCGTTCGCACTATTGTAACCAAAGTAGCCAACGGCACCGGCGTAAACACCACGCTTCTCGCCCTCCAGCTCGGCGATGAGCGACATGGCGCGCACCTTGGGTGCGCCGGAGACTGTGCCTGCGGGGAAGATAGAGCGGAAGGCATCGAATCTAGTCATGCCCGGGCGTAGAACACCGGACACCTGGGAAACCAGGTGCTGGACGTGGGAGAACTTCTCCACGACCATGAGTCGGTCGACTTGTGTGGTGACGGGGTCGCAAACGCGGTTGACGTCGTTGCGGGCGAGATCGACCAGCATGACATGCTCTGCGCGGTCCTTGAGACTGCTGCGGAGCTCGGCGGAGAGAGCATCGTCTTCCTCCACGGTCTTGCCGCGCTTCACTGTGCCTGCAATGGGGTGACTGATAATGCGACCATTCTCTTCCTTAACTAGGAGCTCGGGACTAGCTCCAACCAGTTGGAAGTCTTGGCAATCGATATAGAAGAGATAGGGAGAAGGGTTGACGGTACGGAGGTGGCGGAAGAGGTTATAGGGGTGAAGAGAGGTAGGTCGTGAAAGCCGTTGTGATGGCACGGTTTGGAAGATATCACCCTTGGCGATGTGTTGCTTCAATTTGTTGACGTGACCTTCGTAACCATCTCGTCCAATGTTAGAGGTGTATTCTTGGTCGGGGATGATAGGGCCCTGGGGTGGCAATGGTGTGCGGTCCTGGAGCAGAGTCTCGATTGTCTTTTGGATAATTTCTTGGCCCTTGAGGTATGAGGCCTCGATGTCGGCATCTGCCGAGGGGATGGGGACGTAGGTAATGACCTTGACGACCTGGAAGAAGTGATCAAATGCAACGATGGTATCGAAAAGCATAAAGAAGGACTCGGGCACTCCGAGAACATCCTTCATTGGCCGGGCCGTCTTGGGCTCGAAGTATCTCACGCAATCGTATCCAACATATCCGATCGCGCCGGCGGTCAATGGTGGCAGGACCAGTCCGGGAACTGTGGCAACACGGTATTGAGAGAGCTCTTCCTCGAGGTATGGGAGCGGGTCCGCTGCAGGGCCATGGCCCTCGCCGGTCTTGATGACTTTTCTGGGGTCTGAATGACAACAAGTTAGCAATGTCCTTGAACAAGCGATTGGTGGTTCAACTCGCCTGCGCCAACAAAGCTGTACCGTCCAATTGTCTCTGTAGTAGCAGCACTCTCATACAGGAAGGAGAGTCGTGAACTATATCGGGTTAGGGATTCTGTTGTTTGATATTTCCGCCTCCGTTGTGAATGCCGCGGCAGAAGAGCACCCGATGACTCACTTCTCAGCAATCTTCAAGTAGGCCAGAGTTGGTGTCAAAAGGTCGCCAGGGATTGAGGCAGTGACAGGGAGCAGGTTGGGAGGAAATTCGGAGTTTCTCGACTTCGAGATCACCTCTTGTGCCGTTTCGAGGGACGGAATACAGGTGGTCTGGATGGTCAAACAGCGTTAACAAGATCCACGTGATCTTAGACAGGCGGATATGGTAATCTCCCATGAACATTTTCATGAGTATGAACTTACAGGAATCGCCATTGTGCCGTGACTGTGCTTGACGAAGCGAGTAGGAGGGATGGTTGTGTGAAAATGATTCAGAGTGGGGAGAACGGCCGCGGGTCCAGTCAGGTTGCGGAAGCTAACAATGTCCGGAGTATGTTTCGATGGAATGGGAGCTTCAAGAAATAGTACTCCGTATTAAGAACAGCTTTTCAGCTGATCCCACTGTTGCACAAGAATAAAAAAAGAACACACTATGTGTCCGGAGCGAACAATACATAGACCTGTCGGATCGCCTTGAAGTGGATTAGGCCCGAACGAGGGGCGACCGACTATCGATAAAGACCGATCAACAGTGGACAATCTCCATGTCTTTCTACTGTACCAAGTACAGTATACTTCAATCATTATATGTTCTCCAAGTACTACTAGGTACTGCGTGGCACTCAATTCTGACTTCCACTTTTGTATTGGGGGTATTTTTTCCTGATTATGATACAAAGGAAGTGAGGTTCAGTGATCACAGTACTCCGTACCCACTCGAAATGGGGAATAAGAACGGTTTGAAAACAGAAAAAGAAAAGAAAAAAGCACAAAGTAGAAAATCGAGGAAAGGTCCACCGTCGCCAGTCCATGCCATTCGCCGTCCCACCCAAGCCTGTCCCAAGCAATGTAAAGCCATTATGCATCTTCTAAACCAGATAAATGTATGTTCACAGAAGTAAAGTAGTGGAAAGTCGGAGATAAGACCGGGGATTATGTGTCTCCAGGGAGATAATCCATGAAAGGGTCCACGGGTCGTCCGAGGAGGGTATCGGTCCAATTGAAGCGGAGAATAAATCGTGAGTTTATGTGACCGCTAAAAGCTGGCTCTGTCACCGCTGCAAATTTATGATTGCAATCTGAAGGGGATATTCGTCAGCCGGGGAACTGGGGACGGGGCATCCACGGGACGGGGGATCCATTTGAGGGATTGTACCTTCTTGTTGAGACCGTACGCAAGTCGCTTTCCATCTGCGTCCCAGGCTAAGGGCCAGTAGGATGGTGAGTCTGGGGTTGGAAGACCATTGTGTCCATTCAAAGGTCGGTCAGGGTCCTCCTTCTTAACTTCGGTTTGGGGTGCGGTCCAGGTAGAGATGGGTTCGCCACCGCGCTCGACATTCCAAATACAAATCCGGTCCTTGCTGGCGGCAGCGAGAGCATATCCGTCGGGGGAGAAGCATCCAGTGAGGGCGTTATTTGAGGGAGAAGGGCCGAGTGAGAATTGATGAATGCAATGGTAGTCCCTGGTTTCAAGGTCGACCTGCCAAACCTTGGCTTTGCCGCCTTGGGAAAAGCTGGCGAAGCTAATGCGGTGTGAATTAGACTGAGGGCGAATTTCAAGACCGGTGATCTGTTCGGGGTGGGCGTTGGGGATTGAGATCTGGTGGGTGGGGATCCATATCGAAGATGCCGGCCCGGATGCTGCGAGTGCAACAGGACCTAAAGCGCTCTGAGCGCACTGAAGGAAATCCCAGGTTGTCTTATCTCTGGAAGAAAATGTGTTGAGTAAGCGGATACTTTGATCCACTTCGCATTGGTAGATTGCGCCCTCGCCCGAAGCAAAGATCTGATTGCGCCCACACCATGATACCGTATAGATGTGATCCTGAATTACTTGTGCAGGAGGGAAGGCATCAGGCCGGCGGTCGTCATCCCAAAGCGCAAGTTCTGATATGTTATCGTTTGAGCCCACAACGACGAGCTGTGAGCTGACATCAGACCAATGCAGGCCAGTGATGATCCGGGGAATCTCAGGGAGTAGGTCGACTGCATCACCATTGGTGTTGTACATAGTGATGGTTCCTTTCTCATTAGTAGAAGTCGCAACGGCCAATTTCTCTCCGATGGCATCCCACGTCACGTTTGAGACCGCGGTGTTCCCCTTCTTATATTCAACAATCTTCTTTTCCACGGGTTCTGCCGAGCCCGACAGCTTCCAGAGACTGCAGAACTCGTGGCCAGCTACCACGACAGTCGTAGGGTCTCGAGGGCGCCAAAGAGCCTGACTCACGTGATTCTCCACATCCAAGAGGGCGGTGTCGGGCGTCAAATCAACGGTCTTGGCGGGGGCGATCTGAATGCCAGAGCTGTCGCCGTTCTCCAGGGTAACCGGAGGTTCGGGAATTTCTTCCGCCATACTGACATCGCCGTCTCCGTCCATAGGATTCGGACTACCTGGCTGGCTCTCAGTCTGCGCCTTGTCCTCCATGGACTCATCACTGTCGTCGTCCTTTCGGATCTGCCTTCCGGGCTCGGCATGGCCGTTCACCGGGCGGTCGCGCGCAACTTGGCTCGGCGACGCTGACTGGTCTGTGCCGACAGGTTCGCGACTCCCCACCAAGCCATTTTCCAAGCGCTCTGGCCCGAAGAAATAATCAGAGGGTGAGATAGTAATGCGATTTCCCTCCTGTATGCGATCGGTCAGAGCTCGGATTGCATGCCGTAGACACGACCCAAGAGGGATTTCCCCGTTGACGCCTCAGGGAGCCAGTCGGAGTAGTAACATACCTTATCCAAAGAGGTTTCTAGTTCGTGATATTGCAGGCCTTTCTGGACCAGCGACACTAGCGCATGCGTTTTAATGTACGGCGCGAACGGCAGAGTCTGCGGGTCAGGATACCACGCGCGTTGCAAAGAGATCGCGGCATCACCGTGACCTGGTTTCAGTTAGACCGCAGTCCAATGATGGAGAGTTGAGAACCTTGGGAAGATGGAGAAAAGGCGTCATGGTCACCAACCTGATTCCTGGAGATACCTGAAGACTTGATTAGTATTTTGGGGGTGTCATGCATGAAGGTGCACTCACCTCCAAATTAAATAATTGACATGATGAGACGTGAGGTCCGGTTGTGCCATGATTACATGTGCGACCAGTTAAGTGCCGCAAACATGCCAGAGAGGGAAGGGAGCTGTTAGCCGCTAGGCCAGTGAAAATCAAAGTGGAGAGGCTTCGATGCGCGGAGACGGAGCTTCAGGAACACGAGGCCGGAAGGGGGGAAAGAAGAGCTTCCGACTAAATGAAAAGGGGGGGAGATTGAAGGTGGCCTAGTCCAGATGACCCAGAGACGTTTCCAAAGCCACAGGAGCGGAAGTGTCTGGAGAAGGGAAAATTGACGATTGGGGGGATAACCTTGGACAACTTTGGACGTGAAGCCAAGCCAAGGGAGGTTAAGATCAAAGACGCGACGGACTAGTGGATGCACAATGCTTAGTGATAATCACGAGGGGGAGGAAAAGGAAGAAAGTGAAGATCTGAGATTAAAGGATCCAGAATGGAAGTCCAGAGTTTAGCACTAGCCACTCAAGATGTGGCGCCCTCCACACTTTTTTCCTGCAGGTGGATTGCCCAATCCGTCAATCTTCACATCTGCTGGTCTTTATCACGTTTGACCTCAGCAGGAGGCTTTGTCATTCACTACTGTACCCGTGGACCTCAATACAACCTGGTACTACCTGGAGTATGTGAGGCCAACTGAGGATAATCCGAGTAGAACCCGGGCATAGTTCAGTCTAAATAGGAAGGCCTGCACCCAGCCATGTCCGCAGGTAACTACCTAGTTAGATGGCGACCTGGAGTTAGGATGTTCACTACCTTCCAGATATCTGGGGCCCTGATAACTTTATACGCATACCAGATCTTTAGACATCAAGCACATCGCACAGAAAACTATACTGAATTGTCAGTGCTCTCAATACTCCGGACTTTAAGTGATATCCACTGATCCCACGGTGAGACGCGATTGGGCTCAGCCCATCAAACTATTGGATATGTACATACTTCACTGGGAGATCGACAGTCTGTACTCCGGAATACTTCCAAGGTTGAGAAATGGCCATAAGGTCAGAACAGACCTATCTAGTCGAGTATATTAAAGCGCCCCGTCCAAGTCTGCGGCCCAGCCTGGGATGGGGCCAAACACGGCTTCCCGCCCTACGCCAAAAGCCTCTCTCAACTTTCCCCAACATCAGGCTCGCCGAGCTCCCAGAGCTCCAACATGTCGCTCCGAATCAATATCCCTCCTGCCACTCGGTTCTGTCTGATCGGCCTTCTCACCCTCTCTCTTCTGTACAACATTGCCAGATGGCGCCAAATTGACACCACCGGTGGAACCCCGGCGACCTCTCCTCTCGTACCGTACCTGACTCTCGTTCCCTCCTACTTCTATTATTACCCCTGGACCTTGGCCACGGCCACCTTTGTCGAGCAAAACATCTTCACCGTTCTTCTCAACTCCGCGACCATCTTCTATGGCGGCAAGTACCTCGAACGTGCGTGGGGCTCCCGCGAGTTTAGCAAGTTCATTGCCGTGATCGCCGTGATCCCATGTGTGCTTATGATCCCTATTTATCTATTCTGGAGGGCTCTCGGAGGCTCGTCCAGCACATCGTACGTCTCAGAAGCCAGATTCAGTCCCCAGCTAAACCAACGTCCCAGTCTCACTCAAATTTGTGGCGGTGTCTCGATCCAAGCCTCCTTCCTCGTCGCCTTCAAACAGCTGGTCCCAGAACACACTGTAACGATATTCAAAGGCTTAGTGAAGATGCGCGTTAAACATTTCCCCGCCTTGTTCCTCCTCCTCAACACCATCAGCGGCGTCGCTTTCGGAACAGACACAGCCGCGATCCTGGCATGGCTCGGCATTCTCACCAGCTGGTCCTACCTTCGCTTCTACAAGCGCCAGCCCGATCTGACCGGAACATCCAGTACCGGCAGCGGCATCAAAGGCGACGCCAGCGAGACCTTCGCCTTCGCCTGTCTTTTCCCAGATATCATGCAGCCGCCGATCGCGTTTGTCGCCGACCAGGTCTACACATTGCTAGTAGCAGTCAAGATCCTGCAGCCCTTCTCCGAAGATGATATCGCCTCTGGTAACGAACAGGTGCTGGCGCGTGGCGAGGCAGGCTTGCCGACTCTGTTGAACTCCCGCGGCTCAAGGGGAGCAGGCAAGCGCGAAGAAGCGGAGCGGAGACGGGCTGTTGCTCTGAAGGCTTTGGACCGCAGGCTGCAGGCTGCCTCTATTCCACGACCGCAGTCCTCTGTCGGCGAGTCCTCCCAGCGTCCTGCGACGCCTACCCCGGCCGCGGCTGGCCAGGGCATGCTTGGCGAGACGAGTTACAACCCCGACCATGAGTGAAGTAGCGTGGATTATTTTTTTACATTCTCGTTTGGCGAAGGCGCACTTCTGAGTTTTGAACATACTCGCATTCAGGAGCGGTCTGCGGATTGGCCTTCGCACGGGCACTGTGTCTATTATTGATGATTTATATGATCTATGGGATCTAGAGTTCTAGAGTTCCTGTTCTCCGTTCTGGATGTGGATCCAACAGCTTGATCCCATGCAATGCTGAAGCTTCAAGCGTTTATTTGAGATTATATTGGGATTTGTTCCCAGGCTTCATGCAGATTTCAAAGATATCACTAATGACTTCCACGTGTTGATGTAAATTTGATGCAGAAGGGCTCACTGAAGTATTGATTCTCGTGATTACCGACTATTCGCTCCCTCCATCGATCTCTAACTCCGCCGCCTCTTCGTCAAGTAAGGGCACAAACCGGAAATCAACGAAGCAGACAGGACCACTTGGCCCCTTCACGCCAGCGCCAACGGGCCTGCCAACTGGAACATTGGGATCGTCAAGCTCGACCATAAATTGTAGACTCAACACGCCCTGCCTATCTCCACGGATACTAACCTTGTTAGCAACCGACATGGCCCTCACAGCCTTGCGAATCAGCTCAAATCGATAGCTCTGTTGGATGCGCTCCCCCATAGAAGACGGAGGAGATACAAGGAATGTCTCCGTGACCGTAGGCGCAACTTTAGCCCTAGTGGCACGACTGCGGGAAGATCCATCGTCTGCGAGAACTTTGGACATCTGGGATTGCGTGGCTCCGTGACCACCTCCGCCGACAATCCCGTTATTTTGATCAACTGAGAATTCGACTGTTGACTCGCTGAAGGGACCGCCCGCACCGGAAAGGGCAAAATACGGTTCGCGCGTGGCGCAGGCAGATAGTTTGAGAACGTTGGGAGTTGAAGAGTCTAGCTCCGCAATGGCATTGTGCAGCCAAGCAGAGCGCATGATTATCTTCATGATAATAGTGTCACGTTGGAGAGGGATATCTGCTTCATTTTCGTCGGGTTCGTATGTCACAAGCTCACAGGTGGTTTTCACTCCTGCTTCCGTGATGGCGATAGTGAGAGGGGCGCCATGTTGATTATAATGTAGAGTGCAGAAGCGGTCCATCAGCAGAGTTGGGGCATTGAATGCACTTGATGAGGCAGGATTCGCTTGTGTGATACTGGTTTGTCGGGCTCGGTTGGACTCCAACTCATTGATGCCGAAAATTTTGAGGGTATCGAGGAGGGCGGATAGTGAGACGACGAAGTGGGGATAATTTTGATTTTGGGAGAATTCATCGTCGTTGGAAGTATCATTTTGGCTGGGTGTGTCGGCTGATGGATTGAAAGTATAGCTCGTGAAGAGCGATTTGTCGAGAAAAGCTAGTCCTTGGATCACACGGCTTTCTTCCGCTGAGAATCGAAGACCGTCCGGCGTGATTTGAACGGTGGCCTTGGGTGCGAATCCAATGCAGGAGAGCAGTGTGTAGAGGTGTTGGGCGTTGTTGGAGACGCCGACGAAAAGGGGCTCCATTATGGATGGATTGCTAGCTCGAGCTTTTGGGGCGTGGTATTGGCAAGGAACGATTTTAGGCTCGCAAGTGGATGATGCTTTGTATGTGCTAGCAGTATAGGCCCCTCTGAACCCAACGCTTATGGTACATATGAGGGGACGCGCAGTAATCAAGGCTGTCGTTTAAACGTAGACTCCGGCGGCACAGATCGTGAACACAGCTCCAAAGCTGCCCAGGGTTCCAATTAGTATACTGGATCTTGAGAATGGTGGCGCAACAGACTACTAACCCAAATGCCAGCGCGGCGGGTACACCCAATGAAGCGATGCCGAGCAGAGATCGATCTGATCACAGAATGTTAAAAAAATGCTCATTATCGTATATGCTCCAGAGCTGAAGGGTGTACTTACTAAGGCCGAAAAGAGTCCCGGTTACCAGTGCTAATGGAATGGTCAGAATCGGGCTGTTATCCGAAATGCGATAGCTGGAGAGCTTACCGAGGAGGAGCAAGTTGAAGCCGACAGAGAATTGAGCGTCTTTGCCAACAAGTGGGATGAAGGGAGTTTTGGAGGCTGCCTCCCAGACTTTGTTCAGAGACATTGAGAAAAAAGTGAATTGGCAGATATGGTTGAGAAAGACAAGAATGAAGTTGGAGATAGATCTATATGATGCGCCGGTGTTGATCTGGCCCGATCGGAGAATGATTAGTCCGATATTTTCCCCGGGACCCCCCATGTCATGCCGCGCAACTGCACAGCTCAATCCAACGTTGAGGTTCAGAGACAATATGGTCGCGGACTCTCCAAAAAGTAAGCCCTTGAATGTGTCAATTGCCCTCAAAGTGAACAGCTATCTAAATTACTATCAACCCAGGTTTCAAGCGTAAGGCCTCCGAAGAGGCAGCTTCCCCAGAATCTGGGCAACAGGCGAGCAAGAAGGCACGCACAGATTCACCAGATAAAGAAGTGAGGCACTGCAGCATCTGGCACTCTGTATATTTCATCTGACAATTATCTCACACAGGAAGATGGCCCTCTTCAGAAAGCTCCCCTTCGAATTGTTCCGTTCCCTGAAAAGGTATGTCTAGTCCTGTACTGGCACCCTATATACATCTACCTGGGGTCCTATAACTGACGTTACCAAGCCCGCCGTACTAGAAGAACGCCGTGGCGATATCGAATTCCGAGTGGTCAACAATGATGGTTCCCATGATAGCTTCATCGTCCTCACGGGTCTGAAGTGTATCTTTCAGAAGCAACTTCCTAAAATGCCCAAGGACTATATTGCCCGTCTAGTGTATGACCGGTCACATTTGTCCATGGCTATTGTCAAGCACCCTCTGGAAGTTGTCGGGTATGACTCGAGTCCTGGTTATTGGGATAGATGAAGGGTACTAACTTTCACTACAGAGGAATCACCTACCGTCCATTCAACACTCGCAAATTTGCAGAAATTGTATTCTGTGCTATCTCTTCAGATCAGCAAGTGAAAGGATATGGTGCCCACTTGATGTCCCACCTTAAGGTATGTCATTGTTCACCTACTATTGTGAGGCTCATACCTGACAATATTGCCTCTAGGATTACGTGAAAGCAACCTCTCCTATCATGCATTTCCTCACCTATGCCGATAACTATGCCATTGGATATTTCAAGAAGCAAGGCTTTACCAAAGAAATTTCGCTTGACAGGTCGATTTGGATGGGATACATCAAAGACTATGAGGGTGGCACCCTGATGCAGTGTACCATGCTCCCCAAAATCCGATATTTGGAGATGGGCCGCATGCTCACCAAACAGAAGGAGTCTGTACAGGCCAAAATCCGTGCCTTCAGTCGCTCACATATTGTCCACCCACCTCCTAAGGAATGGAAGAACAAGGTGTATGCAATCGATCCCTTGAGCATCCCGGCAATTAAAGAGTCCGGGTGGTCGCCTGACATGGATGAACTGGCTCGCCAACCTCGCCACGGGCCTAATTACAATCAACTGCTGCATCTGTTGAATGACATGCAGAACAACAGTGCAGCCTGGCCATTCACCCAACCAGTGAACCGCGATGAGGTTCCTGACTACTATGAGGTGATTATGGAGCCTATGGATCTTTCTACCATGGAAGAGAAGCACGAAAAGGACCTGTATCCGACTCCGCAAGATTTCATCAAAGATGCTATGTTGATCTTCGACAATTGCCGAAGATACAACAACGAGACTACCCCCTATGCTAAAAGTGCAAACAAACTCGAGAAGTTCATGTGGCAGCAAATCCGGAACATCCCTGAGTGGTCGGTGAGTATTATGTTCTGAAGGCTGCTTTTTTAAAAAAATATGTGCTGACCTTTACTTTCAGCACCTTGCCGATAATCATTGATCTAGGAACGAAAATCTGACTACAGCGACGGTGTTTTTCGGGAATGGCGTTGGGGCATTGGAGTTTTCGGCAATACCCTGTTTCTTAAATGATTACGATACAAAGTCGCACTAGTTCATAGTGAGCTTTGAAATCAACTTCTGATCAATTCTTCGTAAACAATGTGCCCAGTAACCAGCCCAGTAAACATAACTGTGGTGACGTAGGTTGAGACATATTAAGCTTTCCAACGGTCCCCATTCTCCCGAGGTCCACTTGGGGTAGAAATTCCGTCGGGGCAAATAATCATTCTGACATTGAACATTCTTCCAATGCCTCGAGGTAGACCAAAATCTCAGCTGGCTCCGTGCCGGTTCTGTAACCGAGAATTCAAGCGGCTGGAGCATTTGAAACGACATGAGCGTACCCGTGGGTAATGCTCTCCCCTTGTCTCTTCAAAGCTAATCCTGCAATCGTCCTAGACACACAGGAAAAGCCGTTCCACTGCCAGTGTGGAAAATATTTCTCTCGACAGTGAGTTCTCAAGCAATCTATAGCATGCTTTCTTTAATCTAAAAGATATCGCTTTAGGGACCTGCTAAGCCGCCATGAAAGACTTCATCATGCGAAAGGGTCGACCAACCGGTCAAATTCGACCTTGGCTAGCCCGGAGCTGGTTGAAGAAACTGGAGATGGGTCATATCTCCAGATAGATGATTCAACACAGCTCCAGCCGAGCTTGCATGGCCCAGCGTGGTCAGATACAACTCTCACCGGTTCTAATGTGCCTCCGGTGACCGAGAGCTCCTATGGAATGGACATGACACAAGACGCTCTGCAATTACCAGTTCTTTCTTGGGACAATGATGCATTTTCATTTGACGATTTCATACCATCACATTTCCTCGATACAGACGTCTCTCTCAGTGATCTGTTCCAGCAGGCTCCGGTCCACAAAGAGTTGGGACCAAACGCACTTGCTGGATCTGGCTCTTTTTCGGAGCTTCAAAACCACACTCTGACGCAGAACCCAAACTCTGTATCACACAATGCATTGCATGACAACATGAATTTGAAACAGCCCCCGCGGTTCCCATCTATGGGTGATCATGTGGACATTAGCAACATGGACACGAGATCGAATGTTGCCAATTGTCCATGGGCTGTGTCACTCTCTGATTACAAGATCATTGTTGATAGAATCACGACACCTCAGACTGCGTTGCTGAACATGCCAATTCCATCAAAGTGTGCTCTTGTGCGCTATCTTGAGGGCTATTTTCGCAAATTCCATGACCATCTGCCGTTTCTTCATGCTGCTTCGTTTCGGCCGGAGAATATAGGCATCGAGCTACTCCTTTCCATGTCTGCAGTTGGTGCCTTTTACTGCTTTGAGAATGCTGAAGGCTATCGTTTATATGGAACAGCGCGATCTTTGATTAATTACGCTCTCGAGTCTCAGCGCCGTAAACTGATTGATCGACTAACATCTCAAGCTCCAAGATCCATGACAAAGGGTGTTACAGCCGATCAGTCAGTTTGCTCGCCTCCTCTGCTGTCACATACGGCGGAGACTCCTCAATCAGATTACTCGTCAATTGAGGGGGAAGGCTCGCAGGCTCGGCTTGAAAGAGCACAAGCACTGATCATCCTGACTGCCGTGGGCGCTTGGGGAGATAAATCACTTCTTAAGGATAGTCTGGCAATGAGCAGTCAGCTCGCGGACTTGGTGCGCCAGCTCGGAATCAGCAAGCCAGACGATGCCAGCAAGTTGAATCTTGGGTGGGTGGCCTGGACAGCTCACGAGCAACTACGGCGCACATTGCTGGTAGCCTATATTATTCTTAACCTAAACAGCATCATATCCGATGTCCCGCCTGTGATTCTGACCCATGAAGTCGCTCTGTGTCTCCCATCCTGCGAGGCTGAATGGGGTGCCAATTCAGCAGTCGCTTGGCAGCGGCATCGCGAGGTTTCGGCTCTGAGGGAGCGTCCATTGGTGCAAACATTGAATCAATTGTTCGCGGGTCAGAGCATATGTGACGATTGGGGCGTGTCGGCATTTTCAAACTATGTCTTGATCATTGCCATCATCCAAAAGATATACTTTGAGATCCAAATTTGCCGAGACACAGTACCTATTCAGCCCGAGCTTCTCAAAACTTTTGAGAGAGCCCTCAAGTTGTGGCAGCATTCATGGGAGACCACATGGGAGTCTACTCTTGACCCAAATTCACCCAAGGGCCCTATTGGATTCAATGCAACAGCTATATTGCGCCTAGCGTATATACGACTCAACATCAGAAGGGGGCTTTGTCATAGCTTCGTCGCCAGTGACAATTTGAAGATCACCGAGGTATTCGCCAATCTCAGAGGTATATCCCTGTCCCGAAATGCTCCTTTGGATCGGGCAATTCTTCAATGCATCCATGCCCTCAGCATCCCTGTAAGGGTTGGTATTCAAAACGTGGCCCGCACCCAGGTGATGCATTGGGGCATTCAACATTTGATATGTCATCTCGAGTGCGCATTACTTCTGGCCATATGGGTACAGAACATCGCAGAGGCTGTTCAGGCCAATGGTATCGCTTCTTTGCGCGGTGATGAAATAAAGCTACTCACTATGGTGAAGGGCCTGGTGAAAGAAACCCATCTGAAAGACAGTATCGTTTACCATGAGGAGACGGCGGCAAATATGTATCGACTCGCGGTATCTATCGCTCGACTTTGGGCTGAGATATCTGGCGGAACGCACATCTTTGACATTGTTTATCGCGTTGGAAACTGCTTGTCGGTGATCTCCAATACTCTGGAGTTGGAACATTCTGCCTTGTAATATTTAGCTATTTGGAATAGGTATCTTCCAAGGTTCTGAACATTCAATAAGATCAACAAATTACTAGGTGTCACTCCCATCAAACAAAATAAAATTAACCCTCTTCCAAGGTGCCATCGCGGACCGTGGAGCTGCATGGGGCTAATAGTAATTGTCTACTATCTACGGAGTAGGTGGGTACTAGGTAGGTAGCCCGCATGTAATGCATAGATCCAGGAACCTTGGAAGCCCCTGGGACATTGAAAGTCACCTCAACACCTGAGCACGTTGACTTGATTATGAATCACCTAATGCCCAGGTGGGCGTCGAGTTTAATATTTTCCTTCGTCATATTTCCAACTTCTCCATAGATCCATGATGCTCATTGGGGTTAAAAATCAGGGTCGGGGTAAAAAATGTACATATAAATATCGCTCAAGTTTCTCCCCACGAACATCAGATCTACTTCAAGAAACAACTCAATTAAGACCTTCCAAGGTTTTGCCTGCTTCAAAATGTCGACTCAAACTGCCCTTCGTCTTACTGGTCGCAACTCATGGGAACAACTGGCCGCATTCCAAGAGCCCCGTCCCACAGCCGGCAAGCATGAGGTCCTCATTAAAATGCGAAGTGCCGCATTGAACTTCCGCGACATTGCTATCTCTACTAGCAAATATCCATTCAAGGTCAAGGACCAAGTTGTCCCTGGCTCTGATGCAGCGGGTGACATCGTGTCCGTTGGTGAAGGAGTCACTGGCTTCAGTGCAGGTGACAAGGTCGTTGTCTCTTTTGACCAAGTTACACAATATGGTCCGATCAAGAACTGGGAGAATGGGCTTGGTGGGCCAGTCGACGGCGTCCTGAGAGAGTATATTTCTGTCCCTGCGCAGACTGTCGTCAAGATCCCGAGCCATTCCACTCTGAGCTACGCCCAATGGGCTAGCGTGGTCTGCACCGGTGTTACAGCATGGAACTCTCTGTATGGGGTTTCTGCAATTAAGCCTGGCCAGACTGTTCTCTTCCAAGGTAAGTTACTCGACGTCTGCTGAAGTTATACAAGTCTCTAATATCTGGCCGAAATAGGCACTGGTGGTGTCTCTATCACTGGCCTCATTCTGGCTAAGGCCGCTGGCGCTAAGACGATTATCACATCTTCATCCGACGAGAAGCTGCGACATGTGAAGGAAAAGTATGGTGTTGACTTCACCATAAATTACAAAACAACACCGGACTGGGCCGCTGAAGCCCAGAAGATCACCAATGGCCAAGGCGTGGACTATATTTTGGAAAATGGTGGGTCTGGAACCATTAAGCAATCCCTTGACGCTATTGCTTTTGGTGGAGTCATCTCTGTCATTGGTTTCCTGGCGCAGGCTTCACAGGATGAAATGCCCGATGTTTCGACTCTTGCTTTGAGTAAGGCTGCAATTGTGCGTGGTATCATCATTGGCTCGAAGCAGCAGTTAGAAGAGGCTGTGCGTTTCATCGGCGAAAAGAACCTCGAATTGCCGGTTGAGAAGACTTTCAAGTTCACTCGCGATCAGGTTGTTGAGGCCTACGCTTATCTCACGAGTGGCCAACATGTTGGAAAGGTTTGCATTGACTTCTGAGGTCGATTTGATAGAAACGTCATAGCAAATTGCCGATCAATGTGATGGATATTGATCTAAACTTAGAGAATTGGGGTAGAAATTGTGGGGATGACATGTTAGGGTCGGTTTATTGGCACAGGATCTCTACTCCGTGCGAGTATTGCATGAGTATGGGATGAGTTTAACATAGAGAGCATACAAGGCCTTGCAACCGTGAAAATAAGAATATTAAGGATAGACATGATGCAATAACCTAAATGTTTTCCTTAATTTCCCCCTGACGAGCACACCCCGGATCATCGTTGTTGCGCCGTTTCAAAGAGAATGCGGATGGCTGGACCATCCTCAATTGCTTCACCCTTACCTCGGTCTTTCGTTTCGTTGCCCTTTCGTTTCGAGTGCTGTTGCTGAGCAATTGTCCACCTCGTTTATGCTTGATTAGCGCACTTTAAGGGGGTCCTCTCATCCGCTGCGTACCGCGCGTGGTTTTCGTCTCAAACCCCTCCTGTCGCTCTCAAATCACCAATTTTTCACTTCTTCGATCGCTTGGATATTGCCTGCACTCGCTGAGGCTGCCTGAGATTGTTTGCTACCGCGAATTCGCCCTGCCAGCACCCCTATCTGCGCCCCTCCTTCGTTTTGAAATCTCGGTGCTGGTCATTTCACCGTTGTTTACAATAAGCCCACCATCATGTCTCACCACGACATTTCCGACGCGGAGTCGCGTAACCGTCTCCCTACCCTCTTTGAGGTCCTGAGCCGTCGAACTCTTGCTCCAGTCGACCTCTTCTCATTCTACATTTACATGCGAGATCAACAGCGCTCGGTAGATTACCTAGACTTCTGGTGAGATCTTACACTGCTTTTGTGCTCAATAGCCCTTGTTGACCATCATTTTAGGCTTGATGTATCCCAGCATATGCTACTGTGCCGACACTATGTCCGAGAACTCCGACGTTCTGTCTTGGTCGCTACTCCCGACATTGAGCGAGCCGACAGCAAACAATCATCTACCATGCTAGACAACCTGGAGAATCTGGGAGATATCCCATTAGAGGAAGCCGGCCCCTCTCGCATGCGACACGGTTTCCAAGAAAATGAGAAGGGCAGAGATGCCGACCAACGTTTATCGGCCTTCCTCCGCTCCGAGGGTGCCACTTCATCACCGTCCCGCCAAAATAGTCTGGGCTCATCCAACGAGTCAGCACGCCGGGTTCCTTCCAATGAGGAGGGTCGTCATACACCGGACTCACGGAACAACGACTCGACCTCACCTGGTCACACCGTGGACCGCAATGACATTCGCGCCAGCGCCGAGAAGATCCTGTACACATATCTGCTTCCCGGCTCCGAACGAGAAATCATGCTTCCGGAAGCTATGGTCTCCACAATTATTAACCTGGTTGAAGATGACGGCAGAGACGATCCCGAGGTTTTCGACCCCGCCAAGGACTACGTGTTCCAGGCTATGGAGCGTGATGCTTTCCCCGGATTTTTGCAGGCAAAGGCTTTGGGAAATATCGTCCCCCTCAGCACTATTCTGCGTCTTGCGTTTGCTCTGATCAGCTTCGGCGGTGGCTTCTGGGGTGCTTTCTACGTTGTGCTACGCGACAAGCCTCGCAATATTCGCTGCTGGGTAAGTCTTACATGCTTTTCAGCGTTTCTATTTTTCCGTTGCTAACTTGAGCCCAGATTATTCTCCCATTCGCTGTTGCGTCGTACTTCATTATCTCCTACCACTATAAGATTGACCCAATCATGGCGTTTTTGGGCTACAGTGAATACACATTCATGAACTGGGCCCCGATTCGCGAGCCATATGTTCGGAAGCTTTTGAACAAGCGTGCTCTTGTGACTGCGATGATTGCCTTCGTGACAGCCGCGGCCTTGAGCATCCTGTTCATTTTCGTCCCCGGAACCATGCTATGAGTGTTGTCCCAAATACAACCGGGCAGCCTTTTCCACCAACCTAATATCGAAAATCACTTGTGTCGCCAATCAGAGGAGCCAGTGATCAAGCCGTCAGCCATTTCGATTCCCGAGGTCGGGATTGACGCCGTCTACTCGCTTATCAGCGGTCTCCTTCACTTTGTCTTGTCCATATTTATTGCGTTCCTTGCCTTGCTGTGATTTCTTCTATTCTAACAATACCCCTATTGACTTTCAGATCTTGTATTGTATGTATTGACCATCTGATGAGCGTCGCCTTTCGGCCTTACGAATGAAAATTTACTGTTGCTCTCCCACCGAAACAACCTAATGCGTACCACGCAGAATCGTAATCAAATCGTTTCATATCATAAACATCGCCCCAGGACGGACCGCTAATTCCCGTAGAGCATGATGGCCGTGGGACGAAATGAAGCCGGATAAAGCCATGCGATAGATCTCACTTCAGGACTTGCGCCCTAAAACACGTTTGGGCTGCCGATTGGCCCCACGAGGGCCATAATCCTCATCGATATCCATGCGGGAGCCACCACCACCAGTCGTGTCAAAGAAGCCATCATCTTCCTCAATATTACCGGCATCTCTTTTACTCCCCCCAGCCCCAGCTCCAAGACGAGCACCGCCCCGCCTGTTCCTCCCCCACGGGCCACCATCTTGTCGCTTCTTCAAGGCCTCCTCGATAGCGTCTTGCTTGGTCTTGCTCTTTGCAGCCCGCTTGACAGCATTGCTCTTGATGAGTGCGATCTCCGCTTCAAGATCCGCGACCACCCCGTCACACCGTGAGCTCCAATCTCTCAGATCTTTGACCATCAATGGGATAGACGTGGGGCACACGTCGCGTAGTGGAGCGACGGCTGTGATGCTCACGGAGGGTGGATTGGAGGCGGGCGAGAGACGGGCTGTGATCATGGATGCGTAGATGGCGGTTGTCACCAGTGATTCGAGCTCGGCTTTTGTGGGGATGGCGAGGGCCTCCATCAGTGCGGAGTAGGTGAGGGGTTTGATTTTCGTGCATAGCGTTAGAAGAGAGAGAAGACGGAGTTTCAGGGTTTGCTCGGGGTTCAATTTGGGAAGGCCTGGAGTCGCTGCAGTGTATTGCCGATTAGTTTCGGGTTTCGGTCTTCGGTCGGGTTGATCAGGCATTTTTCGTGAATGACTTGCCGAATTCCTGTCTCGGGGTAAGATCTTACCTTGGTATTCCGAATAGGTGCCCCACGCAAACACCTCTAGTAGCGTCAGGTAGGCTCCAAACTCCTGTGAATGTTCCGGTGACCGTAGTGCCTGGACGGCGGGCTCGCCGAGTAACTCCCCGAAGACATAGGTTTGCGGGCTGGAAGTGACATTTGTGATCAGATTGGCGATGAACCTTGGCGAACTGGCGCTATTTGATTGTGCCAAATGGATGAAGGGCTGGAGAGCCTCGATGGCCCGTGTATGAGACTGGTCCATGTTGATATGAAGATGATGTGGGGAAGAGGAGCTCGACAGCTTAGAGGGCAAGTGGTTGAGATGTTTGCACTCGGTGCAAACATGCTTTATCTGATGCGCCAAGGGCCTTAGATTGTGTCTACAATAGTACTGACTCACTTTAAGTCTTGCACCCTAATATTGATTTCAGAGGATTATCTTTGAATATGAGACCAGTCCGACTACTTTCAATTCCACTCCGAAGACTCCGCATTCGTATTGGCATAAGCATAAGCACTTATGTAGTTCGTAAATCAGCTGACATACTCAGGTACAAGGTTGATCTCTGTAAATCTTCTGAAACCACGACATCTGTCAACATGATTAGTCTGTTTCAGGCCTGAATGACACCGCAAATCAGCCTTAGAATTCTTTTCATTGATGGAGAGGCAATCTTATTTGCTGACTCGATTGAGAAGTCGCCTATTGAATCAGCTGCCCATATGGCATCTGCATTCCACTCGGCGGAGAGAGATCCACCTTGCGTAATTAACTCCGCCCTCCATTTCTCGTCCTTCATTTCTCGCTCCGGGCCTAAGTGTCTAGGCTCATTTATTTAGTCGGGCTGCGGGAACCTTTTTTTTTCCTTTGGCTTTTCTTTGACTTTTGATAGCCTCTCTTTGTTGACTTGATCCGGGAATGATCGGTGTCTTACGCCATCCGTAAGGTTCCGTTCCTCGTCACGCTATCACACCCTTCGCTCGCGACGGCGGCTGGTCGATCATAAACAGAGCGCAGTCGCCAGGGGCTCTCGACACCAGAGTCGGCGGTTAGAACGGTCGCCTTCGCCCTCGGGCTTCGCTACCAGGATCTCACTCAGTCCTGTCAGCGGGATCGGTCGATCAACCATGGCTACCACAACTATCAAGGTTGATGGTATGACCTGCGGCGCATGTACCTCTGCAATTGAAGGCGCATTCCAGGGGGTAGACGGCGTCCATGATGTCTCCATAAGTCTCATTATGGGGAGGGCTGTTGTGCAACATGATCCCTCTGTGTTACCGCCAGCAAGAGTCGCGGAGATGATCGAGGACTGCGGTTTCGATGCAGCTGTCTTATCGACCGACGAAAAAACGACTTCCGACGTCGCCCATGCTAAACAAATCTCGGTTACCAAACTGGCGGTTGAGGGTATGACATGTGGTGCATGCACATCTGCAGTGGAAAGTGGACTGAAAGACGCCACTGGGATACATTCGGTGGATGTATCACTACTTTCTGAACGTGCGGTGGTGGAACATGACACCGACCTTATCACCGCGGAGCAGATTGCAGATATCATTGAGGATCGAGGATTTGGGGCACGGGTATTGGACACATCTGTGGTCGGGCCCCAAACTTCAACGTCGATCGGGTCAGAAGAGAAATCCGGGATACTGGCCACGACTGTGGCTATAGGAGGCATGACATGTGGCGCTTGTACATCAAGTGTGGAAAGCGCACTAAGCTCTGTGGACGGAGTGATCCAATTCAACATCAGTCTCCTGGCCGAACGCGCGGTCATTGTTCACGACTCAACAATCATCCCGGCAGAGAAAATTCCAGACTTAATAGAAGATGTCGGCTTCGATGCCTCCATCGTGTCGTCAGAGGCGCAGGTCCCCTCATCGAAGAAGACACAGAAACTGAAATTGACTTTGCATGGCTTGCGGGACGGTGCTTCTGCAACTGCATTGGAGGACAAGCTTGTACAGCAACCCGGCGTCCAGTCAGCGTCTATAACAATGGCGAAGTCACGTTTACTGATTGAAATTGATTCCTCTATCATCGGTATCCGGTCTGTGGTCGAAGTGATCGAATCTGCTGGCTACAATGCGTTGCTGGTAGACTCTGATGATAACAACGCGCAACTTGAATCCTTGTCGAAAACCAAAGAAATTCAAGAATGGCGAAGATCATTCGCCACCGCCCTCGCCTTTGCAGTCCCTGTCTTTTTGATCAGCATGATCCTCCCAATGTACTTACCGAGCCTCGACTTCGGCGCCTTCGAGCTGATTCCAGGCCTTTATCTCGGTGATCTCATATGTCTTTGCCTCACGATTCCGGTACAGTTTGGGATTGGGAAACGATTTTACGTTTCCGCCTTCAAGTCATTGAAGCATCGATCCCCAACTATGGACGTCCTCGTGATACTAGGAACGTCGTCGGCCTTCTTTTACAGCTGTTTCACTATGCTGATGGCGCTTTGCAGCATGCACCACATGCGCCCCAGCACGGTTTTCGATACCAGCACTATGCTGATCACATTCGTCACTCTGGGACGTTGGCTGGAGAACAGAGCCAAGGGTCAAACATCTGCTGCCTTGTCTCGTCTCATGTCGTTGACTCCGTCCATGACCACAATCTACGAAGATCCCATAGCAGGTGAAAAATTGGCCGAGCGCTGGGCCGCTAAGGCTGCACACGCTGCGTCCCAACCGCCCGCTTTGGCAGAAGATATGACGGTGGGCCACAAATGCATTCCCACCGAGCTTATTCAGGTTGGCGACATCGTCATTCTTCACCCTGGCGATAAGATATCTGCCGATGGTCTGGTCATCCGAGGCCAAAGTTATGTCGACGAGAGCATGATCAGTGGAGAAGCTCTTCCAATCCACAAAACAAAAGGAAGCCATGTCATTGCCGGCACAGTGAATGGAACAAACTCAATTGATTTCAAAGTCACCCGCACTGGCAAGGATACTCAACTGAGTCAGATTGTGAAGCTAGTCCAAGACGCACAGACTAGCCGTGCCCCTATCCAGCGCATGGCTGATATCGTCGCTGGCTACTTTGTCCCCGCTATCATCAGTCTTGGACTGATCACGTTCTTTGGCTGGATGTTCCTCGCTCACGTACTGCCTCATCCACCAATGATCTTTGAGGTCGCGGGCAGTGGTGGCCGGGTCATGGTTTGTCTGAAACTATGTATCTCTGTCATCGTCTTCGCCTGCCCTTGCGCCCTCGGACTCAGCACTCCAACTGCCGTCATGGTCGGCACCGGAGTCGGCGCAGAGCAGGGTATCCTTGTCAAAGGAGGCGCTGTCCTGGAAGCCGCCACTAAGGTTACCCACGTTGTCTTCGATAAGACTGGAACCCTGACCACAGGCAAGATGAGTGTGGCTCACACTCGGATCGAGCCTCAATGGACCATGAATGACTGGCGCCGCCAGCTCTGGTGGCTCATCGTGGGTCTCGCAGAGACCGGCAGTGAGCACCCAATTGGCAAGGCGATTCTCTCTGCGGCGATGACCGAGTCTGGAAATCCCGGAGAGGACGGGCTACCGGGTATCATGGGCGACTTTGATAACTGTGTCGGCAAAGGCATCTTCGCCATCGTCGAACCCGCGTCTAGTGGCGAGCGCATCCAGCACCGGGTCCTCCTTGGCAATGCCGAGTTCCTCCGTTCGAAGGATGTCCCTGTTCCTGCGGATGCGGATCCAGACTCCGTCGCATCTGGATCTGCCGTTGATGGAAACCAAGAAGCTGACACGCCCAAGCCTGTAACCAATGGTTCCGGTATCACATGCATTCATGTCGCTATCGACGATCGGTATGCCGGCACGATTTCCCTTCGCGATACAGTAAAGGATACAGCACGGGCAGCCGTGGCAGCTTTGCACCGCATGGGTATTTCGACATCAATGGTAACAGGTGATACGCTTTCAACAGCGACCGCAATCGCCACAGCTGTAGGGATTCCCAAAGCTTCAATCTACGCCTCCGTTCTTCCCTCTGGGAAACGTGAAATCGTCTCCTCTCTTCAAGAAGAAGGCGAACGTGTCGCTATGGTCGGTGACGGTATCAACGACTCCCCAGCCCTGGCGACTGCATCCGTAGGAATCGCCTTGGCATCTGGAACCGACGTTGCCGTTGAGGCAGCCGATATTGTCCTTATGCGTCCGGACGACCTTCTCTCCGTGCCAGCCAGTCTGGCACTTTCTCGCTCGGTCTTCGCCCGTATCAAGTTGAACTTGATCTGGGCTTGTCTCTACAACATCATCGGCCTGCCATTCGCCATGGGTATCTTCCTCCCTTTCACTGGCTTCATGCTACCTCCCATGGCAGCAGGTGCCGCCATGGCTCTCTCGAGTGTCTCTGTTGTTGTCAGCAGTTTGTTACTCAAGCTCTGGCGCCGTCCGTCCTGGATGCGGACTGAACGCCTTGAGAAAGAGCTACATTCTGGCCTGATTTCTGCGGCTAGCTCTCAACGCGGCCATGCTGGCCGGGCGGGCTGGTGGGCTCCCGCTGCCACCTCTTCGGGAGACCCGCGCTCTCTGTGGCGCCGGGTTGGGGGTGCTGGCTCTTCACTGTGGGCTCTTGTTACCGGTAAACCAAGGGCCGTTGAAGACGCCGGCTATGTCCCACTGCAGACGTATGAACAGCCGGTCTGAATTCGAAGCGTTTGTCTTATATTTTGATGACTATTTTATGTTTAACCTTCCAATGCTGGAAGCGTCTATTGTCAATCCCAGAGATTCGGTGTTTACATAACGATTTTTCGGTTTTTCAAGTCTTTGTGACTGGTGCATCTAGATCCTCAGCGCCTCTTTTAACGAAATTCATGCATTCTTCTATGGCGGTACATCCACATATAAAACACCGAAAATACACGAAGCTTCATGTGAGCAAGTCTGACGTATATCTCATCCCAGATTCTTCAATCAAAACTATGTATTCTACTAAAGCATTCGCCCTAGAACTTCCAAGATGGGCTCATCGGGACCGACACAGATTCTCGGGACCGAGCGAACCATATCGCCCGGATTCTCTCACCAACACCTTGTACATATTTTGTCTGCCTTCGGTTCCGAACAACTGCATTTTCACTCAATTCTGTGGATTGTCATTCTTATTTTTAGCAAAACCTTGGAAGTGGAGAGTCTTGCCTCCCGATATGAAGGCAACTATAAGAACAATGTTTCCACCCGGCTTTTCCTAGCATCACCCTCCCCTGGCCATTCGGAAGAACAGTCAATTACAATTTCACCATGTCCCACTCAATGCTTGGCCCTATCGCCATCGTCGGCGGTGGCCCGTGTGGGTTAACACTTGCACGTCTACTCGAAACAGCCGGCTTCGACTACGTCGTCTTTGAGCGAGACGCAACAGCAAAGCCAACGCCGCGTTTCCAAGGCGGCACCTTAGACCTGCACCCGGAAACAGGCCAGGAAGCACTGCGCCAAGCGGGTCTATCCGCAGAATTCGAGAAATTAGCTCGCCGTGATGCAACGACAATGACCGTCCAGGACTCCCAAGGCAACCTGCGCACAACATTTGGCGAGACACGCGATGCCCCAGAGATTGACCGATTGCAGCTACGGACGATGCTGCTTGACTCGATTCCAGCGCATCGTATTCGCTGGGGAAAGTCCCTTCGCTCCGTTGAGAAGAACAGCAAGGAGTCGTCAGATCCCTCGAACTGGGTCTTGCGCTTTTCTGATGATACGACTGAAAGTGGATTCAGTCTGATAGTTGGTTCTGATGGAGCCTGGAGTAAAGTTCGTCAGATTGTGAGTCCTTCATACTATATATGTTTAGGCGACTTCGCTAACAGTCTTCAGATCACACCGGCTAAGCCGCAGTATTCGGGCAAGATCTTCATCGAAGGTCGTCTTTCCCTCGACAATCCAGTATATAACGCAGCCCTGGAAATGGTGGGCGCCGGTAATTCATTGGCCATCGGAGCTGAGCAATCTCTCGTCGTGCAGCAGATGGCCGATCGATCATACCGTGTATACATGGGCCTTGTTGCACCTGAAAACATCGCCCGGCCCGGTGGAGAAGTTGATTTAACTGATATGGGCAAAGCGCGTGCCGCCATGCTTGCACCAGGTGGGCATTTCGATAACTGGGCTCCAGAACTGCGGGCCTTCATTGAGGCTGCCGAGGGACCATGGCGCGCTTGGCCTCTTTATCGCATGGACCCTGACGTTTTCCTGCCTGTGACTGGAACCGAGGATAGGGATCTAGGCCGATGGGTTTCTTCCCCAGGTGTGGCATTGTTAGGAGACGCTGCTCACATATCAATCCCGAATGGTGAGGGTGTCAACCAGGCCATGTATGATGCTTTGGTTCTATTTGAAAGCATATCAAGGGAGGCTGGCGCTGATGCCAGGCTTGAATCCGATGAGACTCGGAAAGCGGCTCTTGGGCGCGCTGTCGTTGCATATGAAGCCGAAATGCTTCCCCGGGCTCGTGAGCATCTCCTTCACTCCATCGAAGACGAGGGTATGTTTTGGGGTGAGGATGCTGCAGCTCGTTTAGTTCAAATGTTCAACAAGATGGCGAAGCAGAGCCATCAGGATGTGTGATATATGCTCTCACGAGTACCTAGGTAGATTTGGGGTTGGTGTTGAAACTGCATGGCTTGTATAATATTGTACCTACATAGATCAGGACGCACATTTCTGCGAAATTTACCAAAGATTTAAACGTTTTGATATTTCTTGATGAATTCATAAGGCCTTTGTCCAGTTGCCCAGGTGTACAACATTGTCAAGTAATATGAGGTACATACCTAGCCATTCGAAGGTTTGAGTACTTAGCCCTGGAGGTAAACCGAGGAGTCGATCAAGCTAGGGGAGCCTCAAATCCATGTGTCTATGGCTCTCTCAAATGGGTTTATGAATCTGCCAACTATTGGTTGCGATAAAACAGCATGGAAATTTCTACTCAGACAATCGATAAAATCTTGTAGGTCGTCATTCATGATGCTAGAAGTCAGGTAAAGCCAACTTAAATTCACAAAAAAGGCAATGTCAAATCAAGGAACCAGTAGATGCTTATGTTTCCTTCGCGTCCGGCGCTTGGGAGGACTCGCCCGTTGTTTTGGACTCGGCAGCTTGGGCTTCAGTAGTCGGGTCTTCGTCCTTCGCTTCCTCCTTTGATTTGGTGTCTTGGAGAACGATATCACCATCTTTGTCCGCGGCCAATTCGGTCTTGGCAAGTGCCTCTATCCCAGGCGTTTCCCCAGTTGCAGAGGTGACGGCAGGTACGGCAGATTCACTTTCTGCGCCCAGGCTCACTTCTACACCTTTGCCATCCTGAAGGCCCATGTCTTCGACGCCGAGGAGAACTGGACCACGAGCATGGGGCACCTCGTCGGATGGCTCCGGGGAGGCTGTGGGGGCCCCGTCTTCCGTTTCAGGCAGTGTGGTGGCTACTGCATCAATTTGTCCCTCTGAATACAGAGACATAGGTTCATCGACAGCTATAAACAGGTATTAGCAAAATCCCAAGCCAGAAACGAGGCAGTGAAGTGAATGGACATACACTCGCTTAGTACGTTCGTATCCGCATTTGCATCGGCGTCTTCACCATCAAATGAACTGCTATTCAACCATGGAATTGGTGTAAGTAGCGCACCACCCAGAGATTCATCGCTTCCTAGGCCCTGAAGATAGTCCGGAGCCACGGAGATGCCGCTGGGTTTCCCGGGATTTCCGAGTCCGTTGGACTGGGCGTCATCAGCAGCTGGAGTTTGGAATGGGAAGATATCCGCGGAGCTTGTGACTGATGTGACACGGTCGACGGCGCGTAGGTACGCAGGTAGTGTTTTGTAGTGCTTTGTGGGGTAAAGGATGAGCTCTGCTAATCTCTGGATGGTGTGTGGGGGCTTGTCCGTGAAGAACGAGTGGATGGATGAGCGGATTGCATTCAATAGCAGAGCCAGTTGGGGCGGAAGGGTGTCTGTGCTCTGGCTAGACTGTTGGGGCTGTGAGTCTGGAACGCGCTCGGTCGACGCAGGACCAGCTTGCGCATCTTGGGGTGAGGCCTCGGGGTCTGCGGGCGCGGCATTCTCTTTGTTACTACTTTCGGGTGGGACATTGTTCTCTTCTGAAGAGTTCGGGAAAGGCTGGACCCCTAAGGGCTCGGGGCGCACTTGGGGCATGGGAAACACATTGTACACGATCTGTATTCACTGGTTAGATGGTTTCATTGCGAGGACCAGAAAGGTGTTGCGCACGTGTTCTAGCCGTTCGATCATCGATGCAGCAATGCCGTCCCATCTCGATCTGTGTCGTCGCGTTAGTTCCAAGAGGGATCACGCCTCCAGGTGTGTTTGACGTACAACTCAATCGAGCCGCCATTGGCGGCTGTTTGAAGAGCTTCTTCATCTGCGGTTCACAGATTAGCATACTGAAGCAGCTAAGTTCCACGCCTTGCGACTGTAAAGATTTACTCACCCAGAGCCATTGTTCAGTCAGCTGCGCATGAGAGAGGAAGTCGAAGCTCAAGCGCGACAAGGTACTGTGGCGGTGACAACGGTGATTGGCCCGAGCTTATCGATAGATACACGTGACTCTCCGCGAATTTTCGGAGCTGAGGGGCACCGTCGATCTCTCGCTGTACGCATCCTGAGCAATTGACTCATATATTTCTTCAATTCGACATCATGTGGAACTCCCCCAAAGTTGGAATCCTCGGTGGTGGCCAGTTGGGCCGTATGCTCGTCGAGTCCGCCAACCGATTGAACATCCAAGCCAACGTCCTAGACGTCGAGAACTCTCCCGCCAAGCAGATCAGTGCCCACGACGGCCATGTCACCGGTTCCTTCAAGGAGCGCGAATCCGTGCGTAAGCTGGCCGAGTCCTGCGACGTTATCACCGCCGAAATCGAGCACGTCGACACTTACGCCCTCGAGGAGGTTGCCTCCAAGGTGCGGGTGGAGCCCAGCTGGCAGGCTATCCGGACAATCCAGAACAAGTTCAACCAGAAGGAGCACCTTCGCAAATATGGAATTCCTATGGCCGACCACCGCGAATTGCAAAACAACACACCCGAGGAATTGGCGCAGATTGGCGAGCAACTGGGCTACCCGATGATGCTGAAGTCGAAGACTATGGCATACGACGGACGTGGTGAGTCACGCATACTCTCAGAAATCCATACTCTTTTACTGATGACATATAAGGAAACTTCCGTGTCAACTCTACAGCAGATATTCCCGAGGCTCTTGAGGCTCTCAAGGACCGACCCCTCTATGCGGAGAAATGGGCCTACTTCAAGATGGTTGGTGTTCCCACGCTTGCTACCGATGCCGTTGGTCTAACATGAATTTTGATAGGAACTTGCTGTCATGGTGATCAAGACCAAGGACGATGTTCTCTCTTACCCCACCGTCGAAACAGTCCAAGAGGACTCTATCTGCAAGACGGTGTACGCTCCCGCTCGCAACGTCCCCGACGCTATCAACCAGAAGGCGCAAGCCCTCGCCCGGAAGGCCGTCTCTGCCTTTGAAGGCAAGGGCGCTTTCGGAGTCGAGATGTTCCTTCTCGAGGACAACAGCCTGATGCTCTGCGAGCTCGCCAGCCGAATCCACAACTCCGGCCACTGGACCATGGAAGGTTGTGCTCTGTCCCAATTCGACAGCCACATCCGGGCTATTCTCGACCTCCCCATTCCCCCCAAGAGTCTCGAACTCCTCCAGCCTTCGATCATGCTCAACATCATCGGTGGTGCAACCCCCGACTCTCACCTGAAGGCCACCGAGGCCGCCCTCTCCATCCCCAACGCCACCATCCACCTCTACAGCAAGGGTGCTGCCAAACCCGGCCGCAAGATGGGCCACGTCACCGTCACCGCAGCCACCATGCACGAGGCCGAGACCATGATCCAGCCTCTCATCGATGTCGTCGACGAGATGCGCGCCCAGCGCTCCGATATCAAGACCAAGGCCGCCCCATCCGGCCCATCCAAGCCCGCCCCCTCTATCGGTGTCGTCATGGGCTCCGACAGTGACCTGAAGACTCTGGTTCCTGGCCTCAAGCTCCTGCGCGATTACTTCGGCCTTGAGCCCGAGGTCGAAATCACCTCCGCCCACCGCACCCCCGACTACATGGCCGAGTATGCGGCCAAGGCTGCCTCGCGCGGAATCAAGGTCATCATCGCTGCTGCTGGCGGTGCTGCTCATCTGCCCGGCATGGCAGCTGCGCACACTGCCCTCCCCGTCATCGGCGTTCCCGTTAAGGGAAGTGTTCTCGATGGCGTCGACAGCCTGTACAGCATTGTGCAGATGCCCCGTGGTATGTTTCTTATCTTTATTATATCTCACACGCCCAAAATGTCTAACTTGAATTAGGTGTCCCCGTTGCAACAGTCGGTATCAACAACAGCATCAATGCTGCCCTCCTCGCTGCCCGCGTGCTCGGCTCTTTCGACCCCTCTATCCAGCGCAAGGTCGAGGCTTATGCCGAGGCTGCGCGTGCTGAGAATATGGAATTGAAGGGCACGAAAATGCGCGAGCTCGGGTGGCAGAAGTACTTCGATCAGATGTAAGGGTCTGATTCGGATTGTGACGAAAAATTTATACGAAAGCGAGACGGATAAAAAAGATGTGGAGAGTCATCTTCCCTAACCTCTTGTACAGTGGAGGGATCTTGGCTTCCTTTTATAGACGACATTGAATGACATTTAACTTAACTTTTGCCTGGCCCTACTTAGCTTGAACGTAGCTGTATCGACGGTACTTATCATAATGAAAAGTGCCAGGTGTATCACTGCCGGTCGGTAACGACAGGCGTGTCAGAGCGTATGAATATGGCCCTAAGTGTTGACTCGCATTACTGTCAGGATAGCGATGTACACTGCAACCTTCCAAGGTTGGAGGCCACCGGGTCTCGCATTTAAGTTGCTCGTGAACAAAGTATAAGTATTTTGAGAATCATCGAATCCTACAAGTCTGGAACATAGTTCAACGCAACAGCTGTGGCATTATGTATTAGGCTACCGTAATCGATACTCATACAAGATATCCGGAGTACACAAGGGGAAATCATAACGACAAGTCACAAAAAAAGAAGAAACGAAGAAAAGAAGGGCATCATCAGTGATCGAGTACTAAATGAATAAGGACAAAAGGAAATGACGTGATAAGAATGTCATCGAAGGGAATTGGACACTGTCCAATTTAGACGGCGGCGGTGGCGCCGTTAGTGGCGTGAGTGCCATTGGTGTTCTTGACGGCGTCACCCAAATCAGGGGTCTTGCCATTGACGAAGGCCTTGTCGACCTCATCGGAGAAGCCGCGGGCGCCGTTGGTGGGGCTGGCAACACCGGCAGCAGCGGCTGTGGCGTCGCCGGAGGATCCAGCGGCGGCGGCAACACCTGCCGCACCGGCGCCATTGGTGCTGGCGCCGTGGGGCTTGTTGGTAATCTTACCGGCGGAGGGGATATCAGTGGACTCGGAGGCACTGCCGAGGCTGAAGATGGGGGACTCCCAGCGCTCGCCCTTGGCAGCCAGGTCGGCGTACTCGGTGGCCTTGCTGGAGACACCGCCGGGGAGCTCGATGTCAGGGAAGATCGAGTCGTGGAGAGTCATGACGGTCTGGACCTTGGTGTCGCGCTTGACGGCACCCTCGGCCTGCTTGGCCTTGGCCTGGGTGCGGGCACGGATGGCGTCCGAGTAACGGGCGAAGATTGTGGGGGCGTTCTCGGGATCCTCGCGGGCGGCCTCCTGGGCGCGCTTGGCCTCGGTGTGGATGTCGTTGGCGAAGATGTCGCCGTTCTTGAAGGCCTCGCGGATCTGTCCCTCGACGACCTTTTGCAGGGCGGGGCGGACAACGCGGAACAGCATGGGCTTGAAGGTGTTGAACAGCATCTTGTGGCCGGACTTCTTCAACTTGATGTCCATGTTCTTGATGCCGACATTGACCTTGTCCAGCTTGACGAAGTGCTCCTTGTCGCCCTTTTGAGCGGTGGAAGCGGCGATCTTGACGCTAAGGCCTTCGCCGCCCAGGAAGATGTCCATGACACCGCGGTCGGTGATGGCGGGGAAGCCCTCCTTCTTCTTGATGTAGTAGCTGACATCACGCAGATCGGCCTGGATACCAGACATGGCGATCATGATCTTGTTGTCACGCTTGTTGGTGATCTTCTTGCGGCCCCAGCGGAAGTAGTTGTCGCTACCGAACTCCACGACATTGGGCATGAGGTTGTCGCTCTCGATGGTGAGGTTCTCGACGACAACATCGACCATGGGGTCCGAGACCTCGATACGGGGGATGGGGACGTAGCGAACGTTTTCGAAGATGGCGGGCAGGATGATATCGCGGAGATCCTTGAGAAGAGCAGGCTTGAACTCGGGCTTGCCGTTGCTGTCGTGGCCAAGGTCCTGGAAGAGCTTCTGGAAAGCCGTGGCGAGGGCCTGGTTTTGGGTATCCTTCTCGAATTGGTCGGCAAGGAACTTGGCCTCGTCGACGATACGGTCGGAGTGTCCACGGTAGCGCTCACGGAGGAGGTAGCGGCCCTTGTCATAGAGCTCGTTCCACTGGCGGTTGCACTCATCCTCCATGATGAAGCCCTGCTCGCGCAGCGACTTGCGAATCAGGTTGTCCACGTTTGTGAACCAGTTGCGCAGCTCAGGGTCCTTCTCGGCATCGTGGTAAATGGTGTTGAGAGACTCGAAGAAGCTGTCCAGAGAGGTGTTGTTGGCGAAACGCTCGATGAGTGTGCGCAGATTGTGCTTGACGGCTTGCACGCTGTCGCCCTTGATGACGTCGCGGGCGGCAGTGCCACTCTGCTTGGTGACATCCTTGGTGTGGCCAGCGTATTGCTCGGCCATAGTCAGCAAAGTCTCGACGGCTTGCTGGTCTGGAGGTTGTTAGTCTCGTCTTCAGTTGAGCGAACTCATTGGGCTTACAGTCAGCGTGGCCCTGGATCTCAATGATCATCTTCTTCAGGCGCCAGATAGTCTGCTCGCGACGCTCCTTGGGAATCTTCTCGCTAAGGTAGTTCTTGGTCTTGTCGGCATATTCCTTGGTCTTGCTCTTAGTCGATGTTGTAGAGTCAACAGCAGACTGGTTCTCGGCGATAGAGGCAGAGGCAATGCTCTCCTTGTCCTAATATCATGTAAGTATCCATTCAGGGGGCGGGCTGTCAATTCACATACAGCCTTGTTGCGCTTGAACTTGGACTTCAGGTCGTCCTTGTTGATGTTGGGCTTCTCGTGCCAGACATTGTCCTCTGCGGCCTGGTCGATTTGCGCAAGATCTTCCTCCGATGGGCGCACCTGGTTGGCGGCTTTCTGTGAGGCATCTGCTGCAATGTCCTTTCCGAGGGTAGCGGCGTCGCTCACTAAAGGGTGTTAGATATCGCATGGTGAACTCGGGCCAAGCAGTCGGGCTTACAAAGCTTGCGGAACTCTCCGTTGGTGATCATCAATGTGCCCAGAGTCTTCAGGCCCTCGGCGGCCTTGCTGGCATCCTGTTTGCCAGCCTCCTTGTCGACGGGGAGTTCAGGGCGCTTAGCATCACCTGCGGTGATCTTCTGGGCTTGCCAAATGAAGTCCTGAATGAGTTCGCCCTCGTTCTTCACCAATAGCATTTTCTTGGCGGCGTCGATCACATTGCGCAGGTCGGCCACCAGGGTCTTTCCGTCGGCCGAGAGCTCATTAGGGGGAGATGTAAGGGCCTTGGAGTTCAAGGCCGTGTTCAGGGCAATGTCGCATTGCTTGTTCTGCAGATTAATGAGCAGGTTAGCGCGGCGCGATCTACCCGAAGCGCGAGACGAACCGATGGGAGTTTGCTGTTCTTGAAAGCTATGTCGAGTTAGTGTGGTCCATGCGGTGATGTCGAGGCTTGGCTTACCGTGGAAGATACCGAAGAATTGGAGCTTCTGGTTGATATCCTAGCGCCTTGTCAGTATCGATTGATGCTCGGTGCATTGCCACCTCTTACCTTCTCCTTTTGCTTGGTATCGGTGGGCACGTTCACAGCTTTCGACATGATGGATCAATGTGTGTCAAGGGAAGGTCAATGAAAAAAAAAAGATATTATGTATAGACTAGGCACAGGTTAGAGAGAGTTTGCAAGAAGAACAAACAGTACCCACTGGGTATTAGCAATTATCTTTTTTGTCGGTACAAAGCAAGGGGGGTATCACTGGTATGAAGGGAAAAAAAGAAACGGATTCAGAAGGGGCACCGGAATATAAGAGCACCTGGGCATAGCGCCATGATGAGCTAAGGGACATGCCCGCCCAATTGCGTACCACGGAGCCATAGGGTACTTGCGTTACAGTGTGGTGTGCCAGCCGTGTCGAGGTATCCAAGGCCCCTGGGTACTTTACCTAAAGCGATGTTGGATGATCGACAAATGACGTCACTGTGTCGTGTCCTGGAAATCAGCTCCCTGTTTGCTCGTTTTTTTCTCTTTGCAACTGTTCAATGGGTTGAATTTCCGAGTATTTTAGTACTATAGTCCTAGCATTGGATACTGTACAGTATAGTATACAGGCATATATAGTAGTACTGTAGACTACCATGGCGTCGGTACTTGTGGGTTCCATATGTAAGGCTGCTATATTTTAAGCTGCAGCTTCTCCAGATGACTCCATTTGGCTCCATTGAGGCCCCATAACCTGCCGATCGACCAACTTGCTGTGATCGAGACTCTTGGCACACGCGCTCCATCATCATGCTCCACAGGTGGAGCTTGATAATCAAAGTCGGCTCACCTTGACGTCAATTCTTGATTCTTTTGGATTTTCCTGCCCTGCACGCAGTAGTACTATATATGACATAGCGACGCGCAATGCTTGCATCTCTCTTGGACTGCGCAATTGGTCTTCATGTACTACATATGAGTAGGTACACTGTGCATACACGTGTATGATCTCTCCATCATCGGCAATACTGGAGCTCAAGTTTAGGCTCTCGCTTTCGCTTTCAGCCACGGCAGAAAATTCAAAAAAGGGGTGGCTGGAGGCTGTGCACAGCAACCCCCTTTGCTCTTTCCGGCCTAGTGTCTCCCCGTTTCCACCTGCGTTAATGTTGACCTTGCAAGATCGATTGTTCCTCGCTCCCGTATTGATACGCTTCCAAGGTTCATCGCGGGATTCCTTTTCCCGGCACATCTCATTCGTCACCCGGATCCGGGCTTCGTGTTTCGTTCCCCGATATTTGACTTTAATACGGAGTAGACCCGTCTCACACGACACTATGCTCGATCTCGATCTCGATACAGTACACAACCAGTCTGGGAATTGGTTCCGATCAGACTGCGCTCAGGGGTACCGTGCCTTGCATAGACGCCAACCGAGACGCCTCGCAGATCTGTACAGTCCACGGGTGTGGTTCTGAAACCACGTGAACCACTACTTGTACATATCGCAGGCTACTCCGCACAGGGCATTTAGCAGGCTCGCCCCCTTCATACTATACCCCCGGATCTGAAGGGTGTGGCTTCGAATCCAGCGCTAATTTCAGCACATCTCATGCCCCAGAGCCCTACCCCCAATACCGTCTGCTATCGGCAACAACTTTCTCCTCCCACCCCTCCTCAACGAGCGGTCCCATAACCTCCACGCCAAACTGACCACTCTCAAAGACAACCCGACAAGGCAAATTCATCGTCAGATTCTCCTCGTTCCCGTCCCCAATGATCTCCTGCATCGCCTTCTCCGAGGCAAGATACACAAGCCGTCCAATGTGAGCCCAGTAAATGGCCCCGGCGCACATCGCGCACGGCTCCCAGGTTGACACAAGCGTGCAGCGCGACAGGTAAGTCCAGTCGTAGTTGTCCGCTGCGTTGCGAGCGAGTTCACTTTCCGCATGGCGGACGTGCGAGAGGGAGTTCGAGCTCAGGAGGATTGTTTCATTGTCCGGGGCGAGGAGGATCGCAGAGAAGGGTCGCTTTTGATGGATGTCCTGGGCGGAGGCTTGGGTGGATAGGGCTGCGCTGGCGGCAGCTGTGAGTTGAGCGCCTGTTAGGGGAGTGAGCGCTTTGGTCATCTTCTGCGAGGTCTGTTGACTTGGTTCTGATCTTGCCTTTTTGCAATCGCAGTGGGTGCGCGCTTTATGTGTGATGCTTCGGTCGGGGGACACGGCGGATTCCGAAAATGCGGGATCCGGGGTGAGGGGAAGCTGGATTCCCCTCTTTTTGAAGGTGAGACATTCGTAGATGGTGATATATGCATTATAGGTATCAAGTTATGTACAAAGAGCATTCAGGTCATTATCTAGATGTGACATCGTCACACCTCTGAGTTGGTCAGACTCGGTGTTTGCGCAGGAGAGAGAGTATGTGTGAGCGGATTGGTAGACGATCCTTTCGAGGAGAGTCGAACACGCGTGCGAGTACCATTCTCTAGGGTCTCCGCGAATCGGGCCTCGTCGATATCCGGCTGGGGCGCCCCGTTATTGTGGAATGAGAGATCTACAAAGTCTGACAGGTCCGTGGGATCGGTGGTGCTGCCGCCGATTTCGGTGATATCGACCAGCTTGCCCAGGATGGCGTATTCCAGCTTAAGTTTGATGCTGTAGACCAGGGCTTTCAAAGTGACATGGATGTCAAATAGACCGGAGTACTGAACTCCAATGACTGCTGCGTCCATGAGAATCATGACGATGTTCACGATCAGGAGCTGCACTAATGTGCCTCTATAGTGGCCTCTGGGGCGAAGGTTCAGGAGCCGAACGCCCTCCCAGGCGTAAATGACGGAGAGAATGATTTCTTGTATGGAGAATCCAACTAGCTGGATGCGCTCGAAGATGTTGAACCCCGAATTGAAAACGGCAGATTCAGTCGCGTGGCTACCCAGTTCGAGAACCGAGCCCGGGACGTGGAGGATGACGGCGTCGATGATAATCATGGCGAGAGTGGCGCGGAGGACGTTGGGGTTGTGGCAGACGAGATGGAGTCGAGACCAGAGTACCAATGACTGGCCCGTGACCATTCCCACCCAGGCGACGAGCTCCATCGCCACGGGGAACAGATTGGTGTAGATGTTATAGATGATGAGGAGGTATCCCAGGCCAAATGGGATAATACTGAAGGAGGCGATGAGAAGACACCAGAAGTAGCACCCGCCATATCGCTTGAAGGTTGTGAAACACAGAACGATCAATTCCAAGGCATTGTACCACGCAATGCCTATGAGGCAGGCGACTATGGTACGTTCTGCGAATCGGCCATCGGAAGCGCGATCGGCGAGGCTGAAAGTGCGGCCGGAGAGGTCGGCGCTCGACATATGGACATTGCCGGAGATTATAGAGAGGAGATGGGCATGGGAGGTTCAGGGATAAAGAAGAATTGCGTAGTTAAAGTGTAACTTAAAGAGAAGGTAAAAAGGCAGTGGCGGAAAGCCAAAGATAGTGGCCTCGGGCCCTTCTCCATGTGCTGAGGCATATCGATCGACAGCGATTGGCGTATCCATTGGAATTAAATTGGGGCCCCTTGGAGGCTTCCCCGATGCGGGCGAACGCGAACTGCTGATAGGACGCCCGACCCACAAGCTCATGGCCAAAAAAACACTATTCGCCCCATTAACGGCCTTTTTTGTCGTGCTTTCTCCAATGGAGTACTGTAGGTACCCAGGAACAGCGAAATGCATGAATTGGATTGGTACAGCCTCAATTTTTAGAAGTAGATCCCAGGGTTCTGTCGGCTTCGATAGAATATCGCGTCATGGAGATAACGGGGGGCAAATTATAGTTACTAATGTTCGTTTCTAATCTGTCGTACGCACTACTCTATTTCCGGCAGCTGAGAATGGCTAATCGCTAGCACGAGAAGAGTTAGCCCTGCTAAGCCTCATTGCTCATTGGTCGGCACTTCAAGGCCTGAGGCAGAGTATCCCATTTTTGGTCTCAGGGCTATGCTCATTGCTCGGCAATGGCTTCCAGGAAATCCATTCTCTCTTCCCACGTGAGCCATGATCTTGAGACGGCCCGATCCGTTTGATCAGTCGACTTCTCGCATTGCCCAAGTCGTGTAGTCGTGTGTTCCTGCCTAAACAGGAATAGACTTCCTGGGCCGCGTTCGCAGGATCGGGTTGTTTGTTTCCCGGTCTGCTGGGTGGGATCTAATAGCAATCATCAGTCTACGAGTTAAGTAGCCTGACTGTGAAACTTGTAAGGGGCAGGGGGCAAGGATGTACGAAGAACCCTAGCCTCCAGGGCTATGGGTAGGCTACGGTATACTAGTGACCAGATCAAGAATACTGGACTGTCAACTGTTGATGAAAACCGACTTTCGATTTTATTTGAGATCAATTTCATCCCCAATAGATCATGCTCAGATGTGAGATTGCTATGGCCAACCTTGGAAGGATCCGCAACACTGGGATCTAGGTCCTGGAAATTGACCTCAGGGCTTGGGCTACGGGTGACTATTCCGAACCTGGGCACCTGAGAGACGCAGTGGCATTAAAGTTGTTTTGGAAATCTGGCGGATAAACCCCGAAGGCTTATCCATCTGTTTTCCAAAAGCCGAAGCCCCCGATTGGGCCGTTGTCGGTACGGCTCGCCAAAGTGAGATTGTGTGGCGGAGCGAAATGCACAGTCCCTGAAACAGGATGCGGGGATAAAACAAGCTCGACATGGAGGATGTAAGTGATCAACATATTGCGGGGAACACATCGCAGGTGATCATGTGGTACGGGATTCCAGGCCTGGGGTGGAGTCGTGGCTCGGGGACGAGAAGACATTCTCCAGGCCCCACGGGTTGATGAAGCGCTAAACCCCACAAATACCATCTCACTGGACAGCATATAGTCAATTAGGTATATTGGAGTCATTCGGTGGCGATCGACTGCACCGAGACCCCCATCTTGGAATAGTTTACGGAGTACCTAGGTATATGGGTCAGGCGTACAATCAACAATATGGTGAGGGGATCCGATTCATCTCGCGCTATCATGTCTCCTGATACCTAGTACACACCCTGTTTTCTCGGTGCTCTGTCGATTATGACAACCTTGGAAGCAAGTTTGTGGATGGGGCACGATCGTATACAAAATGAAGTATGATATGGCTGTAGGTGAAGAAAAAGCCATTTGGCTAAGACAGTTATGCAAGTGAAGCTTTCTCTCGGATTTTGATGATCGTTATAGAGTACGAGCAACAAAAAGTCATGTTGGTGTGGTGGCATCAGAGAGGGAGAGAGTTATTGTGAGAGTGAAAGGAATGAACATGGTCGACATGATACGCAGGAAAATGCGTTTTGAGATGTACACATCACCACAGCCATCAGACAAGAATCGTTTAAGGAAACTGTTTAGGCGACAGAACAGCAAACAAACAAGGGGGCTTGTGTAGGAGGAGGGCCCTGGGACTTTCATCTGTATTCATGACGATACCAGTCCACAAACATACCTTGTGGGTAGCTTGCGCAATGAGATATTTGGGATCTCGAACGTCTCAGTACTGCCCAGGTGCCTTCGCCTGCTAGCTGACTCGCACAAGACTGGACATTGGTATAGACCACAAAGCCCATACCCTTTCAGGACCCCGGTCCAAACGTCTACGGCCGCCCAAAAAGGATTTACCGATGACTAGAGGATTTTCTTCGAGCGGAGAGAGGAACAGATGAGGGGAGAGAAAGGAGAGAGGAGATCTATGCTGTAGACCCGGGAGCAGGTTGCTTCCTCATTGGGGCGTCTCAGGTCGATACCGGAGAGGTAGATGAATCAGACAAAAAAGTAGTTTACAAAGATCAAGAAGAAGATAAACAGACCTCGAGGGTGTTCAATGGCTCGATTGGTTAATCCAGGCGTCTGCAAATGCCTACGCATGTGCAGGATAGCTTGCAATCTTTCTAAAACTACCCAGGTGGACCATCCACGAGGGAGATTACTACCTCGTGATGCTCTTTTCTTGCTGTCATCTTCTTCTGCTTACTGCCTTGGCCCTGAAGCAACTGGCCTATATTGTGAGATGTTGGAAATGTACTTTAATTCCAAAGGCTAATTGAAAACTTAGCGCACAGGTTCCTAGCCAATCTGCTTTCATACATGTTCTTCAGTATTGATGACCGGAGTAGAGCCTTGGTGGAATACCCTGTCAGTAATGTATGACTTGTGGGATGCCTATGACCCCAAATAAGCTCAGGGAATTTCAGCACTGCAGTGGGCCGTGCTACCCCAATGCGAGTACGAAGTACGGAGTATTTAGCCATGGAATGGTACAGGGAAAGCCATGAAGATGGCGAAGACATGCAAAATGTGCTAAGAGAATTTACTAAGAAATTGAGCGGGGTAAAAAGGTGAAAAAGTCGTAAAGTCAATTATAAGCTTTTATGACAATATATTACATTAGAAATGAATAATGTCATTGACCAGGAAGAGAAACAACGTTAAGTGTGGAAGGCGAAGAAGATCTTCATGGTTCTATGCACAAAAGGCGCCTTCACAAAGGATATGTGCGCCGAATAATGTCAGGAAGAAGGGTCCCAAAACGATACCCTGCGCTGCATATCCTGAATGGCTCTGTGAAACAATATGTTCAATCAGAGTGGGGAATCACATTCGAAAAATAATTTACAGCACGTTGTTGGCAACGGTGTCGACAACAGCGCCGACGGGGGTGCCAACGGAGGGGAGACCGAGGCCGGAGACGAGGGCAACGACGGAGGGAGAGAGCTTGATGAGCAGGTGCTTGCCGTCAGTGCCGACGACGTGGAGGAGGGTCTCGAGGGGCTCGGAGATGTCCTTGAGGAGGTCACCGACGGAGGCGGCCTCACGGACGATGGAGCCAACGGGGCCGGCAATGGAGTGGAGACCAAGGCCGGAGACGAGAGCGGCAACCTCGGGGGAGAGCTGGATGAGGAGCTGCTTGGCGTTGGCACCGGTGACGGTCAGGGTGTCCTTGACCTTGGGGGCAACGTCCTGAACGATCTCACCGCGCTTGAGGTTCTTGCCGAGGGTAGCAACAACGGTACCGACGGGGGTGCCGACGGAGGGGAGACCAAGACCAGAGACGAGACCAGCAACGGGGGCGGAGAGAGAGATCAGGAGAGCACCGACATCAGCACCAACGACAGTGACAAGGTTGTCGACAACGGGGCCGAGACCAGTGACGAGACCACCGAGACCGGAGGCGGAGGCAACAATGGAACCGAGGGGAGCACCGAGGCCAGCGAGACCAAGGCCAGAGACGAGGGCAGTGACCTCGGGGGAGAGCTCGATGAGCAGAGTGGAGGCATCGGGACCGACAACGGTCAGGATGTTGTCAAGCTGGGGGCCAAGGTTCTGGACGATGTGGCCGTTCTGGATGGCAGGCACGCTGGAGGCAGCGGAGGCAGCGCTGGAGGTGGCGGAGCCAGCAAGAGCCTTGGGGAGGTCGGCAATCTGGGAGACGACGGGGAGCTCGCTGAGGTGGAGCTCCTCGACGAGGTTGCCAATCTTGAGGTTCTTAGCAAGGCCCTCGACGGGGTTGGTGGGAGCAGCGAAAGCAGAGCCAGCCAGAGCGGCGACGGCAGCAACGAAAGAGGCCTTCATCTTGAATTAGGGTATATAGAAACTGTAAAGAGTGACTGGAGTTTGTTTAAAGAAAGACTGAAGTGAGAGGCTTGGAGAAAGAAGAAAAGTTAGATGGCCCTGCAGCAGGAACACTTATTTATACAAGAGTGAGGATCTACAGGTACCGATCTCATTTAACCCCTGCTCCTTTTCAAAAATTTCGCATTGTTGTATGTAATTGGGGGGCAGTAGTCGTATCCTAGCTGGCGGGTCCGCTGGGTCCCAATAGGGTCAGTATAAGGGTCTTCAAAATTACAGAAACATTGAGTGGAACTATCAGTACGGAGTACAGACTAAATTTCCCCATCATGCCGGGATTTAGGAATCGTCCAGAACAAGGCGCGCTTGTGGACCACTAAAATCAACATACGGGGCTATGGGATGTACTAGAAGGTACCCCAAGACCCAGCTTGACATTGACAGTACTCCGTCGCCATTGCAGCCTGCGGTGAGCTACACCAGTACGAATTACAGTACAAAGACTTCTTGGGTCACTATTCCCTTGAAACAGGACTTTCAACTCTTCTGTGAATGATCTCTCCGTCATAGCCTCATCTTTTGCAATTTTATTTTCCCGGAAAGTAAATCCGAACTTTGCCGGTCATGTATTGAGCTCCTCATATTAAGATCTGCACGCTGATGTTTGGGCACAAGGCATATCGAGGTTTATTTCATCCTAGATCGTACCTATGCCGAAAGAGTGTTAGCCTGGGGAGTTGTGCGTGCATCCC